TTTCGTAAATGTTAAAATTGATTGAATATCATCAATGATAAAATGAAATCTGTCTATTAGATACCAAAGATAATAAGAAGAAAATGGTTGATATTGGTTGTGTGTTGATGCTAACTGAGTTAATTTCCTCTGTTTCTGGTCAACTGGTAGATTGTTTGATTTCATGTAATAATACATAAAACTGCCAATTGTTTTTTCATCTGTGATAATATCTAAGTTTCTTATTATTGGTAAAAAGTTTATGTAATCATTAATGTTTTCATCAATGTGACCCTTTACTTCAGCCACGAATAAAGTATTTTTCTTTCTAATAATTCCCAGTGCTTTTGCTTTTTTGTTGCTGTATCACAAATGATAACACCATTCAATCTTCCCGGCATATACATTTTATGGTCAGTATATTGAATGAAATCATGAGGATTAGATGAAAATGATGAAGGATATAATGAATTAAAGTCAACTCCAACGAAATGAGTCATAATGTTGGTGGTGTCCTCATTTGATACAGTTTTAGTTTCTGGACTATATGAAAGTTTATTAATGTGCGTGATTCCTTTAAGATTAACACGATGTTGAACATTTGATAGACCACCAGTAATTCCATTACGGAGAATGTGATAAGCTTCAACTGAATCTAAAGTCATTGGTAAATTATTTTTTAATGTATAATTTCTTAAATTGATTCTTAAACGTTGAACATCCTCATCTTTATTTGATTTTACGACATTGCAATAACAACACATTAACTGACAATTTTCTTTGGTATGTGGTTTTTCATTATCGATTCTATCCAATGTTGGTTTATTAGCATATGTAAACGCTTTACCACACATTTTGCATTTAGATGAAAGGATTAAATCGTGATAGTATTGATAGTCATTCATTGAAACATTGTTTTTAGTATCCCTTTCTGCTTTTTCATCTTGTTTCTTATATGATTCAATTTTATATTTCCAATACTTTTTCGTTAATTCAAAACTTGATTCTATCTCTTCCTCAGGATATTTTTCATTAGGATTAAAGTCTTTATATGCTAAAGCGTAACGAATCATTGATGCATTCGATGATAAAGAAAGATTATGAAGCATGTCAATTTTATAAACAAATGTTTCTTCAATAATTTTATCAATTGGGTCAATCATAATTTCAACATCTTTATTGCAATAATGAATAAAATATTCTAATCTATTCTTAAAATTTTTAGCATCATTGAGATATATTTGATAATCACTATCTGATATAGTTTCTTGAGTTAATGCTGAATAAAATGAATCTTTCGTGAATGGTTCCTCTTTATATAATTCTTCTTCGTAATTTTCCCATGTGATGAATTGATAAGGGAAAAAGGATTTAACACGTGTTTTATTATTTCCGAAATCTTGAGTGAATTGGTCTAATGTCCCGCCCGCTATATAATTTCTGATGTCAATAAATCTCAATTCATATGGAACGTTTGTTTTCTTTACAATGATTTGCTTAAATTGTGAAGATGAACCCAGCATTGATTTTATTTTCCATTTTGCAGTGTTTAAATCACGAAGAATTAAATTTAAATCAAACTTTCCCGAATTAAAACCTATGATATTCACTTTATTGAATTCCTCATCTAGAAGTTCTTTAAATGCTTCCTTCTGTTTTTCATTTAATGTATGAGACAAAGTCCCCGCCGTTTGGTCCGTTTGCGACTTCATTAATTCTTCATATTGTTCAATATTTGATTTAGCAACTAATGAACAGGTTGAAAATAAAAATTCAATCCAGTCAGAAATAAAAGAATCACTCGAAGTTAAGCAAAAATTCCTCGTATATGTTTTATCACGGTCTACGACCTCGCCGCTTTGCGGCTTTATTTTGACAGTTGATGATACCATAAATGGTTTTAAGTAAGCGTTCAAAGTTGCACATTCAGAAAGTTGAAGTTCTTCTTTAGTCTCTAATGTTTCGAAGTCAAAAGTAATATAATATCTTGTTGGTTTATAATATTCCTGCAAATTATGTGCTAATAGCCATTGATATATCTTCTGTTTCGTGATATGTGGTGCATATGGTTGTTGTGTGTTTTGCAATTGAACGTCTTGAATTAATCTTCCATTATTTTCTTTACATTTCTCACAATGTTTTAAAAATCTTCTTTGGTTTTCCTTTCTGGATCATCACGGATAGAATATACTTCTTCTTTGCAAAAGGGGCAAACTTTATATCCTGTGAGTGCTTCAACGTCTGTAATTCTGTCAGCGTGAAGTTTTCCACATGGACTCTGTGTTAATAAAATATTTACTGTTTCAAATTCTGGATCTATCATTATTGATTCCACTAATGGAAAGTCTACCTTGTTAATGTCTACGTCTTCTGGTTGAGGATCACAATAATAAAAATCAATATTAACGTTTAACATTCTTGCTAACCTCTCACTTTCTGATGAAATGGCAAACCCTTCATATGCATCTATTGCTTCGTTTAAATAACTTCTACGAGTTTTAGGATTAACACCATCAGGAATGTTATAGAAGCGTTTAAATAACCTTCTACCTTCTGCTCTAATTTGATTATCATTCATTTTAGCTGTTCCGTTTTTGTTCATTTATGTAAGAATAAAAAAATTAAAAAATAAATAAAAATAAAGTTTATTTTTTAAAGTCCGAGACTCAGAGAGTCCAGGGCTAAAGTCCATAAAATGAATTAAGAACACATAAATTTTTATCATCTGCGACGTGACGAATACATTTTAATTTACTCAAGAATGCGTACCCTGATACATTAAATCTAATTCCTGTCTTATTTAATTTCACAACTTTGAAAAGGAATGTATGAATAGCTATAAAATGATGAGATGATGTTTTATGGGTTGCTTCCATTTTTTCTGAAATAAATGAATAAATATAATGCTTATACGTTTTCATATCTTTTATGTTCTTAATAACGAATGGTATAGACTTTTCAACTTCGTCTTCCTTCGGTGCTGTTCTTTCATATGAAACATTATTGGTATCTTCAATAATGAAACCGCAATCGCATAAAATTTTATATGTACCAATTGTTTCTTTTGATATTTTATCTAACAAATCAAAAACTTTATCAACACCTGTACATTTATTTAAATAATAATTTGTGTAAATATCATGGTCTTCTTTCTTAATCGTATTTGTTGCATATGTTACATTTTTCAGTGCTTTTTTGAATTTTTCAGAATCAAGAGGAGGTGAAAGTAGGATACAGGGGTATTCTTCATTATCAATAAATTGTAACTTATGTTTACGAATAAATTTAGTACCTTCTTCTGAAAGTGTTTCATCTATTTCACCATCTAATAAATTTTGTGTTGATTCTGAGACATAATTTTTATATCTTTCTTCATGAGATTTTTGAACTGCTGATTCTGAAGCTGGGATATTCATTAAACCCTCTACTTCATTTTCATTATATTTTTCAACTTCTCTTAATTCCTTAATTTTTTCATCTATTTCATCTCTTATTTTTTCCAGTCTTTCAATTTCATCATATTCATCATCTTTAATCCGTTCTTCATAATATTCAGGGAAAACATCAGGTTCTTTAGGTTTTTCTTCTTCAGATGTGGGATATAAGAAATTTATAACATCATCTTTATTCATTTTTCCATCATAATCTAAATCATTTAAAAACTCCGCGAATTTTTGACAATTTCTTAAATAATATTTACTAACCTCATAACCTGCCTCCTCTAATATATCCTTTATTTCCTCATTTGTGAATTCCAATTTTTTAACGTCGTTAGTTTTGACACTCATTTTCATACAAATTAAAAAAATAAATTATTCAAAAATGTAAGACATGAATTTTTAAAGTTTATTTTTTATTCATGAAAATAATTATTTCTAATTTCTTTTACTCTCTCGTATATACTAGATTTGAAGAATTCAGAACTTTTACCATAATCTCCTAAATGTTTTCTTATCCCCAACGTGTGCCAGTTATTATATGAAACTGAATAAACTTTATCTTTATCTTTACACCTTTCATCACTTCCAATATATTTATATCTCAGTTTTGATTTAGCATTTTCATATTCATTAACGTTTAATAATTCACAGTCTTCCTTTTTAAATTGATGTTTAAGATATTCAGGATTTAATACTCTACGTTTATATGCTCCTAACTTAGTTCTAAAGGTTTTTCTACAAAATTTAGGAATTCCATCCTCTTTAATGTCATCAATGATTTCCATTTCATTATTTTCAATTTCTTCTTCTCGTTTATGAGGTCTTTGATTATGACTCCATTGATTCCATGAAATTAAATATTCTTTATCATTATATTTATACCTCATTAGCTTATTTTGGCTTTCATATTCATTTAATAATTCACAATCTTCATTTTTAAATTGAAGTTTAACCCATTCAGGATTTAAACAATGTTTAATTAATCGCGGAATATCTGACATCATCTATATATAGCTTCTTTTATAAAAGATAAAAAAATAAATTATTTTAAAATTAATGTTAATTTTTTTAATGTGTTTATTTTTTTAAAAAAATTATTTTTTATTTCATTATGGTAGTGAATCTTTTATTCATGAAAATAATTATTTCTAATTTCTTTTACTCTCTCGTATATACTAGATTTAAAGAATTCAGAACATTTCCCATAATCTCCTAAATGTTTTCTTATCTTATTGGTTTTCCATTCATTATATGAAACTGAATAAACTTTATCTTTATCTTTACACCTTTCATCACTTCCAATATATTTATATTTCAATTTTGATTTATTGGTTTCATATTCATTAGCGTTTAATAATTCACAGTCTTCCTTTTTAAATAAATGTTTTATGTATTCAGGATTAACAATTCTATAATATTGCTTCCCTTTAAATCTTTGAATATAAACAGGAACACCATCCTCTAAAATTCGATAATCTATTTTATCTGGTTTTACTTGTTGGGTCATTTATGTCAGAATAAAAAAATAAATTATTTTAAAAATAACTTTAATTTTTTAATAAATATATTTTAATGCATCGTCTATATATAGATGTAACAAAAAAAGTCACAAAACCCATCATATCCTACTACTAATTTGACTTGATAATTTTGAACAATAAAATAAACCAACTCTGGTTTACACGAATAGTTATCATCTTTGGAAAATATTTTGTCAAACTCCTTGATATCGAAACTTTGGAAATTATCAAATATGTATTGCATCTCTTCAAGACCACAAGAATTTAAAATATCTTTCAACATTGGAGTAAAAATTTTTCGTTCTAAGAAAAATTTCAACAAATCCATGTTTTGTAAAACTTTTGGAACAACATAGCCTATCAATTCAAATAAAGATCCAGTACATCTTTTAGCAATTTGATAAGCTTTTTCATAAAGATCTAAATCAGAAACATCATGATAAATCAAATATGAAATAGGATGTTTGAAAACACAATTATAAGAATAAGTTAATCCTAAATCATATAAAATGTTGAAATAATCAAATCTTTTGTTGATTAAAGAATCGGAAATAATTGATACCAAATCATCAGTTCGGCCTGGGTTAAATCTTATTAATGCTTGTTGTATTGGTAAATTGAATTGAGTCATGTATTCAAGAATTGATTTAAATTTTGATTCATAATAAATTTCAATAATATTATAGTAAGAATTAGAAATATGGTTCTCCAAACAGAAAATAATGGATTTAATGTTAGATAACATGACATAATTAACATTTTCTTGTTGATAATTCTCAAGAAGCCAATTAATTAAATCAGGATTTCGTGATTCAAATGCATTTGATAAACGATTATCATATTTAATACCTTTTTGTTCAAATAATCGTATAATTTCTAGATTCCCTGCTGAAATTGCAGACTTGGAGATTAATTTCTTTGATTTTGGTTCATCATGAAAGTGTTTGTCAAATTCATTACTAATAAGTAAGTATTTGATAATGTTAATTGAAGGTTTATGAAATATTCTATTTGAATTTAAGAATGAACTCTTTAATTCGTAATCATCATAAAATTGTTGAAACTTTGAGACATCATCATCAATTAAGATTTGATCTAATTTTCCTGGTGGTACGTGTTCTTTAATTTCTGGTTTTTCGTTCCATTCTGCGAGTTTTGGAGGGAGTTCAACATTTATTCCAGCACAAGCTGCTGTACGATAGAACCTACTATTCCTTGCTTTGATTGTTGGTTTAAAAATATTATTGAGAGTCTGAAGCATTCGAAAATGTAAATTATCGGAATATCTTTTAAGTAAATTGCCATCTTTGAACAATTCTAAAAGGTATTTGAAATTGTCTTCTTGCGTTTCTCCTGGACCATCTTTAATGAAATGTTCAAAGAATTTGATTGATTCTTCGAAATTTTCGGAGTTGAGATTAAAGTAATGAGTTTCTGCTTCATATAATAGTTGAAATGGTTCTGGAATAACAACATCGTTGAAGTTTTTGATCTTTAAATCTTCATAAACAATGTCTTTTCCCATTCCGAAATAGGAACTCTATTTGTGGAATTTTTTATATATATATGGTTTTGAAGATTTTCAAATAAATCACTACAAACTTAATGTTTTTTATAAAAAAATCAATCAAATATGATATTCTAAGAGAAAATAACTCAAAATCGTATTTTCTCCTGGAATTTTTTATACCAGCGATGTAGCGATGTCGTCGTGGCAATGGTTTCTTTATTGTATAACAAATCTCATAAAATGTATACGAGATAAATGAGACTTTGTTAAAAAAACTGTTCTAAGTCAATATTTATGGAGGAATAAGAGTTACATCATGGGTTCCCTTAAATAATCAATAAATAGGTCATTTTATTTGGATTTTCTATCGAGAACTATGTATTTTTATAATATATATTAAATATACAATTTATTTACTGATTAAATTAACAAAGTCTGGGGAGATATGAAATAATGAGATATCTTCCTCTTGAAGATCCAGCTTTTCATAACCATATTCTAGTAGTAAATTAATAATTTCAAAATTCCCTCGAACAGCTGCCCAAAACAATGCATTATTGAGGCAATTATGGAAGTTGTGATTAATTGGAACTTTATGTTCAATAAGGATTTTCACAATTTCTTGATTATTCAATTTAGCAGCATGTAGGTAATAATCTTGGTCAGCAGCTGAATCCAATTCAAATTTATAATCTTGGATAGTATCGAAATAACTTTCAGTCAATTGACTCTTTTCCAAAACATCTAAAAGCAATTTCACACATTCTGCAGAATTCATTTCGATTGCATCAAGGAGCCATGAATCAATTTTCTTAGGGAAACATTCTTGATCTTCTATACCAGTAATAGTGACATTATTCAAAATGTAAATGCAAGCGCCTTCATTTCGAACCTCTAATGCTCTTGACAAACAAGAAAGCATTCTATTTAACGAGATATTCTTAATTGAATGATTTCTGAAATAATAAAGAAAGCCGGATAGACGTGTGTCGTTATTAATTAAGGATTCAAGATTTTTTCCCAATATCTTTTGTTTTGCATGATCAATCAAAAAACAAAGTATTCTATAATCTCTGCATTGAAAAAGCGTATTTTTTGATATGCATGCACCATGCTCAACAAGGATTTTTACAACTTCGAAATTTCCTTTCATTGAATGATAATCAAGAAGAGAATTTCTTACTCCTTGTCCTTTGGCATTTGCTCTTCCTCCGTTTTCTAAGATAAGTTTATAAGCTTCGATGTTGGTATGTGTTACTTCATCCATAACATTTTCAAAAACGTTAACTGATAAACGTACTTTATATTCCTCTTCTTCCTCCTCCTTATCATTCATCATGGTAGTCGCTTTAGATTTCATTATTCTATCTTTTGTTTGTAACATAACACCTTGATCAAGAAGATATTTAATTAAATCTATATATCCCTGATTAAATGCAAACCTCATTATATGAAAGCCATTTTCACCTTTAAGGTCAACTTTATAGGTTTTAATAACATATTCAACTAATTCTGGTTTCATATTTGGAGTGCCAAAGGTAAATGGACGTTGAAAATCTCTGGGATTAAAAATTCCATAATTATCGAGGATATATTTCATTCCTTCAAAACTACAATACGTTAAAACTTCTCTTAGTAGTATATGTGGAAGGGTTGTGTGACTTTTTTTGTAAACGTAAGAATTCATACAATATTGAGCGATTTTGTATCATTTTTTTAACATATGAAGTAAAAAATGTATGATTCTTACGGTTTTTATTCTTACGTTTTTGAATAAATCAAGATTTAAAAAATTTTCAAAATTATAAGACATTTACACTCAGCCCATACATAATGAAATAAATCATTAAAAAAAATTAACATTAATATTAAAATAATTTATCTTTTATCTTTTATAAAAGAAGCTATATATAGATGATGTCAGATATTCCGCGATTAATTAAACATTGTTTAAATCATGAATGGAATCAATGGAGTCATAATCAAAGACCTCATAAACGAGTAAAAGATTCACTACCATAATGAAATAAAAAAATAAACTTTAAACATTCATGTCTCAGAATCAACATAGAACTTTAAGAAGCTAATGATTATTTGAATTTATGAAATCAATTATTTGATTCATTTTTTCTTCAATCTCTTCTATTCTTTTTGTTAAATCATCTATTTTCATTAATGAGGTGATTCTTGATTGAGGAATAGATTTCAAACTAACCACCCCCTTTATTTTTGAAATTTTGAATCCATCAACTTTAAACATTTTATTCAATTTACACGTTGTCAATTCTTCAAATAATTTTTTATTATTAGCATAATAGTCATTAAATTCTTCAACAGATGAAAAAATTTTTATTTCAGTAATTGGTTTAACAACGTTTATTTTTTGTTGAACATTTTCACTTTCATTTATTTCTTCCTCCTCTGTTTCATTTATTTTTAAAATCGGTTTCATTTATCATTAAATAAAAATTAGAATATAAGTGATGAAATATATTTTTTAATTAATATAGGGTGTCCAAAGGTGCGTTTAGCACAGCGCTCTATATGAGACTATTAAAGGAGATATATGCTGATTATAAATATATAATAAAAAATATGAATATATGTATATGATGAGTAAGTTGTATTTTGGCGCCATGCCGGGATATAAAATGAATTTTGAGACAAGAGGCGGTTTCGCGGGAAATTTTTGCGGGATTTTTTTCATTTTTTTAATGAATCATAAAGAAAACATCCTCGCTCTTGCAAAAAAATGCAAAGACTGTAAAAAATCTACGAGACATTGGTAAAATGCTTCGGTATGGATGCTCCTAGCTATTCCACTGTAACGTATCATGTTAGGATGTATCACTTCATGAACAAAAAGGCGCCCATCATAAAAATTGACAAAAAATCGCCGGATCAAAAAAAATCAAAGCAATTCTTCAAGCGCTAGATGAAGACCCAAGAGCATCACTCAGAAGGATAGAGGAGATGACAAAGATACCACGTACAACAGTCAGTTATTATCTGCACAATTATTTGAACTACAAACTAGCGTATACACGTTGGGTTCCGCACAACCTTAATTCAGTTCAAAAAAAATCTAGAGTCCAATCTTCGAAAGAGCTCCTCTCTATATTGGGTGCGTATCAATCCAAGAAGTTTCGCTTTTTAGTAACAGGGGACGAGTCTTGGTTTCAATATGCAACAGAAGCCAAAATCATGTGGATCCCGAAGGATGAAAATCCGCAAACATTCCCGAAGAAAAAAATTGACACACCAATGATTATGTTGTCGGTTTTTTGGGGCGTGAATGGCATCATCGCAATTGATATTCTTCAAAAACCTAATACGATGAATGCTCAGTATCTAATTGACAATGTTCTTACTCAAATTATCAATTCTGATGAGTTTGAGAAATCCAAACAACAAAAACAAAAGTTTGCAATTCATTTTGATAATTCAAGAGTTCACAAAAGTCATAAGGTAATGAATTACTTGGTGGAAAACAATGTCAAAGTTGTTCCAAACCCAATTTATTCACCTGATATTGCACCCTCTGACTTTTATTTATTCGGCACGCTAAAAAAGAGAGCTGAAGGACGCGAATTCGCGAGTCCAGATGATCTTGAAAATTTTGTAAGAGAGCAATTTGAGCAATTTTCTCATGATGATTTAAAGCGTGTCTTTCAAGCCTGGATCGATCGCTGCGAACGCGTGATTGAATCCAATGGTGATTATATTTAAATAAACTTTATATATATGTAACTTGTTTATTTCTATTCGCAGTATTCAGGTTTGTGCTAAACACACCTTTGGACACCCTATATTAAATCAGAAATGGCGGCAGGATTCTTTAAAAAATTATGGGATGGAATTAAGAAAGCTGCAGGTTGGGTTCATAAAAAGATTATTAAACCCATTGCAAACTTTTTGGCACCAGTAGCGAAAACGGCAGGAACTATCATAGGTGGCGTATTAGGTACTAAAGCAGGTAATCCGGCGATGGGAGCACAAGCAGGTAACGCAATTGGTGGAATAGCTGAAGGAATACTTAATAAAATAGGAGGTAGATAGTGGAAAAATAAATTATTTTTATCTTAGTATCGGTTGAAGTCTTTGATAAACTTTTTCTCCTTTATTTAAAATTTCTCTTATTGGGGCAGCTTTTGGCGTTATTGATTCAGCAACGTCACTAATTGCTTCTTTATTCTTAAATATCCAATTTGCTCCTTTCTTCATTGTTTCCCAAACTTTATGCGCTCCTCTTTTTACTTTATCCCACAGTTTCTTAAATATACCTGCAGCCATAGTTGATTATTTCATTAAAATTAAAAATTCATTTTCATCTTTTAATTTTGATTTTTTATTTATTAATAAATGACGACTAACTATTTGGTGCCAAACACTAAACCGATTAATGGAAATGTGTTTCATTCATTCGAAAAGATAAATGAAATATTCGCAAAGAATGACGGTAGAAGATATTATAGAGAACTTGAAAGTTCATGCTATGACTCTGATGCTCCATATTTTGATGATAAACAAACTCATTTAAGAATTACAAATCCGGCTCATGATGTGAACCAATTAGGTGACACATATATTAAACGCAAAGTTAAAGCAACTCTAGTTTCAAATAAAGCTTTCACATGTGATGCCGCTTTTAAATGCATGCGTTTATTCGTTGGTTACAAATCATCAAATCAAAGCTTTAAACAATTAGAAGTAGAAACCGAAAGAGGTGATGCCGGTTATCTTCAATGGATTGCGCCCGTGAATCTTTCGCATTTGCAACATATAAACCAAAATCAGAAAGGAAAGTTAAAAAGTTTGTTCATTCGTTATATAATAATGTTCAAAAATATGATAACTCAGTATGTGGTAAATATATTGACCCTTCAGAAGTTTTCAAGAACGCAAATGAAGAAGTTGATATCACTTTTGATATGATTATTCCGGTAAATGATTTGTTAGCATTTCAGGCGTTCGATGATTATCCTAAATCATTTGGTGAAATCATTCTTAAATATTATGTTTTCAGGGATACTTTAGTATTTTGTCAGGTTGACCCGTTAAGAGTTGCTGATTTACAAAATTACGTTTATGAAAAGATAACTGATGAAAATTATGAAAAGATTATGAATCATGTTTATAAATATGATCGCAAATTCCAACAAATCGGACTTCCTGCCAAATTAATTACAAGCTTAGCCGCTACATCTGCTGACGCAACAGTTGATGACGTTATTATTTCATGCACAAAGATGGAAGTTTTAGAGGATAAATGCATTACACCAGGATATGGTTTAATTGAAGAATCAGTTAAAGCAATACCACGTTTATTCAGTAAGGAAGATCCATTCATGATTCCAGCTCAACATATTGACGTTCGTTCACTAAATGGAGGTTGCATCACTCCTGAAGGTATCAGCTCAGATTTCTCATACGCTCTTCATAATGTTACAGATGTTGTGTTAACATTTCCGAAGAATGCAATGCAAAGAACAGTTTTAGAAAATCCAATGCTTCGAGGTCTTCAGGTCACTATAGATTCCAGAAACTTCCCCGATCAAGCGATGACCACAGTGGGTGACATATTCTTTACACGTATGCTTCAAGCTTCTGATTTAGATGGAGTGAATGAATGCACAGAAGAATACGAGGACTCATTAACTAGACCACTGAATGATGATAATGGCACGCCATTAGCTAGAACATGGAAAGACCAAACTTCATTCTTATGCACTATTCCAGTTCAACGTGATGGAGCGGGTATATTCTTTGATGGATTAGAAACTTTCAATTCACAAGTTACAGTACAAGTGAAAGCTTATCCAATCATTCAGGGTGTAAATGACACTTACTGTTCAAAGGTGACAAATCCTCCTCAGGTTTGGTTTACTAGGACTACATATTGGACATGGACACCGGATGAAGGTTTGAAATATCATCCAACAGGTACACCACCACAGTATAGAAGTTCATATGATGAAATATTGATGAATAGAAATGTTTAAAATTATAAATTTATTTTTGATTAAATGGATTTAAATTCATCCACCCCTTATGAAGAATTAGCAGGAGTATATAATACATACGTAGATGATATGATTAATGAAGCATTGAGTGATAATAGAAATGCTCTATCTAAGGAAAAATTAATGAAAATTCCATATTCTGAATGTTACTTAAATTCAATCACTGCAGCAATTGGTAAACAAATAAAGGTAAAACATTAACGATATTAAAACAAATTATCATTATTGCTAACACTTCCCCCCATTCACATGTGTTAATTTATATCAACCGTTCAGGTTCACCTTCAGATGATACATTTGAATCTTTAAAGCATTTAATCAAAATTCCAATTATTTATTTATCACAAGAAGAAGCAGAAGATTATTTAAAAAACTTTTTAATGTATAAAGAATTATATAATACAATCAAGAAGCAAGGATTAGAGGATAAAATTATTGATAAACAACGGATGAATTATTTGAAACACTTTCTATTTCAAATTTTGATAGAGAATTTTTGCATTCACTCATTTTTCTAGATGATGGTGAAATCAAAACTAATAACAAATGAGAAATCATATTTTAATCAGTTATTAACTCAATGTCGACACATTCAGTGTTCATTCTTCATGGCTGTTCAATATTTCAAAGCATTAAGCACAAACATTAAATCAAATCTATCAACACTTTTCATTTTCAGTGGGTTTAGTCGTCAACAGTTGAACGTTATGCTTTATCAAGTGAATTTACCAATGAGCATTAATGAACTTTACACACAATATCAGCAATTAGGTGAACATGGAAAAATAATAGTTGATTTAAATAAAGGAGTGTTAAATTTGATTAACTTTTTATAATTAATTTTTATTTTTTATTTATAATTAAACATGACAGAAATAGCAAATCTTCTACAGGTTCCATTAAAACAAGGGACAAACAAAAAGGGTGCATATAATAGAACTATGAAAGTTCCAGATGGAATGAAAGAATTAGTTCATATTGTTGCTGGTCTTCAAAAAGATGTTAAACAAATGAGAAACGTTTTAACATTACCAGAAGCTCAAGCATATGCCAAATGTCAAGGTCCAAATTGGGAAGCACACGAAGCAGACATTACGGGTCCAAATGGAAAACCTGATGGTATAAATGAAGTTTTCGTTACTGATGGTCAAGGTAATATTAAAGTCATAAATGGGTATAAATTAACTATATCTGATTATCCTAAACGTAAAGCATATAATGAACGTTATCCTATGCAATTTGATGAAAATGGAAAAGCTGTTAAACAATACATTGGAGAAGGTGAAAATGGTCCAATTAATTCATACCGTTATAATCCATATTCTTATTTCAATGAAGAATTAAATGCTATTGAAGAGGGACCGGATGGATTACCACGATATGTTAATCAGTTTGATGGTCAATATGCAAATATTAGACCTGAAATTCCAGCTAAGAAATTCTTTAAAGTTGCTTTATTCGATCCAGTGTTCAATGAACAGAAAGAAGCAATGAAAGCAGAATTTAAACCAATTCAAGTGGCAAGAATTTCTTCATCTTCACTTTCAGAAGCGTTCAAGGAATTGATAAAGAAACCACTTTATTCTCAACAAGGTTATAACTTTGATTTAATTAAAGAAAGTGATAGACGTAAATTAGAAAAATCAGATGGTTTTAAGAATGCATGTAATGAAATGATTAAAGATATTGTAAATGATAAAATAAGACTGGAAGAAACTCAAAGCAATATCAATAACATAATTGGTGCAGTTACAAAGAAAGTATAAGCAAACAATGATGAACCTTGGGATATTACCGTAACAACTAAATAAAACTTTAAATATATTTTTCTTTTTTTTATTCGAATATAAATGAGAAGACGTTTCACTAGTCAAAAGAACACTAACGCAAAAGCAGAGATTACGGTTGGTTATAACGTAAATGATGATAAATCACGAATTATTCAAAATGTTAAAGTTAATGTTAGTCCTGAATTAACTCGTGACTTACCGAAAAAGGAGAAGGAACAAAATAAAGAAGATGAAGACCCAATCATTTTATCTGAACCCGGTAAAGAACCCGTTGAAATTCCCACTTATCCAACATACCCCCGCCTCTTTCATCAAACATCGAGAACCCAGGAATCTACGATTCCAGTCGCAATGCGCCATATAAAATAGACATTAATTCTGAATTAATGAAAATTTACCGTGATATAATAATTAATAATTATGATTCAATAATAAATTTAATTGACCAATCCGGTTTAATTATTTTACCTTATGAATCATTAATTCACATTATCGCCATTCTTTGTGATGTTCAAGATTCAGACGTTAAGATTCAATTTTTCATAGATGATGAGGTTTCATGCTGCGGAACAGTTGCAAAAATAAATCCTATAAAGGATATTAGCACAATTAAGATATCAAAGAACGGAACAACAACTGAACTTCATTTAACTTATAATGATATTTATAATAAAATAGTTGATGAATATAAAATATCACTTGAAAAATTCTTTGTTAAGGCTATTTAATATTCAAGCATTAACATTATCGAATAATAATCCTTTGAATCATAATCAATAATAATTGACCTTTCACCAGTTTCTATCGTTTGTTTTATTTCTTTTTGTTCCCCACTATCCGGATCGGTCATTGTAATTGTTTTTGTTATAGTATCAGCTTTATCTTTAACTTCAATCTTTTTTCCATCGGGATATTTAAACCAAAATTCCAAAAATTCGATATTGTCAATCTGTTCATATTTTAATCTATCAATTACATTTTTAATACCATCTGAAAATCTTATGAAATGGTCATTATATGGGTTTGATTGAACTAAATTTGAATGAAGTGAAATATAACCTGTTGATGAATATGACATTGACTCATATTTTCTGAAAACACTAAAATTTATAACATGAATGAATTTCTTATTCGTTGAATTTATGAATTCTTGAGGTAATCTTATTCTAGTTTTATTTATCACTGGAAAATAACGCTTTACCATATTTTTAATCGTAATAAAAATGTCAATTATCAATATTATTTCGAATAATAACTGTGAATTAAATTTAACAGTTAGCGGAATTTATAATGTTACTCTCGTTTCTGTGAGTGGTAAATTTAATCCCATTCTTTTAGACCCTTCAGATTATATATCATTTATTAAAGATGACCTTGAAAAAACGTATGATATGTATATAAATAATGTGATAACGAAATGGGATATTAACATGATTTTAAGTTATTTAAATGAATCATTTATCGTATGGTATGAAGAAAATTTTAAATCAAAACCCGATAAACTTTTTGAACTTGATGAAATAAATAACCTTATTAAATTTCCGCTGAAAATTAAATTTTGTACTCCTCATCTTCGTTCATTGTTGGGGATATTAAATTTTGAAAAAGATGTTGGGGATGTTTTGTATTCTGACACTGGTTCCAATTTCATTTTAATCAAATGTGATAAAGTTAATACCCCAATGAGATTTTCACATCAAACATTAGACCATAACTCTTACCCATCAATACAAAACATTTTATCCATCAACTTAAACACATTTTCTTTATCATATCCGTTTCAATTATCTGGGAATTCATTTATTCTTCATTCAAAAGATTTATCAAATATTAAATTTAGAGTAACTGACCTATTTGATTATGATTTAGAATTCATGAATGAAATATTATGGCAATTTCAAATAGAAAAAATAGCTGATGAGATAACAGATTAAATATTTATTTTTAAATCATAATAAATGATTAAACAACAGCAACCACAACAACTTAAGGCACAAAGCACCCAGGTCCCTCAGACCATTACATACGCCATATATGCATATAATTCAAAGACGGCAGAACAAACGCAAAGGTTGAAATATGGAGATTTGGAGATAGTATTGAAAAATGACCATTTCGAATTCGTTTGCAAGGGTGGTGCAGTGATATCAAATATAAAAGAAATTTTATTTATGAATTCAAAAATTAAAGGTATAACGGATGATATAACATCAATTCCACCAGAAGAACAGAGATATTACGCATTAAATGCATTTCCTAAAGTTTTGAAGATTGGAAGATTTAATTTAAATGAGGAATTCATAGAAGGTTTCCTAAACGACATAATGAAGAAGGCAAATTTGGTTTATGTTGATGAAAAAGATAATGAAATTAAAGAAAGGGTTGAATGGTATCATGAATGGACATCAAAGATTTTAAAAACTAAAGCCGATACAGGATGGGTTTCAGGATGTTTAGACCTTAAAGCGGATAAGGAATATGTTAACGATGAGTTAGAGAAGAAAGCGGATAAGGAATATGTTAACGATGAGTTAGAGAAGAAAGCAGATAAAACTTATGTTAATGAAGAAATAAAACAATCAGAGGTCTATTTTACTCCGCCATTTTTAAATTTTATGAAATCATCAGATAAAACCTTTGATATAGATTCTTTTGAATGGATATGTTTCGATGGAGTGACCATGTATTTATTTTATACAGATGGAGTGCTTTATTATTTTAAAACAAATGATTTTAAAAACTATGAATCATTTACTCCATCTGTTTTGAATCCTGATACACGAAAGCCAATCATTAATCCAATAATTTTATATGTTGAATATAATAACGGTAAATTTATGGGAATGATAACGGTTGAAGATGATTTTTGCCCTTGTTATTCATTCGATTGTATCCAATGGTTCAAATGTAATTTAAATCAAGATGCTAAATTTAAATATCCAAATAATCCTATTAGATGTGTTAATAATAAATGGGTACTAATTTATGAAGTCAATCAAATTTTCATTAGTGAGGATGGGATAAATTATTATATGTTTAGTATGATGTCATCAGATTTGAAAATTGATTATACAAGTAAGTGGTATTACATTAACAACATGTATTTTATCCTACAAAATGATAAAATTTATAGATCATCTTCAATATCACAAGGTCAATTTGAACAAATTTTTCAAGCTGATGGAGACATTGAAGCTTTATGTTATGGATCAAATGTTTATGTTCTCGTTTCAGGTGAAATGGTCTATTCATATCCTGTAAGTTATAACAGACATATTTATTTATCACAGGATTTATCAAATTGGGAATTGGTTTATTCATTCACTCCAAAATTTACTCAAAATTATAGATTTACAAATTTATTTTATATTGATGGGTATTTCATTGCTTTAGGATGCGGTGATTTAGTAAATATCAGTAGTGATGGAAGAAACTGGTCTGAAATCACAAAATTTCAAGATGTTAGAAAAGCAATTTTCAAAAATAATACGTTAATATTGATAACAAGACCAGTTTTAAATACTCACCCAAATTCAATATTATATAATAAATTCAATATTCATAATGGATTAAATACAATTCTTGAGATGATTTACCCCATTGGTTCTATTTATACGTCAATGAACTCAACAAATCCTTCAAAAGTTTTAGGTTTTGGTGTGTGGGAACCGATTGTAGATAAATTCTTCTATTGTGCGAACTCTTCAAAGGAAACAGGAGGTTCAAAGAAAATTACTGAAGCAAACCTTCCACCGCACACTCATACAGGAACTACAAACTTTTCTGGTGACCATAGTCACTCATTAAGAGACCATCCATTATACAACTCAGAATATTATGCTGGCAATGACGTTTTATCTCCAGATTATAACCATTCAGCAAAAAAGACTTTTCGACCAACTGAACCAGGAGGAAATCATTCACATACTTTCACAACAAATCCAACAGGCTTGGGTAAAGATTATATGCCACCATTTATGACTGTATTCGCATGGTACCGCATTTATTGAATGTGCTTGAGCCTACTTTGCAGGCTTACCGCGTTCATTGAATGAACTAAATATATTTTATGTTTGTAATTAATTAGGTAATGAAGTAATGAATGAACTGCAGAAATAAATGTTTACGTTAATGTTTACAGGTTATTCAATAATGACTTATTTTTGAAGAACTGAAGGTGCTACCATGTTACCATGTGCTACCAGGTCATTTAACTTCTCTGAAAAAGTGTGACAACATGACATTTAGACAACAACACAGGAGGAAGGCAGTTATGAATTATTTTTGAAGAACTGAAGGTGCTACCATGTTACCATGTGCTACCAGGTCATTTAACTTCTCTGAAAAAGTGTGACAACATGACATTTAGACAACAACACAGGAGGAAGGCAGTTATGAATTATTTTTGAAGAACTGAAGGTGCTACCATGTTACCATGTGCTACCAGGTCATTTAACTTCTCTGAAAAAGTGTGACAACATGACATTTAGACAACAACACAGGAGGAAGGCAGTTATGAATTATTTTTGAAGAACTGAAGGTGCTACCATGTTACCATGTGCTACCAGGTCATTTAACTTCTCTGAAAAAGTGTGACAACATGACATTTAGACAACAACACAGGAGGAAGGCAGTTATGAATTATTTTTGAAGAACTGAAGGTGCTACCATGTTACCATGTGCTACCAGGTCATTTAACTTCTCTGAAAAAGTGTGACAACATGACATTTAGACAACAACACAGGAGGAAGGCAGTTATGAATTATTTTTGAAGAACTGAAGGTGCTACCATGTTACCATGTGCTACCAGGTCATTTAACTTCTCTGAAAAAGTGTGACAACATGACATTTAGACAACAACACAGGAGGAAGGCAGTTATGAATTATTTTTGAAGAACTGAAGGTGCTACCATGTTACCATGTGCTACCAGGTCATTTAACTTCTCTGAAAAAGTGTGACAACATGACATTTAGACAACAACACAGGAGGAAGGCAGTTATGAATTATTTTTGAAGAACTGAAGGTGCTACCATGTTACCATGTGCTACCAGGTCATTTAACTTCTCTGAAAAAGTGTGACAACATGACATTTAGACAACAACACAGGAGGAAGGCAGTTATGAATTATTTTTGAAGAACTGAAGGTGCTACCATGTTTACCATGTGCTACCAGGTCATTTAACTTCTCTGAAAAAGTGTGACAACATGACATTTAGACAACAACACAGGAGGAAGGCAGTTATGAATTATTTTTGAAGAACTGAAGGTGCTACCATGTTACCATGTGCTACCAGGTCATTTAACTTCTCTGAAAAAGTGTGACAACATGACATTTAGACAACAACACAGGAGGAAGGCAGTTATGAATTATTTTTGAAGAACTGAAGGTGCTACCATGTTACCATGTGCTACCAGGTCATTTAACTTCTCTGAAAAAGTGTGACAACATGACATTTAGACAACAACACAGGAGGAAGGCAGTTATGAATTATTTTTGAAGAACTGAAGGTGCTACCATGTTACCATGTGCTACCAGGTCATTTAACTTCTCTGAAAAAGTGTGACAACATGACATTTAGACAACAACACAGGAGGAAGGCAGTTATGAATTATTTTTGAAGAACTGAAGGTGCTACCATGTTACCATGTGCTACCAGGTCATTTAACTTCTCTGAAAAAGTGTGACAACATGACATTTAGACAACAACACAGGAGGAAGGCAGTTATGAATTATTTTTGAAGAACTGAAGGTGCTACCATGTTACCATGTGCTACCAGGTCATTTAACTTCTCTGAAAAAGTGTGACAACATGACATTTAGACAACAACACAGGAGGAAGGCAGTTATGAATTATTTTTGAAGAACTGAAGGTGCTACCATGTTACCATGTGCTACCAGGTCATTTAACTTCTCTGAAAAAGTGTGACAACATGACATTTAGACAACAACACAGGAGGAAGGCAGTTATGAATTATTTTTGAAGAACTGAAGGTGCTACCATGTTACCATGTGCTACCAGGTCATTTAACTTCTCTGAAAAAGTGTGACAACATGACATTTAGACAACAACACAGGAGGAAGGCAGTTATGAATTATTTTTGAAGAACTGAAGGTGCTACCATGTTACCATGTGCTACCAGGTCATTTAACTTCTCTGAAAAAGTGTGACAACATGACATTTTGACAACAACACAGGAGGAAGGCAAAAATAAATTCCAATCATACTTTATAAAGCTTCATTTACAGGTATTTCATCGTCAGTAAATGAATCATCATTATCGTTTGGTTCAACCTGTTTATATAATCCTTTCATTTCTTCTTTCAAAACATAACACCATGTTTGTTTACCGTCTATTCTTCTATGTTTCCTATCACATTTATCCTTAATACTCATTTGGAAATTCTTGTCTTTCATGTCTGATGGTTTGCAGAATAGAGCATTTTCACACGTCATACCTGCACACAATTCATCATAATGTGTATTTATCCATACATCTAAAGGATTTGTTGATAACTCGATTAAATCTTGTTTGGCTTCAGTCATCGGTATGATTCGTACATTAAATGATGAAAGGTCATATTGCATAAAATACGTCAGTAAATTATCATAAAATTCCTTAGTGCATGAATCCATTAAATTCTTGAAGTAATCAAATTGACCCTTGAATTTACCATTAACCCTTAAAACTACGTATCTTCTGTCTCCAACTTCAATTTTGACAGGGTAGACGTTGTTAGTTACGAAAATGAAGTTTGCAACGTTCTGAGCAGTTCTTCTGGGTTGATTCTTTTCATTAATTCTAATTTGATTATCCGTAATAATTGATTTCAAAGCGTTGAAGTTTGCGAGTCTATCTTCACCAACATTCTTGAGTTCATTAAGTACAAGAAACATTTTATTTTCAACAACCGAATTGAAATTACCCGTTAGCTCACTTATTTCAGTAATGTTTTTACATGAATAACCAGCGAGAAGTTCAGAAATAATGTCTGTAAATCTGTTTTTACCTGTTCCCTGAAGTCCTTTCAAAATAATTGCTGTTTCATTCTTGATTCCAGGATGTTGAATCATTGATGCAATCCAGCCGAGAAGGTATTTATACACTTCATCGTTATTATCACAAATGGCTTCTTTAATGAAATCCATAAACATCTCAATTTTTGAGTAATCAGGCTTTTCAAGAATGTTGTATTTATAACCTTGAAACGTTGAGAAAACATCTGGAGAATCAGATTTAAAGCAAACACCCTTAACGGTTAATGAGGATAATTGATTTAATAGTACGTCCCATGCTGTTATGGTTTTACCTTCTTCTTTAAATAATTTAATCATTTTGAGTGACTCTTTCATGTTTGATTGAAGAACAAATGATATTTGATTCATTTTGTCGTGTATGTTGTAATCTTTCTGAATGAAGTATTTGTTTCCACAATCTACAAAACGGATTACACGTGATAAATCCTCAATTACTTCAGAACTGTTTTTATACTGATGATTTTCAGCCTTGCGTCTAATATCTGTTATCAAGAATGAATCATCAAGTTTTATATCAAATGTTATTTTTGGCTTACGTAATAAAGGTAAAACGTATTCATCATAATATTCCTTTTGGTATAGTTTTAGAATCTTCACTAAAACAAATGGAGAAGTCATTAAATGTGCATATCTACTACGTGCTTTTTCAAAATTACTTTTAGCATTTTCAGTTAAATTGCAGAAGTTATAAACGTTATCGTAGGCTTCATTAATTAAATGATCCGGTAACGAATTAATTGCTTGAAACAGTGTGAATAATGTTATTTCTTTTTCTAAATTCATGTTTCCACCGTCATTATGTACTTCAAAATCACAGATGCCATCAACTATGCTCTGGGCAAGTTTATCGTCAATGTTTACATCTTTGTTTTCATTCATTATACTCTTTATTTCTTCATTCTTCTGTTCAACTCTTACCTTAATATTCAAATCATTTAATATATCGTTTACTGTTCTAGTTAATGTTGAATCATAACTTCCACGAATGAATGAGTATGTTTTGATTGGTTCTGTTGCATTCTTGCGAACTCTTGAATCAGCCATAACCACTAATGAACGCTTTGAATCATCCATAGAAGTCATTATGTCAATATCATAATCATTGCAGGAATAACATTTAATCATTCTGTTCGAGGTTGAATAGAAGAAATTAGTGTTGCAATAAATGTGAAGACCTCCTGATGCGGTTTTAACGATAACATCTTTATCCGAAAGTTTTGATAAAATGTCTTTTCTAACTGTTTCTTTAAGTTCATCATTGTACGATTTATTGATATCAACATCTATAATCGTTAAATTTGAAATTTTATTTACTAATAAAGCCATACCAGTTTTCCTTCCTCTTCCTCCATCATGTTTGAGGTAGTTATGTAAATCAATCTTGTTTTCACCAATTCTTTCGTTGAGGGTTTTAGTTTCTGCCACAACTAATTCCTCAACTAATGAATCAATAACTTTTTCATCAGAAACGATATAGTTGCTGTTGTTGTTTGTTGCCGTCATTTATATAGGAATAAAAAAATAAAAATAATTTTAAAACTAACTTTATTTTTGGGCTACATCAAATTTTCTATGTTGTTGTCAAAATGTCATGTTGTCTCATTTTTTAAAAGAAGTTAAATGACCTGGTAGCACATGGTAACATGGTAGCACCTTCAGTTCTTCAAAAATAATTCATTAGTTAGAAAAATAACGCTAATTTTATTTTTATATTTTTTTTTATTTTGTATGTAAAGACAGTAATGTCAAACATTGAGTTTGAAACAGTTAGAAAGAAGACAATGACCAAAGTGGTTGAATAGGTCATTTAAACGTAAGATACTCAAAGAAATACAACAAATATTCTTTGTCAGACATTATATCTCCATCTGAAAAGAAAACAAACGACTGGGTTAGAAATGCTTCAACTCAGAAAATTTTGACAAGAAATCCTGAGCTCATGATATCAGTAACATTTCATGGAACAAGAGCATATCTTATAGACAAAAGTCTTATACCAATAGTTTTTATGGTTAGACCCAGTTGTTGGATATAACTTCATAACTTATGGTTCATTCGACTCAGAACGTTGCAGTGAAGGCTTACTTTATATCGTTCAGAAACCGAAGGACTTCAATACAAAGAGATATAAGATAGGAAGAACATATAATATAACTCAAAGATATGACAGTACAGTCAATAGAGTCAAGGTTGTGTTCGTTAATGATATGAGAGCTGCAGAAACAGAACTACTTGAAAAGTTTGAGAAAAGGTATGGTGCTCCCATGAAAGGTAAGAAACGTTTGAAGTAGATGAGATAGATAAAGCTATAAAATTATTTGACGAAGTTGCTGAAAAATACATGTAAAGCGTTTATTTTTGGTCTTTTGTGAAAGTCAGAAAAATAAAGTTAGTTTTAAAATTATTTTTATTTTGTATAAATAACAGATATGTCAACAACAGAGAACACAACAATGCTATCGTTCATGAAGCCATTAATGAAGAATACGAGTACATACTATAACAAACAACTTCACCTCATTCGTTCGGTCAAAGATGATATGTACCAAATGCTCTATTCTGCAAACCATCAGACATGAAAGACAAGAATTTCCTCATATGATTGCTTCCTCGGAAAACCGAGAGAAGAGATTCCATTCGAAAATCGCAAGAGGGTAGAAATGTGGTGAAAAATTAGGTGAAATCTCACCTCTTCACCTAAACATTATTTTTGGGTCATTTACACTCATTACGATGAAGTCATGACAAAACATTTCCTATGTTGTTGTCTAAATGTCATGTTGTCTCATTTTTTAAAAGAAGTTAATTAACCTGGTAGCACATGGTAACATGGTAGCACCTTCAGTTCTTCAAAAATAATTCATAACTGCCTTCCCCTGCTGTGTTGTCAAAATGTCATGTTGTCTCATTTTTTAAAAGAAGTTAAATGACCTGGTAGCACATGGTAACATGGTAGCACCTTCAGTTCTTCAAAAATAATTAATTATTGAATAACCTAACTGATAACAAATTTTTATTTTTATATAAATGGATACCCCACAAGCTCAAAATTTACCACGAATCATAACAAGGGAGGAAATGATAAAAATGATGCAAGAACATGTTAAAAATAACAAACCACTAAAATTGAGAAAATGTGGTTATGCAGTAATGATGGAAAGAGAGATGTTGTCAAAGAGGAATAAAAATTAAATTTGGATTGAGTTTAAAAATTCATCTTTATTAAATTCATCTCTTCCAATCAATTTATTTATTCTATTAAATTCTTTTATTTTTGCTTCACTCAGTTTAAGGATTGAACGGTAAGTTTCTAATTTTTCGATTATTTCTTTATCGTTTTCAGTTCCATTAGTTTTATGGGCATCAACCCCACCGCATTGTGGCTTCTTTTTGTAATAGCATATTTTTGATTTAATTCTGTTTAGTTTCTTTTTATATTCATCGTCTGGACTCTTGGCTGCTTCGTTGTCACTCATTTCTTACGAAATAAAAAAATTAAATATTATTTAAATATAATGGAGTAATAAAATAAATCGGAATTTCTATTAATTTATTGTCAACTTCAACTAATACATTACCGTTAATATATCTAACAAATTCAGCTATTGTGTCAAATCTTCGTCTTCTTTTTGTCATTGATTTATCAGTTTTTCCATAATCGAGATGAATCAAAACTTTATCCCTTGTTTAAAATTCATGAGCCCGAATTAATTTGTTCACGTTTAACATCATTCAACCTTTCCATTTGCTTTCTAATATATTCCCATTCTTTTGAAATATCATTTTTCATTTCCACCGGTTTCATGTTTATTGTTCTATGCCATGTATTATTATAATAATATACTAACTGCTGTATGATGGAGTCATGATTTCCATCCCAGTATATCTGACCGTTAACCCCTAACGCATCTCTAAGAGTTCTCATTACCACATCAACTATTTTATTATGAAACGTATATGGAGAGGATGAGAAGAAAAAATTAATTTGTGGGAAATAATGAGTCATAGCTGCCGGAAATCCTTTATCACCATCACCCCTGATATTATCTATCTTTCATGATCTAGTAAGTATTGAATAGCTTTCTTGTTTCCTGTTCTGTTTTCCCTTTCACTGGAATGCAATATAAATATCTAGTGTTAATGTTAATGGCAAATAAATAAGTAACTTTTCCTTTTGAATATTCCAGATGATCGATTTCGTATGAATATGGATATGGAGCAAATGAGGGGCGACTAAATTTTTCCTTTAACGGTTGAATTTTCGGGTCAATTGGTTTATTTAATATCTTGAAATCCTTTTTAAAATCTTTTTGCTTCTTTAATGTTTGAAATGGATATAATAAAGTGAATGATGAAGGATTAACTGAAGGAGGAGGCGGTACTGTCGTTGGAGGTTTTGGTGTTGCAGGTGGTTTAATTTTATCTGCTTTGATTTTGGATGATGAAGTTTTGGATTTCATTCCTTCCTTCATTAATTCTGGATGTATTCTATTCATTTGTTTTAAATATGCTGTATATAAAGGTTTGATATACTTTCCCGCTTCGAGTTTATGTTGAAGGATGAATTCCAAAAGTTGATCTTCATTTAAAAGTCGGGCTGAATATGGTTTAACTAATGAATCATAAATTAAAGCTTGTGCTTCATTTATGGTCTGAAGGACTGGGTGTTTTTGTCCTTTAGCTGTTGTTCCTTTGGCTTTGGTTTTTGTGGCTCAGGATTATATAATTTATATAATTCATTATGCAATATCTTCTGTTAATACTTTATTTTGAAATCTTTCAACTGTTTAAGTTGTGATTTAGTTTTTCCCTTTGTATATTCATTATTTTTAATTTTGTCTTTAATTTCAGAAATTATTTTATTATGATATTTCAAAATTTCATTTTTATATATATGGATAATAATATTCCATATCATCACCCGTTATATTGTGATCATATTTTTGGAGATATGCTTTTAAATCATAATAATTAAGAAAATTTTGATTAAATACTAAATCATCAATTAAAATTTTTAAATCTGTGTTATTCATTTATATAAAAATAAAATCAATGTTTTAAGGGTGCCCGTCTTTGAATCATAGTATCAAAGCCATCATTAACGGTTCCTTTTGTCTCTTCTGTGGCATTTTATTAAAAATAAAATTTTAAATTGTATTAAATAAATGGCATACAACATCCATTTTCACAACATACAGCTTAGTGTGTGCTCCTGTTAATGCAGTCTTACCAATTGTTAAGCGAGTCATTGACCCGTTTTTAAGTTGTAAATTAATATTCTGACCATCAAATATCAATTTATCATTTATTATATCCAAATAATTTTTAGGTGTTAATTGCTTATTTTGTCTTAAACTAACACCCTTCATTTTTTGTGCAATCTTTTTAAAATCACTTCCATCAATTGAACCGTTGAATGATGTATAACACATTAGGGCATAAAGCAACCATGTTATCACCTTGTTTCTCAATTGCTAAACCCAATAACTTCTTCTCATGTGCTTTTTCTTCAGCTTTATTCTTTAATTTAGGTTTAAATTTCTCATCAAAACAGAAGAAATCAAATGGTGCGAATTTGAAAATGTTTTTATCATAAAATTTTTTATCGGTAACAATCGCCTGAAATGCTTGAGTGTTAGGAAGATTTGGGTCGCCAGCGATTGCCCAATAAGATGAATCAGTATCACCTTCAATGAAATGAAAACGATTAACATTCATGCATTTATAATAAAATCATAAATGAAAACCAAATACCAGTATTTAGCATTATCTAAAGTGAAGAATGCCTCTTGTAAACATGTATCACATCTATAAAATCTATCTTTAAGCATCACTTGATATGTATCTCTCCTATTTCTCTATGTTTTTAAACTTATTTGACATACATGCAACGCGTGACTTCTGTGGCATTCATTATTTTAGTCTTTGTGTAATTTTGTGTATTCATTGCATCGTAACCATATGATCCATTAAGTGAAATCTTGGCAAAATAAACTTTTTCCTTTTTTCCTTCTAATTCAGCCTTTTGTCTTTCGTTCATAAATTTGTTCGCAATTCATTAAAGCAAGTGTGTTTTTCGTAAATGTTAAAATTGATTGAATGTCATCAATGATAAAATTAAACCTGTCGATTAGATACCAAAGATAATAAGAAAAAATGGTTGATATTGGTTGTGTGTTGATGCTAACTGAGTTAATTTTCTCTGTTTCTGGTCAACTGGTAGATTGTTTGATTTCATGTAATTATACATAAAACTGCCAATTGTTTTTTCATCTGTGATAATATCTAAGTTTCTTATTATCGGTAAAAGTTTATGTAATCATTAATGTATTTTTCATCAATGTGACCCTTTACTTCAGCCACGAATAAAGTATTTTTCTTCTTAATTATTCCCAGTGCTTTTGCTTTCTTGTTGCTGTATCACAAATGATAACACCATTCAATCTTCCCGGCATATACATTTTATGGTCAGTATATTGAATGAAATCATGAGGATTAGATGAAAATGATGAAGGATATAATGAATTAAAATCAACACCAACGAAATGAGTCATGATGTTGGAAGTGTCCTCATTTGATACAGTTTTTAGTTCTGGACTATATGAAAGTTTATTAATGTGCGTGATTCCTTTAAGATTAACACGATGTTGAACATTTGATAGACCACCAGTAATTCCATTACGGAGAATGTGATAAGCTTCAACTGAATCTAAAGTCATTGGTAAATTATTTTTTAATGCATAATTTCTTAAATTGATTCTTAAACGTTGAACATCTTCATCTTTATTTGATTTTACGACATTGCAATAACAACACATTAACTGACAATTTTCTTTGGTATGTGGTTTTTCATTATCGATTCTATCCAATGTTGGTTTATTTGCATATGTAAACGCTTTACCACACATTTTGCATTTAGATGAAAGGATTAAATCGTGATAGTATTGAAAATCATCCATTGAAACATTATTTTTAGTATCCCTTTCTGCTTTTTCATCTTGTTTCTTATATGATTCAATTTTATATTTCCAATACTTTTTCGTTAATTCAAAACTTGATTCTATCTCTTCCTCGGGATATTTTTCATTATGATTAAAGTCTTTATATGCTAAAGCGTAACGAATCATTGAAGCATTCGATGATAAAGAAAGATTATGAAGCATGTCAATTTTATAAACAAATGTTTCTTCAATAATTTTATCAATTGGGTCAATCATAATTTCAACATCTTTATTGCAATAATGAATAAAATATTCTAATCTATTCTTAAAGTTTTTAGCATCATTGAGATATATTTGATAATCTGAATCGGATATTGTTTCTTGTGTTAATGCTGAATAAAATGAATCTTTCGTGAATGGTTCCTTTTTATATAATTCATCTTCGTAATTCTCCCATGTGATGAATTGATAAGGGAAAAAGGATTTAACACGTGATTTATTATTTCCGAAATCTTGAGTGAATTGGTCTAATGTCCCACCCGCTATATAATTTCTGATGTCAATAAATCTCAATTCATATGGAACGTTTGTTTTCTTTACAATGATTTGCTTAAATTGTGAAGATGAACCCAGCATTGATTTTATTTTCCATTTTGCAGTGTTTAAATCACGAAGAATTAAATTTAAATCAAACTTTCCCGAATTAAAACCTATGATATTCACTTTATTAAATTCTTCATCTAAAAGCTCTTTCATTGCTTCCTTTTGTTTCTCATTTAATGTATGAGACAAAGTCCCCACCGTTTGGTCTGTTTGCGACTTCATTAATTCTTCATATTGTTCAATATTTGATTTAGCAACTAATGAACAGGTTGAAAATAAAAACTCAATCCAATCAGAAATAAAAGAATCACTCGAAGTTAAGCAAAAATTCCTCGTATATGTTTTATCATTTAATTTAACCGTTGATGATACCATGAATGGTTTTAAGTAAGCGTTCAAAGTTGCACACTCAGAAAGTTGTAATTCTTCTTTAGTCTCTAATGTTTCGAAGTCAAAAGTAATATAATATCTTGTCGGTTTATAATATTTCTGCAAATTATGAGCTAATAACCACTGATATATCTTCTGTTTCGTAATATGTGGTGCATATGGTTGCTGTGTCTTTTGCAACTGAACGTCTTGAATTAATCTCCCATTATTTTCTTTACATTTCTCACAATGTTTTAAAAATCTTCTTTGGTTTTTCCTTTCTGGATCATCACGGATAGAATAAACTTCTTCTTTACAATATGGACAAACTTTATAGCCGGTGAGTGCTTCAACGTCTGTTATTCTGTCAGCGTGAAGTTTTCCACATGGACTCTGTGTTAATAAAATATTTACTGTTTCAAATTCTGGATCTATCATTATTGATTCCACTAATGGAAAGTCTACCTTATTTATGTCCACGTCTTCTGGTTGAGGATCACAATAATAGAAATCAATATTAACATTTAACATTCTCGCTAATCTCTCACTTTCTGATGAAATGTCAAACCCTTCATATGCATCTATTGCTTCATTTAAATAGCTTCTACGAGTTTTAGGATTAACACCATCAGAAATGTTATAGAAGCGTTTAAATAACCTTCTACCTTCTGCTCTAATTTGATTATCATTCATTTAGCTGTTCCGTTTTTGTTCATTTATGTAAGAATAAAAATTAAAAAATAAATAAAAATAAAGTTTATTTTTTTAAAGTCCATAAAATGAATTAAGAACACATAAATTTTTATCATCTGCGACGTGACGAATACATTTTAATTTACTCAAGAATGCGTACCCTGATACATTAAATCTAATTCCTGTCTTATTTAATTTCACAACTTTGAAAAGGAATGTATGAATAGCTATAAAATGATGAGATGATGTTTTATGGGTTGCTTCCATTTTTTCTGAAATAAATGAATAAATATAATGCTTATAAGTTTTCATATCTTTATATTCTTAATAACGAATGGTATAGACCTTTCCACTTCGTCTTCCTTCGGTGCTGTTCTTTCATATGAAACATTATTGGTATCTTCAATAATGAAACCACAATCACACAAAATTTTATAGGTTCCAATGGTTTCTTTTGATATTTTATCTAATAAATCAAAAACTTTATCAACACCTGTGCATTTATTTAAATAATAATTTGTGTAAATATCATGATCTTCTTTCTTAATCGTATTAGTTGCATATGTCACGTTTTTAAGAGCTTTTTTGAATTTTTCGGAATCTAAAGGTGGTGAAAGTAAGATACAAGGGTATTCTTCATTATCAATAAATTGTAACTTATGATTACGAATAAATTTAGTACCTTCTTCTGAAAGTGTTTCATCTATTTCACCATCTAATAAATTTTGTGTTGATTCTGAGACATAATTTTTATATCTTTCTTCGTGAGATTTCTGTACTTCTGATTCTGAAGCTGGGATATTCATTAAACCCTCTACTTCATTTTCATTATATTTTTCAACTTCTCTTAATTCCTTAATTTTTTCATCTATTTCATCTCTTATTTTTTCCAGTCTTTCAATTTTATCGTATTCATCATCTTTAATCCGTTCTTCATAATATTCAGGGAAAACATCATTAACGGTTCCTTCTTTAGATGTGGGATATAAGAAATTTATAACATCATCTTTATTCATTTTTCCATCATAATCAAACTCATTTAAAAACTCCGCGAATTTTTGACAATTTCTTAAATAATATTTACTAACCTCATAACCCGCCTCATCTAATATATCCTTTATTTCCTCGTTTGTGAATCCTAATGTTTTCACGTCGTTAGTCTTGACGCTCATTTCATACAAAATAAAAATAAATTATTCAAAAATGTAAGACATTAATTTTTAAAGTTTATTTTTAAAAAATTTTTTTATTTCATTATGGTAGTGAATCTTTTACTCGTTTATGAGGTCTTTGATTATGACTCCATTGATTCCATTCATGATTTAAACAATGTTTAATTAATCGCGGAATATCTGACATCATCTATATATAGCTTCTTTTATAAAAGATAAAAAATAAATTATTTTAAAATTAATGTTAATTTTTAAAGTTTATTTCGTTATGTATGGGCTGAGTGTAAATGTCTTACAATTTTGAAAATTTTTAAATCTTGATTTATTCAAAAACGTAAGAATAAAAACCGTAAGAATCATACATTTTTTACTTCATATGTTAAAAAAAATGATACAAAATCGCTCAATATTGTATGAATTCTTACGTTTACAAAAAAAGTCACACAACCCTTCCACATATACTACTTCTCTTAACTGAGATTTCAAAATTTTTCTTTCATAGAAGAACTTCAATAATTCCATATTAGGAAGAATTTTTTTCAAGGCATCTTCAGAAAATTCAAAAATAGTTGAAGGATTTCTTTGAGTGAACTGATAGACCTTTTCATATAAATCGAGATCATAGTTGTCATTTTCAACCAAATAGCAAAGAGGATGAGTGTACACTGAATTCGATAAATACATTCCTAAATCATAAAAAATATTAAGGATGGGCACTCATAGGCTCCTGACAGCATAAAAATGTTATTATCTCACAATATAAAAGGAATCATAGGAATCTACAACTATATCTATATTGTTGGAAGACTTCTTAATGTATCATGCATATAAGTTATATCAATAACTCCATTATGTTATATGATTGTAATCATATTTTCGTTTCATGTTCAAAAACATTAAAATCATACTAACTATATGAGTATTATATTTAGGAAGCTGATATATAGATATGATAAAATGCTAGGTTTTGTGATTAAGAATATATACTTATCTTTTAGAAAATAATACTTTTATAAAAAATTATATCTTATATAATCTAAAAATTTTGGACAATTAAAAAACATTAATTAAAAATAGAAGGTGAAAGTGTTTATTCAAAGAAGGTGCATGATTATGATGTTTTGAGGGTGAAATAAATTTAATAATTATTTATGTGATTTAAGAGTAATACGATCATCGGTAGCTTGAAGACCTCTCTTTATAGCTCTTAATGCCGCAAACTTTTTTTGAACTTGCTTTGAATTTTTGAATGCTTTGATTAAATCTTTTGTTGTATCATACATTCTGAAATATCTGTTCATCATTTCTGGCATTGTTGGTAAATTTAACCTGTATCTTATTGCTACAATCGTTTCAAACATACTTTCATTGAAATGCAATATTGTGACTGCCATCCTAATTGGCCAAGAAGCATGCCAATTAATATTTTTATTAGCAAGCATTGCTTTGATATGGTTGAATGAATCTTTTTTACCATATCAAAGATTTTTACGGTATCTTCGAGGAATTTTTTAAGTGTTTTTATAGCAGTTTTATTTTTTGCATATTTCCATGGTTTAATCATCTTGCATTTTTCAGGATCTGGACAAAATTTATGATTTCCGGCATAATGTTTAGCGGAATTCAACCATAAAAACTTCTTTGTTTTAATTGACATATGTGTGTCATTGAGAAGTTGCCTAAGCCAACGCAATAAATTCTTTGAAATGCTAGATAAGATTCTGAATTCTGGCAGTTTGAGCTTTTTCTGTATATTGTTAAGAAAATGTCCAGGATCTCTGTATTCTCTGATACCTTTGAACGTATTTTTGATTGTAGAAACAATTTTGACATCGCCATCATGCACAAAAAAAGTTACACGTTTTTCATTATTCCAACGCTTCAGCATTCTTTTTAAGCCTTCAAATTCCATTTCATTTGATTTTCCGTTGAAATTACCTTTGAAATTTTTAAAAGATTTAGATATCACTTCCCAATCTACAATTTTTTTGAGTTTCTCTTCTACAAATTGTACATAGCAAAACATTGCATTTCTTCTCTGACTCCAAGAACCGTCAAACAAAAGTCCCGAACATTTTCTCATTCGAGATTTCCAATAATTAACAGATTCTCTGGCAACTTCTATGATAACACGACCAACCTTTTCTTGGACTCGATGAAATGTAGCTTCTGACGGAACTTTGATGTTATTCAGCATGAATTGAAATTCTGATTGGCAAAATGTAGCGCCGCTCAATAATACAGATAGCACAAATTCAACAGTGTTGACGACATATGGCTCTACCCTATTTTTCGCGCTTTGAACTAAGTTCTTTATACGCTTTGCAACTGCTTTTGTTCGCCGCGGCATGAAAAATGAAGAATAACTTGACGGTTTCTTGAACAAATGGTCGCACATTCAAATATTGTGATGTACGATCAGGATAAAAGAATGTTGTTGCCGTGAATTTAGAAAATAGCAAAATTTCAATTTACGCAATCGAGATATAACTTGATCGTTTGAGCGATAACCATGGCACCCATAGTATTAATGAAAGTACTCATACTTACAATTATTTTCTCCCATAGGAATATTGTTCAATATACTTCACCTATAGAGGAAATCTCGAAATAAAATCGAATTTTTTCAAAAATTACAAAAATCAATTTTTTACAAAGATGTTCGAAAAATAACATTATATACGCATCAAATCAAAGCATTATATGGAGCATTATAATTCTATATATGATTGTCCATCTTGCTGTTGTGCTATTTTTTTTAAACAATAATTTCATTGTTGAAATTAAATTTGCAATTTCAGTAAAAATTGCGACCCATCATTTTGAATATAATTGAATTAATACATTTATTGTAAGAATATTATATACCAAATATTAGACTTCCACATGAATCCTGGTATGATATTATAAGTATTGCAAAATTAGAAAAAAATATGCTCATGATATACTAAAATTCATGTTTCAAGGTTAACTTATAAATAAAATAAGTTCGAGAAATGCATCACTAAATATTTGAGCTTGTGCACTATAATGCTATATAATAGTCTTCACTGTTTTTAATATATTGACTTTGCTAGACTTGTTTTTTTTTCATCACCCTAATGCGTGCCCATCCTTAAAATAATCATACCTTTTGTTTTTCAAGCTATCAGTAATTATTGAGAAATATTGTACTTTGCCGTGGGATTTAAAGTAACTTGCCATATCTTGTTTGAATCCATTCTTGTATTTTGTAAGTTCTTCAAGAACAGATTTAAATTTACATTCATAATAAAATTTATAGAGATTAAAGTAACTTAAACAAATACCATTCTCTAAACAGAAAATTATGGATCTAATGCTGGAAAAATTCAACTGTTCTAGCTTTGAGTTTTGATAATTCTCAAGAATCCAATCAATTAAATCTGCATTTCGAGAATCCAAAGCGTATGATAATGTATTGTCATATTTAGCGCCTTGTTGTTCAAGTAATCGTATTAATTCTGCGTTTCCCGAAGCGACTGCTAATTGTATTAATTCGGGATCAAGAAGTTGTTCCTTTTTGAACTGGCTATTTGGATCTTCGTTAAGAAGTATGTATTTGATAATGTTAATTGATGGCTTTTCAAATACTTTGAGGAGAACAATGAAATAATGTTCTGATTTGTGATAAAAATTGTTGGAATTTGGAGACATCATCATTTCGAATAATTTGTGTTAACTCGTCTGAAAAACCACTTTCTTCAGAATCAGATGAATCGAAACCATCTTTTTCCTCTTGAAATAGGGAATTTAAATCTGCTTTGCAAGCTATCTTATAGTCCGTATTGTATTGAGTTCTTAATGTAGGTTTGAAAATTTCGACTAGGGTTTGTAGAAGCTGAAAGTACAAGTTATCAGATTTTGGTTCAACTAATGGGTTATTATTGAAAAATTGAAATAAGTATTGGAAATTATCGTAATGAGTTTCACCAGGACCTTCACGGATAAATTGTTCGAAGAATTTAGTTGTTTCACCAAAATTTTCTTGGCAAAGATTATAAAAATGATCTTCTACTGAAACTAATACTTCAAATGGTTTCGGAATAACAATGTCTTTAATGCTTTTGATCTTTAAATCTTCATAAACAATGATATTTTCATTCATTTACAGAAATATACGTTTATTTTATTGAAATAAATTTGTCATGATATAAACTAATCCAAACATATTTAATTTATTTTTTAGAAGTCAGAATTACTAGTTCCCGTGGTTTTGAAATAAAATAAAGAAAATTGAAGATCTTCTCATTCTATTTACTAAATAAATTAACAAAATCGGAATGAATGTGAAATTCTGTGACGTTTTTCACACCAAGATCTATCTTTTCATAGCCATTGTCAAGTAATAGATTCTACCATGAAATACAAATAAATTGCTTTGTTGAACGGTAGGCGATTCCATTAGGACAAACAATTTCATATGATGATATTAATGTCTTCACTCTTGATCTTTGTTTATTTGTAATATTCATTTTAAATTTCCTTATCTTTTGATTTGCAACAGATGAATAGTTCTACTGTATATGAGGCATATATTTGAGAAATATATCAATTTCAATGAATATTTAATAATATAGTGTTAGAAATACCTTGATCAATGAAAAAATATTTTTTAATTAATTTTTAAAAACAATACGAGATATTAAATTAAAGAACAGCAGGATTTTCAACATCTGAAGATGATTCGATAATAGAGCCAGATGAAGAATCATCTTGGTTGTTTCGTCGAATAAAGATAAAAATAACGATCGCGATAACAATGGAAATGATGATAACACCAAATGCACTTAAGAATACAATCAAATATGGGAACTTGTCTTTCTCGGTAGAATTATCTATAGATTTTGGTTGTGTGGTAATAATAAGATCTGAAAGCTTCTTTGCTCCAATACCTGTTTTAAGAAGAATAGTAAAGTTTCCTGAAATATAATTTTTACTATCTTTCTTATCTTCAACATTATCTGCATATACGGTTAACTGATTCATCTCGTGCGTGTTACCAATTGAAATAAAATCAGCATAATATTTATCTTGAACTTGATCTTGATCTTCACTTTCTTCGATTTCTGCTTTAATCTCATTCATTTCAACGCGCGTCGCTTGAATTCTATCTATCTTCTTATATTTATCAAGCCTTTTTACATCTTCTAAAGGAATTATAATAGTTGTTACAGTTTTAACCAAAGTCGAATCAATAATGGTATAAGAATAAGTTGTAGCCGTGATAGTTTCTACATGATCTGGATAATCTGTTGGACTTGGGGTATACGAAGGAGTTTCAAAAGGTGTCTGATGGAATGTTTGTTCTGCTGTATTAAAAGGTGTTTGATGAAATGTTTGTTCTGGTGTTTCAAAAGGTGTTTGATGAAATGTTTGTTCTGGTGTTTCAAAAGGTGTTTGATGGAATGTTTGTTCTGCTGTATTAAAAGGTGTTTGATGAAATGTTTGTTCTGGTGTTTCAAAAGGTGTCTGATGAAATATTTGTTCTATTGTATTAAAAGGAGTTTGACAAGGTGTTTGATATAATGTTTGTTCTGGTGTTGGAAGAGGTGTTGGTGTTGGTTGTATTGAGTCGATGTCTTTGGATGAACTGTAGAAAAGAATACAATTCGATCTGATTTCTGAAGAACTTAAGTTGTATGTGAATAAATCTCGAATTTTATCAGTTTTCTCGAATTTAAGTGATTTTTTATCATTCCCAGTAAGGAGTACTGACAATGTTTTATATTTGATAGATTCACTTGAGATTTCTAATGAAACGTTTTCATCAACAGAGAATTTGTCATCTGTCGAAATGTAAACAATGTTTTCGTCTTCAATTTTAATATTCTCGCCGTCGTTTGTAATATGTGTTGAAATAGAATATGGTTGTGGTATAAATGATATCTGTATTTCACAGTTTTGAAGTTTGTTCGAACAATAAACTTTTGATAACGGACTAACATCGTAAATGACGGTATAAATGTCTTCACTGTCTATTATGTTTGTAACAACAAATGGATCAACAATAGTATTGTTTGTGTGTTGAACTTGTAATTTCGAATTTAGTTTTGGATAAAAAACATCTGCCGATATTGATGTATTTGATCCGATAATGAATGATCCATATACACACACAAATTCGTTTTGATTCAATGTTTTGAAAATATCAACATTTTCGTTTTGATTAAAGTTATTTTTTAGAATTCGTCCATTACATTCAGGCATTATTGAATATATTTGTTCATCTATCTTGCTGCTGATGGTATTATTTAGATATCTCCTCAAGGATACCAAAAACAATAGCATTATTCAAACACTGAAAAGTCCCTATGAAAAGTTTATGTCAGATGTAAACACACCGAAATTAAAACCAATAAAAATTATCATGCAGGATAAAAACATAATGGGAATTTCTCGCATATGTTCGTACATGAGCAAATACTATACCTTTTGCGAATAAAGAATTTTTTCATAAAAATTTTTTTAGGAATTAGCATATCGACGTTTTGCGACATTGCCAAACGCCAGATTTTAACCCGACATATGAGCATAAGCTTGTATATTGGAATAAACTCGACTTATTCCATATTAAAGTTATTATAATAATAAGGCACTTAATGTGCAAATCTAATTGAATTAGAAAATGCACATTAAGTGCCTTTTATTGGAATATGTAATACCACATATGGAATACCGAAATCCGAGCATCAATTAGGAATGAACTAGTGCAAATTTTAGAAATACAGTATTATGTTAAATTCAGGATAAAAATTGTTAGAAATTTATATTTACAAATGAGTAAATAAGTATTTTGTAAAGTTTTCGTTTGATTTTCAAGCTTGTTGGAGAAAAACAATGAAAATAATTATTTATTTAAGCAATTTACACTAAAACTTTTTATGGAAATTGCAGTTCTAGCAATGTCTTAGAATTTAATTGTCATTTAAAGTGTGAAATGCATTGATTTGCTAGTGAATGTAAATCGGGAATACAAAATTAATATAAATGAACGAAAAATCTTCTAAGAACATCCTAAAATCAATCACCCTTTGAGTGGCTTTCATAATATATCTAGATGATAAACCAGAAATTGAACCCGCATATGGGTCCCATTAGGATAAATTGTAAACTATTCAAAAATAGTTTACAAAATTAATTTAGGTAATAATAAAATTTTTAATTGAGATAAATTAAAAAAAATCTTAGGAGAATGTTATGGATTTTCTTCATTGAACCATTCGATAAATGAGCATCTTTGCGAGCCATTTGTGTTCGAGAGTCTTGTACCATAAAGGTGGCATCTCAGCAGTTGAGCATCCCTTCAATGCATTGATATCTGTTGATGGAACAGAGTATGCGACTTCATCATTGATCATGATCCAATATGCACTTTTTTGCAAAAAGACCACGTAATGAAAATTGCAATAGGCAACAATTGCAATCAATTGATATCTTTGCCTTTCGACTGTTGGGAGTGTCAACTTTTTCGGGAAGTCAAAGATGACTTGATGAATCGAATCATTCTGCCACTCTCTCTGAATGTCGAAAGTCAAGAATTGTGGCCATGATGTGTTCCTTGTAGTTGACAAATGATATTGAATGGCATGATCGAGATCTGGTTCTCCAATTCTGGTGTGAATCGAGTAGCAATTTGTTTGTTCGTTGGCACTATCACGGTAAGTGATTCGGAAGAGTTGACCGATTCCTGGTATTTGCTCTGCGAGATCTGTGATCAATCTTGTCATCGTGTCATCACAATCTTGTGCCTCATATGTTGAGTTACCAAGTAATGTGGCAAGTTCATGGGGAACGAAGACTAATCCTTTGGACTTCAATGAATTCAAATTTGTAAAGATACTTGACATCTCTGTTACGATGGGAGAGGACTGATTGGCAACCTTCAAAACTTCTGTTCTCACTTCGGATATGTAGAACAGAACCTGTAAACATACGTTCAAATGACACGTATTTCCCATATTATGAAGACCAACAATACCACCTTTAATTGGGTAAAGGTAGTTCGCCTCTTGTGATGACTGTATGATATCGACAGCTTGATGAGCGACAGCAATGATGTTCCGCTTTGATGGTTTCATGGAGGGTGCAACAACAGCAGCGACGGTATCGCTTGAAGGAAGAACCTTTGTTGGTGTAAAATCTTCGAAAAGGAGTAACTCTTCATTATCATTCAGGGGTGATCCATCAATGTTATAATTTGTCAAACCGACTAAACCTGATATGATCAGAGGAAGTGATGTGCGCTCACCTCGAAAACCATTTTTCATGCAGGACCAGCATGACTTGAAACGTGCAAAGAAACGCTCGACAATCTGCCTGTCTTGGGCAATGGCGTTGTTGCGTTCAACGTCTGCTTCTTCGTGGCTTCTCTTCATCACCACGGCAGTAAGGTGATATTTCTGGATTCCAATATAGCCCCGGTCGGCAAGTCCAGGATATTGGTAATCATCAAATCCTCGCTTTACTGTCAAAAAATCCGAGACTTTTGACAAATCGAAAATCTTCTTGTCATGGACTGCAGCCATAAACTCAACGTTTTGATGTATGGCTTTTCCATCTGGTGACACGAGGACTTGGAGCTTAATACCGTTGCAGTGGTTTTTTTTCATCCCAACTATAAAGCCTCTCTTCCTTTACCGAAGGAATGTTGAAAGGAATTGTAGTGCTGTCTACAGCTGCAACAGCATCAGGGAAGTTTGTAAATTTGTTCTTCATTGAAGTTAACGGTGGACAGTGATTGGGAAGAAAATAGCTCGCAAAGATTGGAAATGCAACATTGGTAGTTCTTGTAACTAATTTGGAATAGCATGACTGGGAAATATGTAGCAACGGACATAATGCTGAATAGGGCAAGTATGTGCAGTAATATGTGAGCGTGAGGAAGAGAGACTCGATTGTTGAAAATTTGACCTTCCTTCCTCTTCTGGCCCTTCCACAGTTGGATTCAATAATGTCAGCGAGGTATTCCAACTGTTCATATGTGGGGAGCTTTGGATGCATCCTGATGAATATTGAAATCGAGAACCTGGGCATTGGATTGGTCAATGTCATCTCTTTTGCCTCTTCTTCATTTAATGGCTCTTCATCTGTGTCGGAATTCTCAGGTGTAACAGTAACAACAATGTTCGCCCTTCTGGATTCTTTTATCTTGGTGATGATATCTTCATCGCATGGTTCATCCATGTTGATAAATGAAGTGATTAAAAGATATAAAATTCTTATCAAATTTGAAATAGAGTTCAAAATTAATAAATAATGAAACCCAATCAATTTAATCATATCTAGATATCCTAATATATATCATTTTAAACTTGAAATTAAGAAACTGTGAAGAATTAAAAAACGTTTAAAATCTTTCATACAATTTAATCATATCTATATATTCTAGTATATATCATTTTAAACTCGAAATTAAGAAACTGTGAAGAATTAAAAAAAACGTTTAAAATCTTTTAATAGAAATAGTTTATTTAAAAAATAAAAGTTTAACGAGAGAGGGTCAAAGTTGCTATTTGTCACTTTTCCACAAGAATATAATGGGGAAAAAGTTATCATATAGTTGATCTCATTCACTGAGGTGAGAGATGCATGTAGTGTAATGTGATAAACAGTGGGATTGCTGCTCTAAGTCCTAGGTTCGAGACACATTGGCTTCATTTTTCTCTTTTTTATTGACGTAAACTATTCAATTTTTGTGTTATCCATTCAAATTTCAGAATTTTTTTTGCAGATTTCACGCTACATTCGAAGTTACCTTTTGTAACAACCACCACCGCCTACGAAAGACGAAAGTGTGTCACGATTTCACCCGGAAATCCGACGGTTGTTTAAGAGTAAGCACTTTTGGCACCTACTCAAAGTTTAACTGGTGCATAAGTAAAAATTAGATTCTCGAACTTATTATTATTTTTGATTGAAATATTAAAATAGTATTCCAATCAAAAATAATAATAAGTTCGAGAATCGTAATTTTAGAACTTTTTTACATTCTTCACGCCTGTAAAATATTCCATAATTACAGATTTTATTAATTACTACTTTTTTAGATACATTCTAAAGCTGGCGAAGCAACGCTAAAGTAATGATTAACAGTGAATCACTGCGACGACCCAACATAATATATTGAGATTAATTTTCTAGGTACGGTTGAAATGGCGGAGACCTTCTGGCTGTGCCTCAGAGCCCCTAAAATATTTCAAAAGAAATATTTCTACCATTTCGTCGAAAGATTAATCTCTGACTATGTCCGAGATAGCATCACTCAGGCGAAAGTATTACGCCGAGAATACCGATAGAAGTTTCTATCTAGTATAAGCGCCAGTATTTAGAAGAAAACATCTAAAAAATGAACTATTTGTTTCATTCAATTATCAATTTTTTTTGTGAAAAAAAAAATTTTGAAATTATACTTATAATATTGTTAGCATATATAAAATAAACATTTTGGGAAAAATTATAAAATTTTCCAAAATTTACCATCGAAAATTTTCCCAAAAATTTTCAAAATTTTCCCAAATATCCATCAACATTTTTCCCAAAAAATTTCACAGGAAAGTTTGCTAAAGCGGAACCCAACTAATATGTTCAATTCATGAAAATTTTATTTTAATTTACTAGGTTTATATAAACTTTTGAACCTTTTATGATGTCTATAACAACTCAAATCAATTGCAATTCATTAATTTATTTGTTTGAGACAAATCATTAATTTATTGATTTTTTTTGAAACAAAAAAAGGACATAGGAACTATTCAATTTGTTTGTAATCCTTTTTTATCCACACTTGCTGAAAAAATAAAAAAAATTAATTGTTATATAAAATATCTTTGTATTTTGATTACATATTCTATATGTGGTATTCCGCAAATCATATTTCATATTCCATATGTGGTATTACATATTCCAATAAAAGGCACTTAATGTGCATTTTCTAATTCAATTAGATTTGCACATTAAGTGCCTTATTATTATAATAACTTTAATATGGAATAAGTCGAGTTTATTCCAATATACGAGCTTATGCTCATATGTCGGGTTAAAATCTGGCGTTTGGCAATGTCGCAAAACGTCGATATGCTAATTCCTAAAAAATTTTTTTTATGAAAAAATTCTTTATTCGCAAAAGGTATAGTATTTGCTCATGTACGAACATATGCGAGAAATTCCCAATATTAAATTTAAAATTCATTATAAATTTCATTATTGGGGACAGTCATGTGACATGAAATAGGGAAAAAAGTGATGGTAAAATTTATTGAAGGACAGTCATGTGATATGAAATGAAAACGATTAAAACTGTTTTACTCTAAATTACAAGAAATAACCATTCTTACTGTTCATCCTGAGACCCAATAGAATATCTTGGCATCTAAGAGTCTCACAATTTAGCAATATAAAAAAAATTGATTTGAAATAAGAATGATAGTGTAAATTCTAAAGTTTAAATAACAGAGAAAATGTGATATTCTATTTCTTTGATAAGAATGGATATGAACCTGTGCTGATAACTTCAAAAACGCCAGGTCCGTTTAAGATATCAGCTTCGCCATCAATTTGGAAGACGCATGGCTCATCCGTTGTAATGTTGACGCTTGTTGCTTGGCAAAGTGGAGTTTGAGTTGGAATTCCAAGCTGCATGAGGCCGAGCTTGAAGCTGCCGCCTTCAATAGAGCATTCAAGCTTCTTATCAGAGTGACTTCTTGGAATCTTTAACCTCCAAAGGTCTTTTCCACCGTAAATTGAAGAAATATTTTGCATGACAAATGTTTTTTGGCCACACTTGAAGTCCAATGTCTTTGTAGCTTCTACTCCTTGCTCGTCAGTGTCGGTAACTTTGATTTCGGTGAATTTTCTGAGATCTGGATTTCCACAGAGAGCTGCAACGCCCATAGGAACGTATAAAGCTAAGGCCATGCAATGGCAGCAGAAGCAGCACCTGCAGCAGTGTCTGCATGTCTCAAATCTGTGGGCCATGTCTGCATCGACACCAATTGAAAAGTAGTTAAGCATTTGCTTCTCGGAAACTTCACTAATATCGGTACGTGTCATCTTGATCTTCCAGATATCACCTTTTTCGATGTGGTCGCTTGTACGGACATTTTCAATGAATTTTGCTGCTTTTTTGAGGCCGCGTTCGGACATACCACCACCCCAACCTAATGATCTTGACATATCATTGCCTGTGCCGAATGGGCAGACAGCAATTGGCGGTTTCCAATCATCAGAATCTAATGGAGTGATTTTAGACATTAAAGAGACAACCCAGTTAACGGTGCCATCACCTCCGGCTGCGACAATTCTTAGTTCGTGATTTTGAAGCAAATCCTTGTAAGTTTCAGCGAAAGTATGTTGTTCATCTGGCAATCTAACAAAATGAACGCCTTCAATATCCTTTATCTTATCCATAAAGCGGCCAGCAAGGTTTGCACCACTTGCCGGGTTAATGAAAACCAAAACAGGACGACTCATGATATTTTTTTATAAAAAAATTACGATCAGTTTTTCATTTTCAACGGCCAGAATCATTTCAATTCTCTCAAAAACTTATTTATCGATGATATGCTAATTGCATCTTATAAACGAATATAAATAAGTTAAATAAAATTTTTTATTGAACACTTTAATTAGTAGTATATGTTGACGGGTTGTGTGACTTTTTTTGTAAACGTAAGAATTCATACAATATTGAGCGATTTTGTATCATTTTTTTTAACATATGAAGTAAAAAATGTATGATTCTTACGGTTTTTATTCTTACGTTTTTGAATAAATCAAGATTTAAAAATTTTCAAAATTGTAAGACATTTACACTCAGCCCATACATAACGAAATAAACTTTAAAAATTAACATTAATTTTAAAATAATTTATTTTTTATCTTTTATAAAAGAAGCTATATATAGATGATGTCAGATATTCCGCGATTAATTAAACATTGTTTAAATCCTGAATGGAATCAATGGAGTCATAATCAAAGACCTCATAAACGAGTAAAAGAAATTAGAAATAATTATTTTCATGAATGAAAGATTCACTACCATAATGAAATAAAAAGAATTTGATGAGTTCAACATTGAACTTTAAGAAACTAATGATTGTTTGAATTTATGAAATCAATTATTTGATTCATTCTTTCTTCAATCTCTTCTATTCTTTTTGTTAAATCATCAATTTTCATTAATGAGGTGATTCTTGATTGAGGAATAGATTTCAAACTAATCACCCCTTTTATTTTTGAAATTTTGAATCCATCAACTTTAAACATTTTATTCAATTTACACGTTGTCAATTCTTCAAATAATTTTTTATTATTAGCATAATAGTCATTAAATTCTTCAACAGATGAAAAATTTTTTATTTCAGTAATTGGTTTAACAACGTTTATTTTTTGTTGAACATTTTCACTTTCATTTATTTCTTCCTCCTCTGTTTCATTTATTTTTAAAATCGGTTTCATTTATCATTAAATAAAATTAGAATATAAGTGATGAAATATATTTTTTAATTAATATTAAATCAGAAATGGCTGCAGGATTCTTTAAAAAATTATGGGATGGAATTAAGAAAGCTGCGGGTTGGGTTCATAAAAATATTATTAAACCCGTTGCAAACTTTTTAGCACCAGTAGCGAAAACGGCAGGAACTATCATAGGTGGAGTATTAGGTACTAAAGCAGGTAATCCGGCGATTGGAGCACAAGCAGGTAACGCAATTGGTGGAATAGCTGAAGGAATACTTAATAAAATAGAGGTAGATAGTGGAAAAATAAATATTATTTTTATCTTAGTATCGGTTGAAGTCTTTGATAAACTTTTTCTCCTTTATTTAATATTTCTCTTATTGGGGCGGCTTTTGTTATTGAATTCAGCAACGTCACTAATTGCTTCTTTATTCTTAAATATCCAATTTGCTCCTTTCTTCATTGTTTCCCAAACTTTATGCGCTCCTCTTTTACTTTATCCCATAATTTTTTAAAGAATCCTGCAGCCATAGTTGATTATTTCATTAAAATTAAAATTCATTTTCATCTTTAATTTTGATTTTTTATTTAATAATAAATGACGACTAACTATTTGGTGCCAAACACTAAACCGATTAATGGAAATGTTTCATTCATTCGAAAAGATAAATGAAATATTTCGCAAAGAATGACGGTAGAAGATATTATAGAGAACTTTGAAAGTTCATGCTATGACTCTGATGCTCCATATTTTGATGATAAACAAACTCATTTAAGAATTACAAATCCGGCTCATGATGTGAACCAATTAGGTGACACATATATTAAACGCAAAGTTAAAGCAACTCTTGTTTCAAATAAAGCTTTCACATGTGATGCCGCTTTTAAATGCATGCGTTTATTCGTTGGTTACAAATCATCAAATCAAAGCTTTAAACAATTAGAAGTAGAAACCGAAAGAGGTGATGCTGGTTATCTTCAGATGGATTGTGCCCGTGAAATCTTTCGATTTGCAACATATAAACCAAAATCAGAAAGGAAAGTTAAAAAGTTTGTTCATTCGTTATATAATAATGTTCAAAAATATGATAACTCAGTATGTGGTAAATATATTGACCCTTCAGAAGTTTTCAGAACGCAAATGAAGAGAAGTTGATATCACTTTTGATATGATTATTCCGGAAAATGATTTGTTAGCATTTCAGGCGTTCGATGATTATCCTAAATCATTTGGTGAAATCATTCTTAAATATTATGTTTTCAGGGATACTTATTATTTTTCAGGTTGACCCGTTAAGAGTTGCTGATTTACAAAATTACGTTTATGAAAAGATAACTGATGAAAATTATGAAAAGTTATGAATCATGTTTATAAATATGATCGCAAATTCCAACAAATCGGACTTCCTACCAAATTAATTACAAGCTTAGCCGCTACATCTGCTGACGCAACAGTTGATAACGTTATTATTTTCATGCACAAAGATGGAAGTTTTAGAGGATAAATGCATTACACCAGGATACGGTTTAATTGAAGAATCAGTTAAAGCAATACCACGTTTATTCAGTAAGGAAGATCCATTCATGATTCCAGCTCAACATATTGACGTTCGTTCACTAAATGGAGGTTGCATCACTCCTGAAGGTATTAGCTCAGATTTCTCATACGCTCTTCATAATGTTACAGATGTTGTGTTAACATTTCCGAAGAATGCAATGCAAAGAACGGTTTTAGAAAATCCAATGCTTCGAGGTCTTCAGGTCACTATAGATTCCAGAAACTTCCCCGATCAAGCGATGACCACAGTGGGTGACATATTCTTTACACGTATGCTTCAAGCTTCTGATTTAGATGGAGTGAATGAATGCACAGAAGAATATGAGGACTCATTAACTAGACCACTGAATGATGATAATGGCACGCCATTAGCTAGAACATGGAAAGACCAAACTTCATTCTTATGCACTATTCCAGTTCAACGTGATGGAGCGGGTATATTCTTTGATGGATTAGAAACTTTCAATTCACAAGTTACAGTACAAGTGAAAGCTTATCCAATCATTCAAGGTGAAAATGACACTTACTGTTCAAAGGTGACAAATCCTCCTCAGGTTTGGTTTACTAGGACTACGTATTGGACATGGACACCGGATGAAGGTTTGAAATATCATCCAACAGGTTACACCACCACAGTATAGAAGTTCATATGATGAAATATTGATGAATAGAAATGTTTAAAATTATAAATTTATTTTTGATTAAATGGATTTAAATTCATACACTCCTTATGAAGAATTAGCAGGAGTATATAATATATACGTAGATGATATGATTAATGAAGCATTGAGGATAATAGAAATGCTCTATCTAAGGAAAAATTAATGAAAATTCCATATTCTGAATGTTACTTAAATTCAATCACTGCAGCAATTGGTAAACAAAATAAAGGTAAAACTTAACGATATTAAAACAAATTATCATTATTGCTAACACTTCCCCTCATTCACATGTGTTAATTTATATCAACCGTTCAGGTTCACCTTCAGATGATACATTTGAATCTTTAAAGCATTTAATCAAAATTCCAATTATTTATTTATCACAAGAAGAAGCAGAAGATTATTTAAAAAACTTTTTAATGTATAAAGAATTATATAATACAATCAAGAAGCAAGGATTAGAGGATAAAATTATTGATAAACAACGAGATGAATTATTTGAAACACTTTCTATTTCAAATTTTGATAAAGAATTTTTGCATTCACTCATTTTTCTAGATGATGCAGTGAAATCAAAACTAATAACAAATGAGAAATCATATTTTAATCAGTTATTAACTCAATGTCGACACATTCAGTGTTCATTCTTTATGGCTGTTCAATACTTCAAAGCATTAAGCACAAACATTAAATCAAACCTGTCCACCCTTTTCATTTTCAGTGGTTTTAGTCGTCAACAGTTGAACGTTATGCTTTATCAAGTGAATTTACCAATGAGCATTAATGAACTTTACACACAATATCAGCAATTAGGTGAACATGGAAAAATAATAGTTGATTTAAATAAAGGAAGTGTTAAATTTGATTAACTTTTTATAATTAATTTTTATTTTTTATTTATAATTAAACATGACAGAAATAATCTTCTACAGGTTCCATTAAAACAAGGGACAAACAAAAAGGGTGCATATAATAGAACTATGAAAGTTCCAGACGGAATGAAAGAATTAGTCCACATTGTTGCCGGTCTTCAAAAGGATGTTAAACAAATGAGAAACGTTTTAACATTACCAGAAGCTCAAGCATATGCCAAAAGTCATGGACCAAATTGGGAAGCACACGAAGCAGACATTACGGGTCCAAATGGAAAACCTGATGGTATAAATGAAGTTTTCATTACTGATGGTAAAGGTAATATTAAAGTCATAAATGGTTACAAATTAACGATAACTGATTATCCTAAACGTAAAGCATATAATGAACGTTATCCTATGCAATTTGATGAAAATGGAAAAGCTGTTAAACAATATATTGGAGAAGGTGAAAATGGTCCAATTAATTCATACCGTTATAATCCATATTCTTATTTCAATGAAGAATTAAATGCTATTGAAGAGGGACCGGATGGATTACCACGATATGTTAATCAGTTTGATGGTCAATATGCAAATATTAGACCTGAAATTTCAGCTAAGAAATTCTTTAAAGTTGCTTTATTCGATCCAGTGTTCAATGAACAGAAAGAAGCAATGAAAGCAGAATTTAAACCAATTCAAGTGGCAAGAATTTCTTCATCTTCACTTTCAGAAGCGTTCAAGGAATTGATAAAGAAACCACTTTATTCTCAACAAGGTTATAACTTTGATTTAATTAAAGAAAGTGATAGACGTAAATTAGAAAAATCAGATGGTTTTAAGAATGCATGTAATGAAATGATTAAAGATATTGTAAATGATAAAATAAGACTGGAAGAAACTCAAAGCAATATCAATAACATAATTGGTGTAGTTACAAAGAAAGTATAAGCAAACAAGGATGAACCTTGGGATATTACCGTAACAACTAAATAAAACTTTAAATATATTTTTCTTTTTTTTATTCGAATATAAATGAGAAGACGTTTCACTAGTCAAAAGAACACTAACGCAAAAGCAGAGATTACGGTTGGTTATAACGTAAATGATGATAAATCACGAATTATTCAAAATGTTAAAGTTAATGTTAGCCCCGAATTAACTCGTGACTTACCGAAAAAGGAGGAGGAGCAAAATAAAGAAGATGGAGACCCAATCATTTTATCTGAACCCGGTAAAGAACCTGTTGAAATTCCCACTTATCCAACATACCCCCCACCTCTTTCATCAAACATCGAGAACCCAGGAATCTACGATTCCAGTCGCAATGCGCCATATAAAATAGACATTAATTCTGAATTAATGAAAATTTACCGTGATATAATAATTAATAATTATGATTCAATAATAAATTTAATTGATCAATCCGGTTTAATTATTTTACCTTATGAATCATTAATTCACATTATCGCCATTCTTTGTGATGTTCAAGATTCAGACGTTAAGATTCAATTTTTCATAGATGATGAGGTTTCATGCTGCGGAACAGTTGCAAAAATAAATCCTATAAAGGATATTAGCACAATTAAGATATCAAAGAATGGAACAACAACTGAACTTCATTTAACATATAATGATATTTATAATAAAATAGTTGATGAATATAAAATATCACTTGAAAAATTCTTTGTTAAGACTATTTAATATTCAAGCATTAACATTATCGAATAATAATCCTTTGAATCATAATCGATAATAATTGACCTTTCACCAGTTTCTATCGTTTGTTTTATTTCTTTTTGTTCCCCACTATCCGGATCGGTCATTGTAATTGTTTTTGTTATAGTATCAGCTTTATCTTTAACTTCAATCTTTTTTCTTAAATTTCTTAAATTGATTCTTAAACGTTGAACATCTTCATCTTTATTTGATTTTACGACATTGCAATAACAACACATTAACTGACAATTTTCTTTGGTATGTGGTTTTTCATTATCTATTCTATCCAATGTTGGTTTATTAGCATATGTAAACGCTTTACCACACATTTTGCATTTAGATGAAAGGATTAAATCGTGATAGTATTGAAAATCATCCATTGAAACATTGTTTTTAGTATCTCTTTTCGCCTTTTCATCTTGTTTCTTATATGATTCAATTTTATATTTCCAATACTTTTTCGTTAATTCAAAACTTGATTCCACATTTTCTTCTTCTGGATATGTTTCGTTAGGATTGAAGTTCTTATATGCTAACGCGTAACGAATCATTGATGCATTCGATGATAAAGAAAGATTATGAAGCATATCAATTTTATAAACAAATGTTTCTTCAATAATTTTATCAATTGGGTCAATCATAATTTCAACATCTTTATTGCAATAATGAATAAAATATTCTAATCTATTCTTAAAGTTTTTAGCATCATTGAGATATATTTGATAATCTGAATCGGATATTGTTTCTTGTGTTAATGCTGAATAAAATGAATCTTTCGTGAATGGTTCCTTTTTATATAATTCATCTTCGTAATTCTCCCATGTGATGAATTGATAAGGGAAAAAGGATTTAACACGTGATTTATTGTTTCCGAAATCTTGAGTGAATTGGTCTAATGTTCCACCCGCTATATAATTTCTGATGTCAATAAATCTTAATTCATATGGAATGTTTGTTTTCTTTACAATGATTTGCTTAAATTGTGAAGAAGAACCCAGCATTGATTTTATTTTCCATTTTGCAGTATTTAAATCACGAAGAATTAAATTTAAATCAAACTTTCCCGAATTAAAACCAATGATATTCACTTTATTAAATTCTTCATCTAAAAGCTCTTTCATTGCTTCCTTTTGTTTCTCATTTAATGTATTCATTAATTCTTCATATTGTTCAATATTTGATTTAGCAACTAATGAACAGGTTGAAAATAAAAATTCAATCCAATCAGAGATGAACGAATCACTTGATGTTAAGCAAAAATTCCTCGTAAATGTTTTATCACGGTCTACGACCTCGCCGCTTTGCGGCTTTATTTTGACAGTTGATGATACCATAAATGGTTTTAAGTAAGCGTTCAAAGTTGCACATTCAGAAAGTTGAAGTTCTTCTTTAGTCTCTAATGTTTCGAAGTCAAAAGTAATATAATATCTTGTTGGTTTATAATATTCCTGCAAATTATGTGCTAATAGCCATTGATATATCTTCTGTTTCGTAATATGTGGTGCATATGGTTGCTGGGTATTTTGCAATTGAACGTCTTGAATTAATCTTCCATTATTTTCTTTACATTTCTCACAATGTTTTAAAAATCTTCTTTGGTTTTTCCTTTCTGGATCATCACGGATAGAATAAACTTCTTCTTTGCAAAAGGGGCAAACTTTATATCCTGTGAGTGCTTCAACGTCTGTAATTCTGTCAGCGTGAAGTTTTCCACATGGACTCTGTGTTAATAAAATATTTACTGTTTCAAATTCTGGATCTATCATTATTGATTCCACTAATGGAAAGTCTACCTTGTTAATGTCTACGTCTTCTGGTTGAGGGTCACAATAATAAAAATCAATATTAACGTTTAACATTCTTGCTAACCTCTCACTTTCTGATGAAATGTCAAACCCTTCATATGCATCTATTGCTTCATTTAAATAGCTTCTACGAGTTTTAGGATTAACACCATCAGGAATGTTATAGAAGTGTTTAAATAACCTTCTACCTTCTGCTCTAATTTGATTATCATTCATTTTAGCTGTTCCGTTTTTGTTCATTTATGTAAGAATAAAAAATTAAAAAATAAATAAAAATAAACTTTATTTTTTTTAAAGTCTGAGACTCAGAGAGTCCAGGGTTAAAACCCATAAAATGAATTAAGAACACATAAATTTTTATCATCTGCGACGTGACGAATACATTTTAATTTACTCAAGAATGCGTACCCTGATACATTAAATCTAATTCCTGTCTTATTTAATTTCACAACTTTGAAAAGGAATGTATGAATAGCTATAAAATGATGAGATGATGTTTTATGGGTTGCTTCCATTTTTTCTGAAATAAATGAATAAATATAATGTTTATAAGTTTTCATATCTTTTATGTTCTTAATAACGAATGGTATAGACCTTTCCACTTCGTCTTCCTTCGGTGCTGTTCTTTCATATGAAACATTATTGGTATCTTCAATAATGAAACCACAATCACACAAAATTTTATATGTACCAATTGTTTCTTTTGATATTTTATCTAACAAATCAAAAACTTTATCAACACCTGTACATTTATTTAAATAATAATTTGTGTAAATATCATGGTCTTCTTTCTTAATCGTATTTGTTGCATATGTTACATTTTTCAGTGCTTTTTTGAATTTTTCAGAATCAAGAGGAGGTGAAAGTAATATACATGGATAATCTCCATCGTCAATAAACTGAAGCTTATGTTTATGAATAAATTTTGTGCCTTCTTCTGAAAGTGTTTCGTCAATATCACCATCTAATAAATTTTTAGTAGATTCCAAAAAGTAATTTTTATATCTTTCCTCATGTGATTTTTGAACTTCTGATTCTGAAGCTGGGATATTCATTAAACCCTCTACTTCATTCTCAGCATTTCTCAATTCACTAATTCTTTCATCTATTTCATTTCTTAATTGTTCCAATTTCTCAATCTCATCGTTATAATATTCATCTTGTTTAATTTTTTCTTCAAAATATTCAGGAGGTGTTTCAAGGCTCTCTGAGCCCAGGTCCTCTGGACCATAAAGAGGAATATTCTCCTGTTTTTCAACTTTTTTGGGATATAAATATCTCATTATAGCCTTTTTAGTAATTGGTCCGTTATATTTAAATTCATTCAACAATCTGGAAAACTCTTTCACATTCTGCATATATGTTGGATAAGAACCGTCTCCAAAATTTTCTAAAATATTTTCTAATTCTGAATTAGTGAACTTTAAAGATTTCAATGAATTAGTTGTTATACTCATTTATTATAAAATAAAAAATAAAAAAAAATAAATTTAACTTAGTTTTAATTTTACGTAAGAAGTCAATTTTATTTTTAAAGTTTATTTCGTTATGTATGGGCTGAGTGTAAATGTCTTACAATTTTGAAAATTTTTAAATCTTAATTTATTCAAAAACGTAAGAATAAAAACCGTAAGAATCATACATTTTTTACTTCATATGTTAAAAAAAATGATACAAAATCGCTCAATATTGTATGAATTCTTACGTTTACAAAAAAAGTCACACAACCCGTCAACATATACTACTTTAATTTTATCGTCTAAGACAAGTCGATTTTATTAATAACATAACATATAATCGGTTAAAATTGCAAATTCGATTTTCTTCTTTCAGATTTCGGATTAAATTCATCAAATCATCTCGAAAAAAAGATACATTTAATAGCAAAAGTACAGGAGATGCTTCTTTACATACTTTTAAGAATATTTGCACTCGCATTTCATCATTTTAAGATAACATTACACTTAAATGAATGTTGAAAAGATTAAAAACATTAAAATTAGAAATCTATGCTTTTATAACAAATAACTTTATCATTATATTCTATAATACAAACAAAATTATAAAATAATTTAATAATACCAGAATTTTGCTTCTTCAGGAACATTTTGACTGTATAAACGCGATTCATATTGAAGAGATAAGTCTAAGCTTGATGAAGCAGCCATTCTATTTGCGATAATCGGGTTAGATTTTTCAAGTGGTTTTTGTCTATTTTGTTCTGAGAAAATCCTCATAATATTGACAACTTTATTGGTATTTTCTTCATTGAAGAAAGCAGCTTGCTTCTTTTTACTGATTTTTGGTGGATTTAAAATAGGAACTACAATTGTTTGTTTTGTATCAGGTGCATCATCAATTGCTTTACCCCATTCGATAACAGCTTTTGTTGTGCCACCAAATTGGGATCCAGAAAGCGCGTTTTTGGCACTTTCTGCTGATGTATGAGTTTCCATGACAACTGTTGCCCAAGATTGATTGTTTGGATCGATTTTAACACTTAGAACATTGCCGTATTGATGGAAGTTCTGTAAAAGTGTCTCTTCTTTGACAACGTCCGGATCAATATTTGTAATAAAAAGAGTAGTATTTTTGACATCTAGGGAGTTGTTTTCGTTTGTACTAACTCTGTTCTGTGTTCCTTCCTTTACTTTTAGCGGATGGCCCTTAAAATTAACATTATTCAAAGTTTGGATGGCGTCAATCACTTCTTGATGCTTATTAAACTTAATAAAACCGTATCCTTTCGAATTTCCTTTTTCGTCGCGAATAAGTCTCGCATTTATTGCGTTTGGAAAATATCTTTTGAAAAACTCTAATAACTCGCTTTCTTTAACACTAGATGGCAATCCACCAACGTAACATGAAAAGCCTTCTGCTTTTGCAATCGTATCTGCGTCGGATTCAAAAGTTGTATTTCCCCAACCAAGTTTGAACTTGTTTCCGTTGCTATTCGGGACCTCTGTACCATTGAGAAGACGGATTACTTCAGCTGCATTATTTTTCGAAGCGAAAACAAGAAAACCGTAATTTAAATGAGTTCCTGTGCTTTTATCCTTTGCAAACCAGCAAGATTTAGGTTGCTTTCCTGTCATTTGCTTGACATCACTCATAAGTGATTCCTCATCTTTCCAAATTACAGTGTTACCGACCCAAAGTTGAGTCATCACACTATTTTTCTGACATTTGCCAATTTCATAGTTTACATGTGTCTATAATGACAAAAATTTTAAATTGAGAAGAATTTATGTCCAAAATTTTTGTTACAAAAAATATCATTTATGAATCCTGCAAATCGAGCTTACGCTAAAAGCTTGATTATGAAGGGTTTAGAATCATCTGATTATCGCTCTAGTAGCTCTTCAGATGATAATGATGTTGTAATTCTCCCAAGAAAACCTTCAATTCAATTTGAAGACTACCAGGATGATGATGTCACATTTGTTGGTATCCAAAAGCAATCTGCTGTTCAAAGACTGCTCGAAAATTGGGACAAACTATATAAATCCAATTAGAAAATATTATTTGAAACTAATTACATCACAGTTCAGTAAATCAGTTTCTCAATATATAAGTAGATGACAATGTATTCCAAATTTACTATGATTATTTTGTTTATTAATAAAAAAAATTATATACGTAATTTTTATGTTTAGTTTATGAAAATGTATCATATTCTCTTGAAAACAAATGGAGAGTCATCGTTCTGATACGTTCTCATTGGCTTTGGAGTAGCTGAATATGTAGATGTAAATTCGGGTCTTTGAGTTACGTATTGATGAGTTTTTGACTGGCTTTCTCTCTTCATAGATGCAAGCTGTCTCTGTATCTTAATGAGTCTGTTTTCTAGCTCCTCTTGAAGTATTTGGTTTCGCTGAGTTTGTGCGTCAATGTCGTAAAGTTTGTCTTCTAAAGAGCATTCTTGGGCGGCCAAAATATGGTTGACGTGGTCATTGATCCTTGATACTAGTTCTTTGATCTCTGCTTTGTCATCAAAAGTTATTTCTGGCTGTATTTTTGGCGTAACAATTGTTTTTGGTAAAATTGGTGGAGGAATGTTGTTTTGAATGAATATAGTCCTCTCTCTTAATGCCCCTAAGATCCTTCTACGTTCCAATGGATGTTGGCTTGAAGAATCATATATGAGCTGTGACGATGAACTAGATCTCGGACAATCAATCATTAAGTCATTCAAGTTGATGCGGGTAACCGTTTTAATCGTTGTCATCATTTGAGCTAATAGTTTATATGATAAGTATATTCATAGATAAAAATATTTTATCAAGCAAAACTTTGTATTGCTTATCGACTTATAAAATTTTCAAATTATTTTATTTGTTTATGGTCGAATTAACCGTAATTCAAATGAGCATTGGTATAGCAAAACAATTATATGCAGTTGAGAGATAAAAAACAAAAATTTATTATAATATAAATGCATGAGCAAAACAGAAAAACAACAGGAACAAATCTATACTAGTCAACGGAGGCAATCCTTCGGTTAATGCGACTAAACTTTGGTTTAATTGTAAATCCGAGAAATGCAAATTGAGAAATATTTGCAAGTGGAATTGAAGCAGCCAAAGGTTGTTCGCTTGGTTCTATCTCATCGAAATGAGATGTATCTGTTGGTGATTTAATGACTGGAACCATTGGCGGAGAATTAGAAAATGGATTGTCGAAATCGAATCCTTGGAAGAAAGGATGGACAATAATCTGTTCAAAACCATATCTGTCCTCTGGATCGCACAACAGATGTTGTAATAAGTCAACAGCCAATGGAGAAACTGGATGACCTTCAATCTGTGGATATACTAAACATCTCTTCCATGCTATGATACGAAGAGCTGTTTCTCTTGATGTTTGACCCATAAATGGGACAAATCCGTATAACATTTCGTAAAGAATGACACCTAACGACCAAAAATCAGATAAAGTAGTTGGTGGCTTGCCAATTAAGATTTCTGGCGCTGTATAAGAGCATGTTCCTATTTCTGTTCCTCTATCATGGAATGGTCTGTCTAAAGGACGTCCAGAAATGAGCTCAATGATTTCATCATTGAGTTTCTGGAAACGTGTATCGTTCTCTTGGTAATTCTTTGAAAGACCAAAATCAGTAAGCTTAATATGACCTGATTCTGTAATCAAAACGTTATCTGGCTTGAGGTCTCTGTGTAAAAAGTGTAATTCATGAACAGAATGCACAGCTAATGTCATCTCAGCGATGAAAAATTTTGCTGTGTCGTTATCGAAAACACCTTTTTTAATAAGAGCATTCATTAAGTCTCCGCCACACACGTATTCGAGGACAAGGTATAATCTTTCCTCATCCTGGAAGGAGCAATTCAAATAAGTAAACCACGGATTGTCGGAGTGTGCGAGAATATCTCTTTCTGTTCGAACATTTTGAATCTGTTCGCTCATAATAATATCAGCCTTACGTAAAACCTTTAATGCGTAAAAATTCCGATCTTCATTATCTTTAACAAGCCAAACTTCGCCAAACCCTCCCCTACCAATCAACTTAATACGCTCAAATCTTGACGTTTTAATCTTACTACGCGATTTCCTTGCAAAATCTGATTCTTCTTGTGCATATTGCGAGAGAATTTTTTCTTTTTCTTCTTGATTTAGATTTGGAGAATTCATAACTGCGTTGTATTTATCTCGACGAACTGAAGTTTCTTGAAACATCTGAGTGAATTTGTCTTCTATAAAAGCTTTCGCTGACTCTGACATAATTTTAGTTTCCTTTGATGGCTCTGATACTGGTAACGAGGCTATTTTTTCATTTGCCCTAGCAGAGCGTCTAATAAAAGTCATTTTTTCAGAGCAAAATATTCACAATGTAAAATTCACAAAAAGTTTTTTACTGAAATTTTTAAAGAGAGGAAATTGAATACAATTTTGGCACAATTTCTTCTGCCCAAATAATATACCTTAAAAGGAGTATAAATTGACCGTTTTGTTTATAAAAATCATTGGTGGAATTTAGTTTATATTATTTGGCTATTGTACAAAATAGGTTTCGATTACGAAAAGCTGATGACGCAAAGTGATATGATGAGAATTCAATTTGATCAATAGTATCATTCAAAAAGTGATTGTAGTACATTCAAATTTTTGTAATTGCTGAATTATAATGCATATAGTAGTATAATAATTTTGATCAAAAAAGAAAATTCACCCGATGTAGTCAATTATATTTCATAATGGTTTAAACTGTAGGGTCCATTTAGTTCGTAGATGATAGATATGAATTTCAATTTCCAAACATTTTATTTCAATTGAAACCATTTCAATTTCGAAATTTACATTGAAAAAGGAAAATTTAGGAAATATAAGTCATGAACAAGAATCGACAACTATAATTATTCCAAAATCAGATATTTTCGCTTCCAAATTTTAATGATTTAAAATGTCTTTCAACAAAATTTTTAAAATTTATAAATAGAAATAAGTTTAAGGCATCTCCGGGCAATAAAGAAGGTATTGGCCAATCTTTTGTCTAAAGTCATGAAGCTTGAACAGTTCTTGGTCGCCCATTAAATCAATCTTCAGTGGTTGGCCATTGAAAACGAATCTTACGTATAATTCAGACTCTGCTTCATCGTTGTAGACTTCCATAACGATGTGGGAAGCAAGAGGAGGAATGAAATCGTTCTTAAATCCGAGGAAGGAAAGGAAAGCAGCGACGGTCGAGTCATGGGCTGAAAGGAGAACGAATCTTTGTGTGGACTCTCCATTGATATATGAATCAAGGTACTTCAAAACTTCTCTCATTCCATATGAGAAGGCAACACCTCTTGTCTTGTTGTAAAGTCCGTAGAGCATTGTTCCCTGATATCTTCTGCATGTTGTGATCATGTCAGATGTGATTTCATCAGGCATATACTGCTCATTGCAGAACATTGTCGTAACCCAATCGCAAATCTTATCGAGCTTGGAGTAGGAAACATCTGTAACGTTGAGGTAATTAATTACAGGTTGAACTGAGTTAAGTGTTTCCTGATAATAATCTGTAAATTCCTTTGATCCGAAATAATCGTTTGCCATTGTATTGAAGTCCTTGCAAAAGTCTTTCTTTGGACGGAGAGAATCTGATGATGGGGATCCTGTTGTGATTTCTAAAACTTCATTTGGATCTGCTGGTTCATATAAGCCAGACATGAATGAAATTGCACTTCTAAATGTGCGATCGTAAGCCGTGCATCTAGCGAAAACGACTGTTGGGTCTAAATATTCGGGAATAAAGTGTAATTTTTCGTAATACAATTCACGTAATTTTTGACCTAAAAGCTTGTGTTGGATCATACCGTCGATGATTAAATCGCCAAGTTTGCAATTTGGTGGGTATTCTGCAAATCTATTATCGAGAATTGTTTTAACTCTTCTTGGTTTAACGACTGGATTTGATTCCATGTGAGCTGCTTGAGCATCTTCAGAATCACAGCGCCATATACCTCTCTGCTGTCTCTCCAAGAATGGATCTAATGGAGATCTTGCACCATGACGAGTGAGAACAGATACATATTTCAATGTGTAGTTCTTTCCTGGTACATCTAAAATGCTATACTCACGTGGAGCAACGCATTCATCAATAGTTGATGCTACAAAAGAAGAAAAAGCAAATAACATATTACAAATACAAAAAAGTGACAATTAAAAATCTGAAAATCTCAATTTATAATATTACATAGACAAAAAGAGTGTTTGTTGTTTTATATAAATTCAAGTTTTTATTTCATGCTAGCATACAAAAAAAAAAAAAAAAAAAAAAAAAAAAAAAAAAAAAAAAGGGAGTGGGGCTTCCAGGCACTTCGTGCCTTCTAGCCCTGAAGATGTTTAGGAGAAATGAAGTTTTGAGGACATACATGACTGTGAGTTTTATTTACGACAAGATAGAATATGAGAGAGGTCCTATAAACCGGACAAGTAAGGGTCATATAAACATCTGTCATTTTACTCAGAATTTTATACAGAATTCAATAAAAATATATTTTAGGGTAGAAGGGTATATCTACCCCGTTTTCTACCCTCATTTCTACCCTCTTGAATTTTCATGAAATTTACACCAAAAATATATTTTAGGGTAGAAGGGTATATCTACCCCGTTTTCTACCCTCATTTCTACCCTCTTGAATTTTCATGAAATTTACACCAAAAATATACTACTAGGGTCATTTACGAAGAAATCTCAACAAAGTCTTTACGAAGAAGTCTCAACAAAGTCTTTACGATGAAGTCTTGACAAAGTCTTTACGAAGAAGTCTCAACAAAGTCTTTACGAAGAAGTCTCAACAAAGTCTTTACGAAGAAGTCTTAACAAAGTCTTTACGAAGAAGTCTTGACAAAGTCTTTACGAAGAAATTCATGAAAATTCAAGAGGGTAGAAATGAGGGTAGAAAACGGGGTAGATATACCCTTCTACCCTAAAATATATTTTTGGGTCATTTACACTCATTTACGAAGAAATCTCAACAAAGTCTTTACGAAGAAGTGTCATACAAACATCTGTCAAAAGCCGCTTTTTAACTTCACTTAAAATGCCACGTAAGCTACGTAAGAATATACGTAAGAGGAAGAGAGCATTGAAACATCCAATAGTAAGACTAACACCACAACAACAGTTGCAACAACAAATGCTGAATGACCCCACTATGTTGCAACAAATGTCAAGCAATCCTATGCTTTTAAACCGAGTTGTTGGTGCACAGAGTGGAGGTTTAAGAGCGGCACTTTTAGCGAAAATGGCAGGCTATGGTGGAGCTGCAGACGGAACAGCCTATAACCCTCAAAGTCAAATGAATTTGAGTTCACTCAAAAATCAAATAACAGATGTCAAAAAGTCAAACATAGACATACAGAAGCAAATAAGTGAAAACGAAAAGAAACTAGAATATGACAGACACACAAAGAAACTCAATGAGTTAAACGTAGAGAAAAAGAAGAAAGAAGAACAACTGAAAGAACTAAGTACAGAGGAATATGCGAAAAAAGTGTCAGAAAAAGCAGCAGAAGTAGCAAAAATGGAACAAGATGTTGTAAATTTGAAAAACCATACTACTCGATATAAAGTACTGAAAGATGAAGAGATAAAACAAAAAGCCCTGAAGACATATATGGATAGCGATGAGTATAAAAAAGAAGTTGAAGCAAATGTAAAGGCAGAAAAACTTTTACAGTTGCAAAACCAAACCGTACAGTATGAAAACTTAGCACAAGAAAGTAAAAATAACGACGCAGCCATGCAAAAGGCAATGAAAAGCGCAGAATATATAAAAGCTAACAATGACTGGTTAGATGCCCAAGCCAACGCTAAAGCAGCCCAACTTATAGGGTCAATAAGGACAAAAATACAAGCGGATGAAGATAGTTCAAATGAAGCTTTAACAAATGCTGACTTTAAGAACGCTTTCGAAGCTCTTCATAGTAAGGTGAAACAAGTGAACGACTTCTCATCTGGAAAGAAACTGAAGTCTGAAGGTTTCGACAAAGAGTTAAAAGAAGTAGCACAAAATATGACGAAAATAACAGATGCAGCAACGAGACAGGCAGTTCAAAGTGCCTATGACGCCGTTAGAGCAACTGTTGTGAAAAGTCAAGAAAAAGAGTTACAACAGACCAAAACAGACCTAGTAAATGCTTTCTTAAAAACGAAAAGTCAGGTAGGACATTACGCTGCAGATGGAACATATGTGCCAGCTGGTGGAACTTATATACCACCAAACCCTCCAAGAGAAGCACCTGCACCAGGACTACCTAGAACATTTACATCGTCAATGGACACAGACACAGGCATGCACACAACCACACAGCAACACCTCCACAACCAGCAAACAACCAACACAACAACCAGCACAGCAACCAACAGTTCAAAACCCTGCACAACAACAACCACAAACAGAGCAAAGGACATAAAAGAAGTAGAGAACAAGGAAACCAAGAATTCTTAAAAATGCTTAAAGAAGAGTGTGGTTTCCCAGATACTGTTGACTTTAGTGACAGATATAAAGAAGCTATTAGAAAGTTCAAGGATGGAAATACTGACCCGAACCTATTTAGCTTTATGGCTCAGCACCAAAACGGATATAATCTCAAACCTGGAAAATACAAGCTCGCTAAGGGATATGATTTAATAGCATATCATCCAAATGACATGGATGAATTTATCCGAGATATTTGATGTCAGAGCTAAATGACAATTCAACTTTCGTCATGAAACGCGTAAAAAAATAGAGACGGAACGAAAGAACAAAAGCTTATGAATGCGGATGACGTAGATAGGGAAATTGTTGAAAACGGTCTCGGAATATATGAAATGCCAGCAGATGAGGTACAAGAAACTCCACAGGAAGAAGTTCAGATACAACCAGACATGGAAGAAATAGTTCAGCAACAACAGCTAGAAGAGCCTGAAGGAAACGAACAAGTCTTCCTTTGGAAACTAACTTCACAGAACTAGATGAAATTTGGAACAGCCGAAAAATCTTGACCCTCAACAAGAGTATGCGGAGAATATGGAATATTTCCAAGAGTCTAAAAAAAATTCGGCTGACATAGTAGAAGAATATCGAAAAATGTTTGCCGACATACAAAAGACTCCAACATCAGATGAAAATATCCAGCATAGAATGGAAGAACTGAAAAAAAATGTACACAAATACAACAACCTTTTTACTTACGAGCATTTAACGTTCAATCTTCGGATGAACTCGGTGAAAATAAAAGGTTAAATTTCAAGAAAACATATAGAAATGAAACATTGTTTAAAGTTCATTCAGAACCTAACCAAGATGGAAACAAACCTACTTTTGTTTCTGCAGACGATGGAACTACAATGAGATGGGGTCATAAAGCTAATCCGGATAGGTGGTTCATAAACTTACAACCACAATTCCAAGAAGTTGTAGACGCAATGGAAGTCAATGGTGAACCAGATATAGCTGGTATTTTCAGCGCGGCTTTAATGCCATTGAAAGATATGAAAGATGCAGATTTTTGGACCAGTATGAAATGAACATGGCTGATGGAAATATAACACCTGACGTTCTAGAACATTTATCTCAAAGAACTACACAGAACCATAAAGATGGTATATTTGGTGAAGAGTTTAGAAAGAAAGTTAGGGAGAGAGAAGGAAGAGAACCTATTGTACATGACCTTGCAAACGAAAGTTTACAAAATGTCATAAAAACTTACTTTGCAGACGAATGAATCGAGAAGGGATGAATATTTAAGAAAACTCAAATGGACAGTACCAAATGAAATGTTAGTATTGAAAAACATGTTCCTTGACAAAATAAAACCAACTACAGAAATAAACGACGCAAGACTGAAAGATTGGGTAAAAGCTTTCCCATTCACAAAAGATATAGTTGGTAACATGGAAAGAAAACCAGAATGGCTACAAAAACATATATTTGGAAACGAGCTATCCATATGGACAGGCACTGTTTGAAGCGCTTGAACCGGAAACTCAGGAAAGAGTCATGCAAACAATACGCGAAGACTCAAATACAGACTATGACAAACTCTTTCTAGGATATAGGTTACCTGAGATGGGCGACCAGAGCCAAAAGGCAAAAAGGACATGGGAAATTTGCAACATACTAGATGAACATAATGCAAAGATGCAACAACTTCAAGCAGAGGGCAATGAAGGAAAAAGAAGAGTTAAAAACTCAGTCAGGAAGAAAGTAAAGCTTGGTCGGAGTGGGTTCTATTATGACATATAAATCCAACTATTCTATATTTTTACTCATATGAAATGTACGCCGCTCAGAATATAACGCCAACAGTTTTGGATGCATGAATGGAAATGTTTCCGAATGGTAAACGAATGCGACAATGCCATTAGAAGGTCAGAAATAGTTCCTGGAACTTACGAATATACAACTGCTGTTTCTTATGGAAACGTAGGTGAGTTTGGAGAAGGTTCTTCAACAACAGTAGATATTGCTTGCGACAGGTTTCATATAATTTCTATTGACAACTCTTTCTTATACGTGGAACAAGACATTGAAATAAAACCTTCTGCCAAGTTGTCTGACAAGAAAGGTTGCAATGGAATTTTCTATGTCGGATACCAATATGCTCCAGAAGTTTTCATGGGATATAAGATATATTCTAACTCTGACTTAGTTCAAACAGTAACATGGGCAAACTATGAATGGTTCGCTTTGAGAAACTCAGTACAACCACAAGCTAGAGAACAAACAGACCAGTATGCAACTATTGAGAAAATAAGAAGACTTGACCCTAACGTTCCAGGAGTTTATGTTGACCTTTCTGGTTCAGATGAAATGCTGTCACTAAAGTAAAACTGAAACTTAGAGTTCCTTTGTCATCTTTCCTCATCTTCAGGTTTTTAAGATACTTGCCAAACTGGGCAGGAAAAATTTCTATTGAACTTACTCCAAGCAAAAATAACTTAGTCATTGCACCAACGCAAGACCCATTCACTCTTACAGACGTAAAGGGAGCAAATCAAACGTCATTCGCCGAATTTTGCAAAGACAAAGTTGACTTAGACTTTGGTTTCTCAAACCTCAACACTGAAGTAAAGTATTATTTCAATGCTGCTGGAACTGCTTGGGACCCAGTTAGGTTTACATGCGAACAGTTTGAATGCAAGAGAATAGAAAGCAGACTTGCAGTCTATATGTTGGACCCAGATATTTCAAATGCTTTAGCTGCCAAATATATTGCAGTTCCACTTATGTTCCCTATACACCAAATATCTGTCAAAGACTTTGCAGGTGAAGTTGGAAACCAAAATCCAGGAACCGCAGGTGCAAGAACAGATATTGCTTTAACAACTGCAATGAAACACGCAGATACTATGTTTGTACTGTTCAGACGAACTATAAATGACTATTCTTGTTTCTACAACCCTGGTATTAAATATCATATAAACATAGATGGCAAATATTATCCAAGAGAAGAATATTCTACAGTTGAAGATATGAGGTCATACAACTTGACATTAGATGCTATGAACTTTAACAACAACTTCACAACAACCATTAACCCTGAAATGCAAAGTTCTATTATGCCATATGTGAAAGTATGGACTCATACAGGAGGTCAAAAAACTCAATATACAAATGGAGACCGTTCAAACTTTTGGCTTGGCATTCCATTTGCTGACTCAGAAGACTTTATGGGTGGTATTTCAACTGTTGGTACAGTTCAAATACAATATACTGGTGACAGAGACGGTCCAGATGAACTGAGAGCAAAGAAGTTTACAAAACCAATAGCACTTTTCACGGAAGATGCTCTTTTGAAGATTCGTTCGATGAAACCTGCTGGGGCTCCTCAGATTGGCATAACGACAGCTTCCATCGAGCAGATTTTGGCAGCAGGTCAGTAAGTTGTTCTTGAACTGACTTCTCTCCGTCAAATATTGACAGTACGCCAGTTTTGACATAGTATTGTATTAAAAACTTACCTTTAGAAATATCGGTCAGTTTTGTTGTTATATTTTTGTCTGCTTCAAGAACTTTCACCATCTCGGTTATACCAACTTTCTTTGCTTTATGAAAATATTTTGGTTCAGCAAAGACTGCTATTCTATAACATTTTCCATTGTTTGTATAAAGAACTATTCTATCAATGAACTTGTATTGTTTGTGTGTGTAAACTTTGTTCTGCTTCAATTCGAAGAGATACTCGAATACGTCCATCTTTTTATTCTAAGTAAAATGTCATTTCCGAAAAATAGAAGCGTGAGTGTTTCAAAAGGTTTAATGGCGGTGGCAGATGTGAAGTTAAATTCACCAACTCAAACAAACAGTCAAAGTGTTGTTGTCAATGTCAAAGAAAGAGATGTTGAAGTGGGGAAACCATACGAAGACCAAGATGGTATAACAATAGTTCCTGTAAAAGAACAACCAACATACCCTGAAGTTAGCAGAGACTTAAGTTCTGTTGCAGATATTCGAAATGACTACCAACAACTTAAAGACAAACTTAAAACTCAGGAGAAGATTTGTCAAGCTTTAGGTCTAATGTTAAACTTGGTCGAACACAACCCTGTAAAGGTGAGCTCCTATGTCATCGCACCTCATGAAGTTTTGAAAGAACTATTGAAACTTTTGACAGAGGCAGACGATATAAACATCAAAGAAATAGAACCCGACATTGCTTGCTGTGGTGTTTCATATAATGTCATTGACAAGATATACGTTATGAAAGGAGGTGAAACGTTGAACTTAAAATATAGTTTCCCAGACGTCATAAAAATATTTGACGACCACAACATTTCATTAAAATTTACTTGCTAAGTAAATGGCAGAAGACATAGTGGTTTATACTATTACGACTAAAAACCCTGAGTCATATAATTCTATAACAACAAACTTACAAAGTCCTCAAGGACGATATTGTAAACTAACTTTAAACACAATGACGACTAAAGCCTGTTTTGCTCTTTTGACACCAGAAGACTTTGTTGTTGTGAATGGTAAAAAATACTCCTTTGAAGATACTTACTCAGATATACCACCAACAGGTTTTGTTGACTTATTTAATACTTTAAGGACGAGTGTAACATGTGCTGCAACTAGAGCAGGTTTCATTATGTTTGGATGTCCGACTGAGTTTACTATAAACAATATGAGCTATAATACAAAACTTATATCTGGTTTTTACTACCAACAGTTTCCTATAACAGGAAAAGGTGTCATACAAGGAATGTCTGTTCCATTGACTTTAAGTACACCTATTTTATATATTGTTTCAAACTTAGGTTCAAAGTGCTATTCGAATGTTGACAGAAACTACTATGACCAAAAGATACTTATGCGTATAAACAACACTTTCTCTGCTGGTTTGCCTATTGTTCATTCGAATGCAGAGTTTTCAGCTTTAGTAAACTCAAACACTTTAGCAAACATAAACTTAACCTTAGTCGACGCAAACTTTGTTCCTGTAAAACTTTTATGTCCTATGTATTTGTCAATGACGGCAGAAAGTTTCGAATTGGAAGATGCAACTGGTGAAAGTATTGTATTACAAGAACAACTTCAACAACAAATAGCTCAAGAACAACAAATGCAACAAATGCAACAACAAAGTCAAGAATAAAAAAAAATATTTTTTTTTATTTTTATAAAAATGTACAGAATAGATGTTTCAGATTTTTATGACTTCCAAGCATTCAGAAATATGTGTCCATTTCGAGACTATAACAAAGCAGTCGAGAATTTGAAACGTTTAGTCATTTATGTTGACTCTGCCCCAGAATGTTATGTCATGAAAGAATGGGATGTTGTCTTTAACAAACCAAGAGCAACCATAGTTTCAGAACAAGAATGTAGACAGAAACTTAAGAAAATAAAAGTCGTACAAGTTGGTATGAAGATGTTAGATGCTTGGGATATCTTATTGTCAAAACTTGAAGATTTTTCAGTTTGTGGTATAAAGTTCTATACACCATCTCCAAACTTCTATTCTATCTTCACTGGATATAAATACGAACAAGTAGAATGGAAAGAAAATGTTATAGAAGCTTGGTTAGACCATGTCAAAGAAATTATATGCAATGGAAACGAAAGAGTCTATGAGTATATCTTATGTTGGTTTGCAAACATCTTACAACATCCAAGTGCTAAAAATGAAACTGCTCTCATTATAATTGGAAAACAAGGAACTGGTAAGAACACATTCTTTACAGATATTTTGTGCAAACTGTTAGAAGGTTATTCGAACCCGAATATGACAAACTTAGAAAACATCTGTGGCAAGTTTAACTCCTCAATAGAGAATATGAAACTTATAGTTTGCAATGAACTTCAAAGTATAGATACAACAAAAGTTTTGAACTCAGATGCTTTGAAGAGTCTTATAACAGACAAAGTTGGAGTTGTTGAAAGAAAGTATAAAGACCAAAGAGTTTGTGAAAATGTTGCAAATTTCATCATGGTTTCAAACAATGTTGTTCCGATGAAGTTAGAAAGTTCTGACAGAAGATATGTAGTTGTCAGAACGTCAGATTCTCATATGCAAGATACAGAATATTTTGACGACTTAGCAGAAACTTTGACATCTGACTTTTACAACCACTTGTTCTCATATTTTATGACATTAGATATTTCAAAGTTCAATCCAAGACAAATTCCACATACCGAAGAAAGACAAACATTGTTAGAAGCAAACAAGAGTGTATATGAACTGTTCATAGATGAAACTGACTTTGAGTGTTTAGATGAAAGGTCTTTATATGATGAATATAAACAATATTGTCAAGAATATGGTTATATGACAGCGTCTAAACGAACATTCTTGGCAAATGTCAAAAGTCTTTTAGACATACAGAACGGCGTATATACAAAGAAAAATTTTTCTGAGTAAATTTTTAAAAAATATTTTTTTATTTTATTTGAAATGTACGCTGAGTCTGTCGGAAAGGACCATTGGGAAACTTGTTTGTTAGATGAGAAATATGAAATTCACTGTTGTGAGTCATTTGAAGTCAGAAACAAAAAGACAAAAAGAGTTTTAAGCGAATGGGAGCAAAATAACGGATATGCTAGGATGAGTATGAGTGGGAAAAACTATTTAAAACATGTTGTCATTGCAACTCATTTTATACCGAACCCTAACAATTTACCTTTTGTAGACCATATAAACCATATAAGAAACGACAATAGACTTGAAAACTTGCGTTGGGTCACTCGTTCTGAAAACAGTAAGAACAAAGGCAAATTTGGAGATATTGTATTCGAATTTGTCGACGAACTAGAAGATGAAGCAATTGAAATTACAGACTATGGCAAGCATACGTTTGAGTTTTACTACTATAGCGAAGAACAGGACTCTTTCTACTTTTATACCGGCGTTAACTATAGGAAATTACAAGTATATTTTACTAAGGCGGGCTATGCTTATGTAAACGCTAGAGATACAGATGGAAAATACGTTAAAATACTTCTTAACAAATTCAAGAAGCTATATGGCATACCATTTTAAAACGTTTTTTTAAAAAAATATTTTTTTATCCGATAGAAAAGATGACGAAATATATTTCAGTCAACAAGTATATGACAGAAGTCAAAGAAGAACTAGACCCATTCGCTTATTTGAATGTTTACTTCTACCATTTTGAAAAGTCTTCATTCAGCAAAGTTTGGAACATCGAACCAGTTAAGTTTGCTGTTGTTAGAAAAAGTGGTGCAACTTTTGAAGACTTAGAGATAGAAGGTTTGTTAGCAGTCAAAGAAAGTTTTGACAGAAGGTTTTCAAACCTTAAAGAAGGTAAAGCATACAAACTTGTTATACCTTATGAACCAAAGAAAGCAGACGACTATGAATATTATGAGTCTAAGATAGTTGAAGTTCAAGGTAAATTAGGTAAAAAGATTTTAGAGTCTAAGCCAGTGTTTGCTCCTAAAGAGGAAGAGAACATTGACATTGACCCAGAAATGTTCTAAAAATAAAATTTTATTTTTACATGTCAAATTTCTTTTTCTCTGGCTCTGGCTCTGGCTCTTTCTTCTCTTCTTCTACTTTCTTTTCTTTCTTTTCTCTCTTCTTCTTCTTCTTCTCTGGTGGAGTTATGTCAAATTTGGCGCAACCATATTTATGTAAAAGTTCTTTGTCCTTTAATAGCTCTTCTATTCTGTTTTCTATTTCATCTTCAAGAACAGCGCATGTGCCTTCTTTGCATTCTAAGAACTTTTGTTGGACTTCATCTTTCCAATCGGCGTCATCTCTGTCAACAAGTCTGTCATTGACAAATTTTAAGACTGCTCTGCTTAATGTTTTATGGTTCTTGTCATATTCCCAGAAACAGAACTTTAGAACAAATTCACCTTTCTTGTTTACACTATGTAAGATTTTATGGTCGACAGATGTTTTGCTGTCGAAAAGCTTGTCTCGAATATAGATAGCGAAATCGCTAGACATTTTCAAAAAGATAAAAATTTTAATTTTTCTAAAAATATGTTAGAAAAAAAGTTTGCTGACATTGACAAGAAATTTGAGAATGTTTTGAAGAAGAACAAGAGGAAGTTAGAAAATGCTCAGATAAAGCCTATACATGACAAGTTCTTATTTGCTCAGAATGGTATAACAGGTCTAATTGCACCACCTGGGTCGGGCAAGACTTTCACTTATCTTAAAATGGCTGCACAACAACAAGAACTAGATGAGAAGAACCCATTCTATGAGTTAGTTGTTATTTGTAGTACTTCTGGTCAATTCGACCAAACCGTAAATTCGTTCAAAGATATTATAAAGAAGTCTAAGTTAGTATGTATAAAAGACTCTGAGTTGTTGGATTGGATAAAGAAGTACCAAAGAAGAGTTTTGAAGTACAATGCTATAAATGAGTATGTCAATTCGAAGTTTAAAGACCCAAATGAGGAAATGCAGAGAATATTAGAGAAGAAACACTTCAGAAACAAACAGAAAGAGATAGAATACATTTCGAAGAAATTGCAATCTTACGATTGGAAGACATACCCTCATAGGTGTCTTCTTATCTTAGATGATTTCGCCTCTCATCCTTTGTTAAAGAATAGAGAACAAGACATGTGTCGAATTCTTAAGAAGCTCAGACACTTTAACATTTCAGTTGTCATTTGTGTACAGACAGCCAAGAGTTTAAGTAAGGATGTTAAAAGAATACTTACTGATATCATACTTTTCCCTGGATTGTCCGAAGACGATTTCATGGAACTTATGAAAGAGTCCATGGCAGGTAAGTTTGACAGACATGAACTATGGGAGAAGTACAAAGTCATACAAGACCCTCATACTTCTTTCAGAATTCATATCTACGCGAACAAAGTTCAAATTGTAAAAAGTCAAGCTTGAAAAATCTAAGTGTTTAGTCTTAGTAAGTCTGTTGTGGTGCTGGGGCTGTCGGTTCTTCTGGCTTTGGAATGGACTCGGTTGGTGGTACGTCGGACATTCGTTTGTGTCCTGTCGGAAGGAAAAATTTTTCCAGTTGTCGGGAAAATATTTTCCTGTCTGATGGAAAATTTTTTCCTGTCTGATGGAAAATTTTTTCCTGTCTGATGGAAAATATTTTCCTGTCTGATGGAAAATTTTTTCCTGTCTGATGGAAAATTTTTTCCTGTCTGATGGAAAATTTTTTCCTGTCTGATGGAAAATTTTTTCCTGTCTGATGGAAAATTTTTTCCTGTCTGATGGAAAATTTTTTCCTGTCTGATGGAAAATTTTTTCCTGTCTGATGGAAAATTTTTTCCTGTCTGATGGAAAATTTTTTCCTGTCTGATGGAAAAATTTTTCCTGTCGGATGGAAAAATTTTTCCTGTCGGAAGGAAAAACTTTTTCTGAAGTTCGACCAAAAAGTTCTCAATTTTCGAAAATTTGAATGGTTTACGGACGGACAACTGGAAGAGTTCTTCCTGTCGGAAGGAAAATTTTTTCCTGTCTTATGGAAAATTTTTTCCTGTCTGATGGAAAATTTTTTCCTGTCTGATGGAAAATTTTTTCCTGTCTGATGGAAAATTTTTTCCTGTCTGATGGAAAATTTTTTCCTGTCTTATGGAAAATTTTTTCCAGTTGTCGGGAAAATTTTTTCTTGTCGGATGGAAAAACTTTTTCTGTCGGAAGGAAGAACTTTTCTTGTCGGATGGAAGGACTCGGAATGCCAGAAGGATTTGACAAGACAATTTACCATCTAGAGCTACATGAGCCATCTTTGGTGTCAAGCTTGAAAAATAAATGGTTCATTTACTCTGCTTGTTTGAAGTTGTCAAAATACTCTGTTATTTTTTCCTTTAACAATGGCAAATCTTCTTTGAAGGTAAGTATTGTACAACCTTTCATATCATAGTGTGTTTGAGGTAAAGTATCTTGAACTATTTGTTTCACATCTTCATTCGGTGTCATTGAAATCGGTAAGTTTTCGCGATAGAACCAATTTCTGTCAGATTTGTAAATCTTAGCAAGGTCGTAAAAGCTTTTGTTGTTTCTTCTGACTAAATGCAACATAACCATATCTTTATCTTCTTCATTTTCCATCTCTTCAGTATAAATCATATACTTATAGTTCTTTTCCTTTCCTTTTGGTACCGAACGTGGTATTCTTTTCTGAATGTTTTTGTCTTTTGCTTCAAGCTTGTTCTCTAGCTCTTCACGTTCTTGTCTGTGAATTTCGTCAAGAAGTCTGTAAATATTCCAAGCATAACGAGGCGAAGCCCACATTGCAACAGCATTTACAAGAAGTCTATGTACATAATATCCTCTCAAACCGTTTGGCAATTTTTCACGATTTTCATAGAGTTTTGGCGACTGGGGTTTTTTACCTACTCGCTGTTCTTCACTGTTTTCATGAGTTTTAGGCGACCCAGAAAAAAGTATGTCTCGCTGTGCTTCATTTAATAGTTCTTGTGTGCTTTGGTTCCTAAACCAGTCTTTAGGAAGCTTAGTATCTGGAGCAAAACATGCTGTCAAAATACTTTGCATTTGGTACATATCGTCTTTGACCGAACGAATGAGACGTAACTGTTTGTTATACTGTATGTACTCATATTCTTCATTTATAGCTTCATGGACTATAACTGTTGTTGTGTTCTCTGTTGTTGACATATCTGTCTTTACATACAAAATAAAAAAATAAAAAAAAATAAAACTAACTTTATTTTTTCTATCTTGTATAAAAGACCAAAAATAAACGCTTTACATGTATTTTTCAGCAACTTCGTCAAATAATTTTATAGCTTTACCTATCTCATCTACTTCAAACGTTTCTTTACCTTTCGTGGGAGCACCATACATTTTCTCAAACTTTTCAAGTAGTTCTGTTTCTGCAGCTCTCATATCGTTAACGAACACAACCTTAACTCTATTGACTGTACTGTCATATCTTTTAGTTATATTAAATGTTCTTCCTATCTTATATCTCTTTGTATTGAAGTCCTTTGGTTTCTGAACGATATAAAGTAAGCCTTCACTGCAACGTTCAGTATCGAATGAACCATATGTTATGAAATTATATCCAACAACTGGGTCTAACCATAACAAAACTATTGGTATAAGACTTTTGTCTATAAGATATGCTGTAGTTCCATAGAATCTTACCGATATCATAAGCTCAGGATTTTTTGTCAAAATTTTCTGAGTAGAAGCATTTTTAACCCAGTCGTGGGATGTTTTCTTTTCAGATAGTGTTAGAATGTCTGACAAAGAATATTTGTTGTATTTCTTTGAGTATCTTAGGTTTAAATCACCAATTCTAACCACTTTGGTGTCATTGTCTATCTTTTTAACTGTTTCAAACTCAGTGTTTGTCATTTCCTGTTCTTACATACAAAATAAAAAAAATATTTTAAAAAAACTAGCGTTAATTTTATTTTTTCTATCTTAAGGAAATTCATGAAATTTGGTCATTTTACTCAGAATTCAATAAAATATATTTTAGGCGACCAGGTCACTCGGTTAAATGAACTTCTCTGAAAAAGTGTGACAACATGACATTTTGACAACAACACAGGAAATATACTTCTTCGTAAATGTTTTGTCAAGACTTCTTCGTAATGAGCGTAAATCAGACAAAAATATATTTTAGGGTAGAAGGGTATATCTACCCCGTTTTCTACCCTCATTTCTACCCCATATGTCCTTACTGAAAAAGTATGTGTTCCATATGTCATTTTACTCAGAATTTTACTCAGAATTCAATAAAAATATATTTTAGGGTAGAAGGGTATATCTACCCCGTTTTCTACCCTCATTTCTACCATAAGGTTTTACAAGCGTTTTACATGGTATATGTTGTGATGGTTCATGACTTTAAACAGTTTTGTAGCTTCTATTTCTTCACGAAGGATATCAAAAGTTTTAACTATGCCGAAAGTTTCTTTATATTTCTTCTTGACATCTGAAAGAAGGAAATCGTTAGCAGTTGGATAGTTTTTGTTCAGAAATGTCAACATGTCCATTTTATCTTCTGCTGGTTTCTCTGCTTCTTTCTTTAAGTCAGTATGGTCGTTTCGCATACGTTCTATCTCTTTGACGGAGTAGTTATATTTCCTTGTTGCTGCTTTACATTTTGAACATTGTGAGTTCATTTTTGCGTTATATTCTGAAATTTGTCCTGCTAGTATGACTAAGGCGTAGATGGTTTTCTTTAACTCAAAGGTTGCTGGTTTTATCTGTTGGTTCCATACCTTACCTCTTCTATCTTTATCTCTTATCTGCCATACACACTCAGCAACTAACGAAACAAAGTTGTCGTAGGTCTTAAACTCTTCAGATTTATATATGTCAATGTCCATGACTTTGTGGTTGTAATGAAATCCAAGAAACTCATAGTTTATCTTACGAATGAACTTCTTTATTTCAACTGAGTCGGTTGGTTTCACTTCTATTTCATCGAATTCTGGAATAGTGAGCTTTTGTTGTTGTATTTCAGGAAGTTTAGGTAAATGGTCAATAATATCCTGCATTTCATAAAGATACTGTTCATTTGTTTCATCTTTTGCACTACAGTCTAAATCTCCTTGGAGAAGTTCTTGCTTTATCTTCTGGATTTCTGTTTCGAAAGTATATGAAGAAGGAATGAAGCTTTTCATCTCTACTAACATTGAAGTTGGGTTCATGACTAACGAGTTTGGTGCTGTTGTTGCAAACATGTTCTTACAATAAAAATAAAAAAATATTTTTTGGTGGGACTACCTTTATTTTATTTCAGCACAAAATGAACGAGTTTGGTTTAAAAATACGGTGGAGCCAAAAATGGCTCGACCTCAAAAACAAGCATTTTGTGAAGAATATACCAACCCGCTGTTTTCCGCGGGTTGCTTTTTTTATACAAAGTTCAAGAGTTTTGTGTGTTTTCTACGAGGGTAGAAATGAGGGTAGAAATGAGGGTAGATATACCCTTCTACCCTAAAATATATTTTTTGGTGGTACGTCGGACATTGTTCTGAAACAGTACAAATATTGTTCTGAAACAGTACAAATATTGTTCTGAAACAGTACAAATATTGTTCTGAAACAGTACAAATATTGTTCTGAAACAGTACAAATATTGTTCTGAAACAGTACAAATATTGTTCTGAAACAGTACAAATATTGTTCTGAAACAGAAAATTTTTCTCTCAAATTGAGAGCTTTTACGGGAAATTTGTTCTGAAAAAGTACAAGACTAGTTCTGAAAAAGTACAAGACTAGTTCTGAAAAAGTACAAGACTAGTTCTGAAACAGAACAAGACTAGTTCTGAAACAGAACAATGGACAGCATCGAGCCATTAGATGAGGCAATTTACCTTATAGAGATAAATGAAGTTGTTAAGCAGTATTTGGGCAAGGACAAAGCCAACAAGTCCCTCGGCGTCTGGTTGTCTGGAAGAGGTGCGCTGAAAATCGAGATTTCGACTGGAATTCCAATTCAAATACCAGAAAACACTCCTGTAGACGACATAAAGGAGATGAAGAAAGAAGCTCTTCTCAAGTTCTTTGCAAAGCGCCCATGGATACAACTTCCAAACAGAGAGAGTCCAATTCCACGAATTATACAAATTCTCAGAGCACTGTTCCACTTCTCTGGTCAGCCGTTCTACATAACCTGTGAAGGCGACATCCAACCAGTTCAGTAAACATCTCATTTTAACTAACTTTTTTGCTGTCTTAAGGAAATTCATGAAAATTCAACGGGTAGAAATGAGGGTAGAAAACGGGGTAGATATACCCTTCTACCCTAAAATATATTTTTCAGTGCTTTTTCAGCACTTTTCCGTAGTTGTATATGAAAGACAATTCGGGATGAAATTTCTTCATCTGAAATAGTCCTACCAGCATTTGTAAAGATATAGTCTAACGGTTTTGTATCTGCTACTTTTGTTCTTTGTTTTTCAACCTGAAGCATTTAATATATGTAAAAATATATTGTTTTAAAAACGTTTTTACTTCATGCAATGTTTTATTTCATGCAATGTTTTATTTCTGTGCCGTCTTCAAGTATGCCCCAGTACTTACGCTTGGAGAGGACATGAACTTCGGAAAATACCTTATCTAGCTTAAAACAGCCCATCTTCTCACCGACTAAACCCATTTCAATGAGTTTGTTGTATCCTTCTTCGTTCGTCATGAGTGCATCGATGTTCTCATAGTAAACCACAACTTTGGATTTGACTTCGGAGAAGAATTTGTTGTAGTTGTCAAGGACTGCTTTTGCGAACTGAGGGTAAGACCAATGTTCGACAATAGGTTTTAATGTGGTTACTAAGCCACTTTGACCTTGAGTGAATTCGTACTTCAAAACAAAAGGAGAAAACCTTTCAACAAAGTTGTCGACCTTCTCATAATGTTTACTCTTCATCTCTTGAGGTTTCTTTATGGAATATCCCCATGTCGAATTCATAAGCAATTTGAGTGTCATTGCAAGTTTGGGGTTTGAAGCTTTCCTAATATCATATAGTTGTTGTATGACTTTTCCAACTGTATAGTTCCTTCCTGGGAACTCACCATCTTCGTTTGGAATTCCAGTCGGGATATATTGGACGAACCTCATGTATGCAGCGTTAAGGTCGACATAGTATATCTTTTCATCTGAGTCGAACTTGTCGCATCCAATCGGACCAGTTCGTGGAAATTCAAGTGAGTCTCTTATCTTCTGAGAAACTTCTCCTGTTATCTCATAAACATCGTCGAAGCAACCTGTTTCATATAAAACCTTCTGACCTAACTCAGATGCTCTCCAATACAATTTGACGTCAATTGGATGTCTCAATGGAAGTTTGTTTATAGCATCTTGAAGTTCTTGCAACCTCATTGGAAGTTCTTCTGGTTCAGGTTGGTATCCGAACAATCCAACTCCTTTTGGAACAGTGTACTTCTTTTGTGCTATAACTTTGTCTGGAACAACTTTTGGTCTTGCTAACAATGAAAAGTTTGTTTCGTCTTTTGGTACAAAAGTTTCTGTCAGCTTGTCATCTGGAATTGGTTCCAACAAACCTTTCTCGAAAAGAATGTTTACAGCTCTGACAATGTTGCACTTGCCTTTTCCGAACAATGGGTTTGTAAGACTTTCGTTCAACATGAAGTGGTTGTGGACAATTGCAATCTTCAACCATGGTAAGTCTTTGTCAACAACATAGTCGTCATGTGAAGAACCTTTAGCTGTAGGTATGTTGACTCGGATATTGACATTTGCCAACGGTGCAATTTTTGCCAATTGACCTCTGAGAATGTACCTTGTCTTCACACATGACTCAAGATACTTCATCTTCTCTTCTGAAACAAGACCAGAGTTCCTGAGACATGTAAGAATGCAAGGTTCATTGACAATTGTTTCAATTGAATTGTAAATTCCATACCTTGTCAAGTCAATGTCAGACTTATTTATGAACGGGAAGTATCCAGCATGTTGTCTGACTGCTTGAGGGTTAGGTTGGTACCATTCGAACTTCACGCTTACAATTCCTTCAATTGCATTCAAAATGTCTGAGTCGGAGTCAACCATTTGTTCTCTCTTTGTAGTCTTGAAAGCGTCAAGAAGCATTGCAGCTGTTGTGACATTGCCATGTGCATAGTAAATGTGACCATCCAAATCTGTTATGGTCAATCTGAGATTGTATCCTTTCTTATTTCCGTCTTGAATTGCAGCAAGTACTCCCATGAAGCCTTCTTTGTTCTTTCCATCGTCAAAGTTTACTGTAAAGGTTTGACCAGATGTAATTTTACTTCTAACTTCACGATACTTCTCATATGCATATCTTGTTCTTTCCATGGGAGCATGTGCGTCTTCACCTTTTCCTTTTTTCCTCCTCAAAGGATGCAATTGTTCGTCATGTTTCCAGTAGAACCTGGCAAAGCCGTCGTGTCCTTCAACTTGAGGCTCACTAACATCGAAAGGCATGTCCATAAGACGTTCTTCTTCTAACCTCTCTAGTCTGTTTGGATAATTTGCGCGTGCTGTTTCCAAGTCCATTTCATAGCGAAGACCAGACAATTTGTCATAGACTTTTATGGGTCTTCCCTTCCTATATTTAAACTTCTTTGAAACTTTCCAACCATATCTTTCTAACTCTGCTTTTATTCTAGCAGATTTTCTATCCATTCTATATGGGGGCATTTCTATAAAAATAAAAAAATATTTTTTTCTTTACTTTACATAACCGCCTGCTGCCATAAGTCTTTGACGCCAACCCATACCAGCTAATGAAGGTTGACTTGGTTTAGTTTGGAAACTAACCTTTGGTTTTGGTTTATCTTCAGTTTTTGGCTCACCTTCTTCTATCGGTTTTTCGTCACTTTTTGGTTCACCTGACTTTACTTCACTTGCAGGTATGGTTGTGTCGTCAACATCTTCATAAATATCATATGCCATTTGTTTTTGTTTTCCTTTCAACTTTTTGTGTTTGTTGTAAAGTTTAGAATATTTTGACTCTAAGTCAATGAGATGTTCTATAATGAACTGTTGGTCAGTGAAGAATACCTTCCCATCTGTTGTCTCGAAAGCTCCTTCAGACTTCAATATTTTATTTGTGAGAGTCTGTTTCTTTTTTGAGATACTAGCCGTTCCATTTCTATGAAAAGTGACTTTATAGTTAGGGTTTGTATTTCCAGACCTGGCACTTTCTATTATTGAATTTTTCTCTTCATCTGTAAGTTCTTTGACAGGTTTTGACAATGGTTCTGAACTTTTTGTTTGTGGTGTCAAATCTACCGTTTCAACTTCTTCGGTCATTTCATCTCAGTAAAAAATTTTAGTTTGGTTTGTTTTCAACTGGTTGTTTAGGTTTTTTAAGTCGGTCTAAAACTTCCTGAGGTATAGGAAGAACTTGACAAACACGTTGTGTAACTGCTGGAAGCCGACAAATCCATCTTGAACCCATTTGTCTCAATGCTGTATTGTTCATTTCATCTCAGTAAAAAACTTTACATTCCCCACGTTTGAGGCGGTTGAGGTTGGTTATTGTTTACCCATTGTTGTGCATGGTTATATCCTCTGTTAAAGAATCTTTCACCTTGGTCCATATAGTGTCCTGCTTGGTTATAGTAGTCATTTGCTTTGTTATAATAGTTTCCTGCTTGTCTTCCTACATTGTCCATCCATCCTTGAACTTTTCCTCTTGTTTCAGGATTTGGAATAAGATTTGCTGCATCTCGTGCTACATCCCAACCTTTCTGTACAGTTTGTATAATAGGCTGTGCTTTCTCTTTCAGTATACCTAAAGTACTCAAAATCTTCCTTCCAATTCCAAATGCACCTCTGGCTAGTGTTCCCACTGCGGGCAAAAATCTGGATGCAACTCCTGCTAATGCGCCAAATAAACCCATTTCTTATGGGTTAAAAAATGACGAATCCAAACAAGGACCCCTATGTTTCTAAGGCAACAAAGAAAGCACTCATGATAAAAATCTTTAGTTCAACACCAAATGCTTGGTTTATGGATATCTTGGAAAACATTCCGAGGTATAGAGAAGATGGACCACCATACTGGCTAATATTTGTTGGTCAAAACACAAGATACTGTGAAGCCATACCATTATGGTCCAAAAATATTTTAGATGTGAAAACTGCTTTGACAATATTCGTTGACAAATACCATCCAACAAAACTGACATCTGACTGTGAAAGTTCTTTCAAATCAGACGATATTAAAAACTATCTGCGTTCAAAAAATGTAAACCAATATTTCATTGTCGACCAAAACCATTCTGCTCTTGGTGTCATTGACAGTTGTATAAAAATCTTAAGAGACTTAAACCAACCACAAGGTGGTGAGGTAGATGAAATGTCATATGACGACAAATATAGACACTTCTCCATGGCAAAGATGAGACAAGTTTTAAATATTTACAATAACCGTAAACAAAAAGGTTTGGGAAACCACTCCCCTGAAGAAATGAAAAACAACCCCGACTTAGAGAAAGACTATATATTTAATAGTTTAGTCAAAAGAGACAAACAAGAAAGAATGCCAGGCTTCAAACTTCAGAAAGGTGACAAAGTAAAAATAGAAATACCTAAACGCGACCCATATGAAAATACTATTGACTATGACAACAACAAGTACCCGACAGGTACTCACATTCGTGTTCGTAAAAATAGAAGAAAGTATACAAGAGAATATTATGAAGTTTTAGGCAAACATGGCAAAATGTACAGACTGCAAGCAGAAGATAAAACTACTATTGTCAGACCTCGTTTCAAACTTGTCAAAGTTCAAGGTGGTATACTTTCAAAGACAGTTCCTAACAAATATAAGACAACTCCTGACGAATATGCTAAAGAAGTTGAAAATGACGACTAAGCAATTCTATACCATGCGTAAACTGTCATGTAAGGTGGCATGTATTCTTTACTTTGTCCCGTTGTTTGTGTATATCCTGAAACGAAATGTGTATGGTTTCCTTCTCCCTGCGTGTCATCCCAGTAACAATTTATAGCAAACTTAACGTCGTCTTTAACATCATATCCTTTACCTTTTGTCATTCCTGACCAATCCCAATATCTATGCTTATGCCAACCTGCTTGAGATGTACTTAAATCTATGTAGTGACTGTGTGCAGGTAAATTTTCACCCGAAATCGTTTTACTTCCACCTGTTTCCTTTGAAGAGTTTGCACAATACAAAAACCTGTCGACTATTTGTTCCCATGCACCAACACCAAACATTACTTGAGGACCTCTTGCTTCCATAGATGTATAAATAGAACCTACTGGGTTCATTAAATCAAACATATGAGATATTATAGGATTGTCTCTTTTGAACTTAAAATATAGTGCAACTATTTCAGGTTTCTTCTGGTTTGTGTTAGAATATTTTTTATAATATAATCTTATGTTTTCAGGGTAGGTAAAGTCTTGACTATAATATTTATTTCTGTCATCTTCATAATAGTATACTATTCTCGTTTTTTCTATTGCATTATATCTTTTATATCTATAAAAATCTAAATATAATGTTAGCTTTTGTTCATCTACATGTGGTGTTCTAACGTCATCTCCATAGTCATAATAATATGGTGCTGGAGCTGGGTCAGGCAATGTCATATCTGCCATTTCATAAACTCTTAAATATTTCTTTTGTTCGTCTCCATAGAAGTTTAAGTAGCAGTTGTTGTCTAATGGAACTTTAACTTGTGTACCATCGTTCTTTTTATAGCTTACATACATTTCATTGTTATTTTTCGGAATGAGTTTATACCGTATACCATTTCTTAAGGAGTGTACAAACTCACATCTAAAATATTTATTTTCTTCATTGACAGAAAAGTCACCAACAATAGTTTCAATATTTTTTGTTCCAACTAAACTTTGGTATATTTCATTGACATATGTTTTATCTGCTTTCTTTTCAAGGCTAACGTTTAAGTCTGTTATTTCAGAAGATGTATGTGTATGTCCAACGTCACTTTTCCTGTTTAAGGTTTCTTGTAAGTTTGTTATTTCAGATATAGAATGTGTATGAGTCTTTTTAGAATATTCGTTTTCAGCTCTTGTCACTTCACTTGACATTTTATTGTCAACATATGTTTTGTCTGCTAGTTCAGGATGAGTATGTTCTTTTGTTGCATAAGCATTGTTAGCTCTTTCTTCTTCTTTTGCTATTGCATCGTCTACATATTCTTTGTCAGCTTTGTTGTCAACATCTGCTTTCAAAAGAAGTTCTTTTATAGGCTTCTCGTTTAAAGTTCCTTTTGTTGGATTTATACAGACAGTATGGTTCTTACTGTCTTGAAACAGAAACTCGTCTGTCAATGGGTTTATCGTCAGTTTTAAGTTTCCTTCTTTCAATGACTCAGATATCTTAGAATAGTTTGAAAAGTTTGTTGTGTTCTTATTTAGAGCTTGTACAATGAGTTGTCGGTTGTGTTGTATTTCTCTCATAGACGCTGTTTCTTTCGACATTTTTATTCTAGATAAAATATGCTTTCAATAGAAAAAGAAAATTCAAGAGTTGCTACAACTAAACCATTAGATGAACTTTTTACGAATGTCGGTCAAAAGTTTGAGACAGAGACCGTAAAGCATGAAGGCTATCGTTTTGACTACCCGTTAAGATGGTTAAGAGACCCATCCGTCACAAAAGCTGTTGGCTTTCGTAGAATGAAGTTCATTTCAGAAGCCATACATGGTTTCCCATTTACGGTCGGTTTTGAAGTTCGATACTATAACAAAGAAAAACGTACGTATGAGAAATTTGAACAGGGAAAACTTTTACAAGTGAATTTGCTTGTAAACTTAGAAACAACTCTTCAAGCTTTTCAAGAAAAAATAAACGATATCTATCTCGAATATGCAAAACAGTACAACATTGACGAAGGAGAGTACCATCTCGATATTATATATGACAGGAAAAATGCAACTGTTAAAATCAATAGAATAGAAGACCTTGGAGAAGACGTTTATATTTCTACAAAATATAACAACTTGGCATGGTATAGATTTTTGAGGATGTTAAATCAGCCTGCAGAATATCCAGTACACCCGAACTTTTATGAAGTCGAAAACCCTAATGGAACATATGAAAATGTTTTCGACTCAGATGCTATTATAGTTCATGCTTCATTTTCTGGTGCACAAAACTCTTTTTTATGCTTGGCAAATGACTTTTACGAAAAAACCTACAAAGCTATACGAACCACCAAGTGGAAGTATTTCAGACTTTCAAGTATGGTTTACTACAGATGGAAGAAAGAGAATAATTCCATTATACACGCGTTTTACTTAGAACTTAGTTTCATATACAACTACTATCGAACGGTAAAAATATGATTTTTTAATACGGTTGAGGTGTTGGATTTGGTTGCCAACTAGACTGTGGTGCAGGTTCAGGCTGTTGTATAACAGGAGCTTGCTCTTCTGGTTCAGGGTCTTTAGGTATAATACCAACGAACTGACCTACTCTTTTGCCAATATTTTTGACTCCGTTCCAAATTCCTCTTCCGACAGATTTTATTCCATTCCATATACCTCTTCCAACATTTCGAAAGAAGTTTCCTATTCTTCCAAAGAAACCCATTTTACTATATGTAAAAATCTAATGTCCACCTAGTCTCTTACGTTTCCTTCTGAGTTCCATAGCATTCTTTAACTGGAGCTCATACATTCTATTTCTCCTCTGGTAGAAAACATACTCTGGGTCAACTCCTGTGTTCGCGTCATCTGCATAGAGTTGTTTATATCCCACTTCGGGGTTTGTATAAAACTCTTTCCATCTCATATTTGCATACCATGGTGGCAAACCTAACGCAGCGTCATTTGACATGGCAGTTTGCATTTGTACATCTGTTGGCACTTGACCATAGTTTGCCATTGCAGTTTGTATTCTAACTTCATTTGGAATATTCTCTGGGTTTGGTTGTCCAGGTTGCTGTGCATTCGCTAAGTTCTGTGCGTCCATTTAATATTAGATAAAAATATCTCTTACGAGTACATATGCTGAACATTTGCAGGCATTGGTTCATCTTCATATTCTCTGTACTTTTCTGCCACGTCAAATAAGTAAATGACACAATGGAAAAAACCTAAAACAAGTAGTCCTATTTCAAACCACATTTACTTACTAGTAAAATTTCTTTGTTATGACACTTTCTCCAGTTTATAGGACCTCTCTCATATTCTATCTTATCGTATCTAAACTCATAGTCATGTATGTCCTCTAACCATCTCATGACACTTTCCAAACCACTTTTATCGGATGTAAAGTAAAAGCATGGATGGTTATGTAAAACGTCTAAAGTTTCTAAAGAGTCTCTCAAAGTCCAGTCTACTTGGTATTGAAAATCCCATGTGTTATAGAACGGCGGGTCCACTATAAAGAAAACATTTTCCTTGTCTTTATATTTTTCATACAACTCTGTCCAATGACATCTCACAAACTCTATACCCTCAATATATTTTTCTATGTTCTCTTTGAAAACATTTGTATAGTTAAGATATAAAACTTTTGACATAAGTGTTTCAATGTCATGAACTCTTATAGCACCACTATATAATAGTCTAGCAGATATACTATCCCAGTCAATATACTCTGCCTTTTTCAAAACCTCTCTGACAGTATTTTTCTTATCTAATGGTATACGTTCCATCTTACCTATAGGTATCTTTTCTTTTAACTCTTTCAATATTTTGTTTGTGTCTGGTATATGTTTGAGACGGTTCATATAGTTGTCGAAGTCATTGCATATAATCTTTGAGTCAGGAAATATTGTATGGCACAAATGAGATATATAGAAACTTCCACCGAACAAGTCTACAAATGTTAGACCATTCGGTAGTTTCTTAAGTTCTCTCAATAGAATATCTTTACATCTACTCTTATTTCCAAAGAAGGGTAACGGTGGTTTTGTAAAATTCATTTTATATATATAATAAAAATGTTTTTACCTGAAAAGTGACAGAAAAGTGACAAAACATGAAAACATATATAATTTGTGAAAAGCGACACATTATATAATGTTTTCGACCCAGAAGAAGGCTTCTTCCCAGAAGCAATGGAGGAAGAAGAAGAGTCCTCCGAATAAAAACTTCATTTATACTAAACATCAACATCAGGGCTAGAAGGCACGAAGTGCCTGGAAGCCCCACTACCTTTTTTTTTTTTTTTTTTTTTTTTTTTTTTTTTTTTTTTGATACATAACATATAATCGGTTAAAATTGCAAATTCGATTTTCTTCTTTCAGATTTCGGATTAAATTCATCAAATCATCTCGAAAAAAAGATACATTTAATAGCAAAAGTACAGGAGATGCTTCTTTACATACTTTTAAGAATATTTGCACTCGCATTTCATCATTTTAAGATAACATTACACTTAAATGAATGTTGAAAAGATTAAAAACATTAAAATTAGAAATCTATGCTTTTATAACAAATAACTTTATCATTATATTCTATAATACAAACAAAATTATAAAATAATTTAATAATACCAGAATTTTGCTTCTTCAGGAACATTTTGACTGTATAAACGCGATTCATATTGAAGAGATAAGTCTAAGCTTGATGAAGCAGCCATTCTATTTGCGATAATCGGGTTAGATTTTTCAAGTGGTTTTTGTCTATTTTGTTCTGAGAAAATCCTCATAATATTGACAACTTTATTGGTATTTTCTTCATTGAAGAAAGCAGCTTGCTTCTTTTTACTGATTTTTGGTGGATTTAAAATAGGAACTACAATTGTTTGTTTTGTATCAGGTGCATCATCAATTGCTTTACCCCATTCGATAACAGCTTTTGTTGTGCCACCAAATTGGGATCCAGAAAGCGCGTTTTTGGCACTTTCTGCTGATGTATGAGTTTCCATGACAACTGTTGCCCAAGATTGATTGTTTGGATCGATTTTAACACTTAGAACATTGCCGTATTGATGGAAGTTCTGTAAAAGTGTCTCTTCTTTGACAACGTCCGGATCAATATTTGTAATAAAAAGAGTAGTATTTTTGACATCTAGGGAGTTGTTTTCGTTTGTACTAACTCTGTTCTGTGTTCCTTCCTTTACTTTTAGCGGATGGCCCTTAAAATTAACATTATTCAAAGTTTGGATGGCGTCAATCACTTCTTGATGCTTATTAAACTTAATAAAACCGTATCCTTTCGAATTTCCTTTTTCGTCGCGAATAAGTCTCGCATTTATTGCGTTTGGAAAATATCTTTTGAAAAACTCTAATAACTCGCTTTCTTTAACACTAGATGGCAATCCACCAACGTAACATGAAAAGCCTTCTGCTTTTGCAATCGTATCTGCGTCGGATTCAAAAGTTGTATTTCCCCAACCAAGTTTGAACTTGTTTCCGTTGCTATTCGGGACCTCTGTACCATTGAGAAGACGGATTACTTCAGCTGCATTATTTTTCGAAGCGAAAACAAGAAAACCGTAATTTAAATGAGTTCCTGTGCTTTTATCCTTTGCAAACCAGCAAGATTTAGGTTGCTTTCCTGTCATTTGCTTGACATCACTCATAAGTGATTCCTCATCTTTCCAAATTACAGTGTTACCGACCCAAAGTTGAGTCATCACACTATTTTTCTGACATTTGCCAATTTCATAGTTTACATGTGTCTATAATGACAAAAATTTTAAATTGAGAAGAATTTATGTCCAAAATTTTTGTTACAAAAAATATCATTTATGAATCCTGCAAATCGAGCTTACGCTAAAAGCTTGATTATGAAGGGTTTAGAATCATCTGATTATCGCTCTAGTAGCTCTTCAGATGATAATGATGTTGTAATTCTCCCAAGAAAACCTTCAATTCAATTTGAAGACTACCAGGATGATGATGTCACATTTGTTGGTATCCAAAAGCAATCTGCTGTTCAAAGACTGCTCGAAAATTGGGACAAACTATATAAATCCAATTAGAAAATATTATTTGAAACTAATTACATCACAGTTCAGTAAATCAGTTTCTCAATATATAAGTAGATGACAATGTATTCCAAATTTACTATGATTATTTTGTTTATTAATAAAAAAAAATTATATACGTAATTTTTATGTTTAGTTTATGAAAATGTATCATATTCTCTTGAAAACAAATGGAGAGTCATCGTTCTGATACGTTCTCATTGGCTTTGGAGTAGCTGAATATGTAGATGTAAATTCGGGTCTTTGAGTTACGTATTGATGAGTTTTTGACTGGCTTTCTCTCTTCATAGATGCAAGCTGTCTCTGTATCTTAATGAGTCTGTTTTCTAGCTCCTCTTGAAGTATTTGGTTTCGCTGAGTTTGTGCGTCAATGTCGTAAAGTTTGTCTTCTAAAGAGCATTCTTGGGCGGCCAAAATATGGTTGACGTGGTCATTGATCCTTGATACTAGTTCTTTGATCTCTGCTTTGTCATCAAAAGTTATTTCTGGCTGTATTTTTGGCGTAACAATTGTTTTTGGTAAAATTGGTGGAGGAATGTTGTTTTGAATGAATATAGTCCTCTCTCTTAATGCCCCTAAGATCCTTCTACGTTCCAATGGATGTTGGCTTGAGAATCATATATGAGCTGTGACGATGAACTAGATCTCGGACAATCAATCATTAAGTCATTCAAGTTGATGCGGGTAACCGTTTTAATCGTTGTCATCATTTGAGCTAATAGTTTATATGATAAGTATATTCATAGATAAAAATATTTTATCAAGCAAAACTTTGTATTGCTTATCGACTTATAAAATTTTCAAATTATTTTATTTGTTTATGGTCGAATTAACCGTAATTCAAATGAGCATTGGTATAGCAAAACAATTATATGCAGTTGAGAGATAAAAAACAAAAATTTATTATAATATAAATGCATGAGCAAAACAGAAAAACAACAGGAACAAATCTATACTAGTCAACGGAGGCAATCCTTCGGTTAATGCGACTAAACTTTGGTTTAATTGTAAATCCGAGAAATGCAAATTGAGAAATATTTGCAAGTGGAATTGAAGCAGCCAAAGGTTGTTCGCTTGGTTCTATCTCATCGAAATGAGATGTATCTGTTGGTGATTTAATGACTGGAACCATTGGCGGAGAATTAGAAAATGGATTGTCGAAATCGAATCCTTGGAAGAAAGGATGGACAATAATCTGTTCAAAACCATATCTGTCCTCTGGATCGCACAACAGATGTTGTAATAAGTCAACAGCCAATGGAGAAACTGGATGACCTTCAATCTGTGGATATACTAAACATCTCTTCCATGCTATGATACGAAGAGCTGTTTCTCTTGATGTTTGACCCATAAATGGGACAAATCCGTATAACATTTCGTAAAGAATGACACCTAACGACCAAAAATCAGATAAAGTAGTTGGTGGCTTGCCAATTAAGATTTCTGGCGCTGTATAAGAGCATGTTCCTATTTCTGTTCCTCTATCATGGAATGGTCTGTCTAAAGGACGTCCAGAAATGAGCTCAATGATTTCATCATTGAGTTTCTGGAAACGTGTATCGTTCTCTTGGTAATTCTTTGAAAGACCAAAATCAGTAAGCTTAATATGACCTGATTCTGTAATCAAAACGTTATCTGGCTTGAGGTCTCTGTGTAAAAAGTGTAATTCATGAACAGAATGCACAGCTAATGTCATCTCAGCGATGAAAAATTTTGCTGTGTCGTTATCGAAAACACCTTTTTTAATAAGAGCATTCATTAAGTCTCCGCCACACACGTATTCGAGGACAAGGTATAATCTTTCCTCATCCTGGAAGGAGCAATTCAAATAAGTAAACCACGGATTGTCGGAGTGTGCGAGAATATCTCTTTCTGTTCGAACATTTTGAATCTGTTCGCTCATAATAATATCAGCCTTACGTAAAACCTTTAATGCGTAAAAATTCCGATCTTCATTATCTTTAACAAGCCAAACTTCGCCAAACCCTCCCCTACCAATCAACTTAATACGCTCAAATCTTGACGTTTTAATCTTACTACGCGATTTCCTTGCAAAATCTGATTCTTCTTGTGCATATTGCGAGAGAATTTTTTCTTTTTCTTCTTGATTTAGATTTGGAGAATTCATAACTGCGTTGTATTTATCTCGACGAACTGAAGTTTCTTGAAACATCTGAGTGAATTTGTCTTCTATAAAAGCTTTCGCTGACTCTGACATAATTTTAGTTTCCTTTGATGGCTCTGATACTGGTAACGAGGCTATTTTTTCATTTGCCCTAGCAGAGCGTCTAATAAAAGTCATTTTTTCAGAGCAAAATATTCACAATGTAAAATTCACAAAAAGTTTTTTACTGAAATTTTTAAAGAGAGGAAATTGAATACAATTTTGGCACAATTTCTTCTGCCCAAATAATATACCTTAAAAGGAGTATAAATTGACCGTTTTGTTTATAAAAATCATTGGTGGAATTTAGTTTATATTATTTGGCTATTGTACAAAATAGGTTTCGATTACGAAAAGCTGATGACGCAAAGTGATATGATGAGAATTCAATTTGATCAATAGTATCATTCAAAAAGTGATTGTAGTACATTCAAATTTTTGTAATTGCTGAATTATAATGCATATAGTAGTATAATAATTTTGATCAAAAAGAAAATTCACCCGATGTAGTCAATTATATTTCATAATGGTTTAAACTGTAGGGTCCATTTAGTTCGTAGATGATAGATATGAATTTCAATTTCCAAACATTTTATTTCAATTGAAACCATTTCAATTTCGAAATTTACATTGAAAAAGGAAAATTTAGGAAATATAAGTCATGAACAAGAATCGACAACTATAATTATTCCAAAATCAGATATTTTCGCTTCCAAATTTTAATGATTTAAAATGTCTTTCAAAAAATTTTTAAAATTTATAAATAGAAATAAGTTTAAGGCATCTCCGGGCAATAAAGAAGGTATTGGCCAATCTTTTGTCTAAAGTCATGAAGCTTGAACAGTTCTTGGTCGCCCATTAAATCAATCTTCAGTGGTTGGCCATTGAAAACGAATCTTACGTATAATTCAGACTCTGCTTCATCGTTGTAGACTTCCATAACGATGTGGGAAGCAAGAGGAGGAATGAAATCGTTCTTAAATCCGAGGAAGGAAAGGAAAGCAGCGACGGTCGAGTCATGGGCTGAAAGGAGAACGAATCTTTGTGTGGACTCTCCATTGATATATGAATCAAGGTACTTCAAAACTTCTCTCATTCCATATGAGAAGGCAACACCTCTTGTCTTGTTGTAAAGTCCGTAGAGCATTGTTCCCTGATATCTTCTGCATGTTGTGATCATGTCAGATGTGATTTCATCAGGCATATACTGCTCATTGCAGAACATTGTCGTAACCCAATCGCAAATCTTATCGAGCTTGGAGTAGGAAACATCTGTAACGTTGAGGTAATTAATTACAGGTTGAACTGAGTTAAGTGTTTCCTGATAATAATCTGTAAATTCCTTTGATCCGAAATAATCGTTTGCCATTGTATTGAAGTCCTTGCAAAAGTCTTTCTTTGGACGGAGAGAATCTGATGATGGGGATCCTGTTGTGATTTCTAAAACTTCATTTGGATCTGCTGGTTCATATAAGCCAGACATGAATGAAATTGCACTTCTAAATGTGCGATCGTAAGCCGTGCATCTAGCGAAAACGACTGTTGGGTCTAAATATTCGGGAATAAAGTGTAATTTTTCGTAATACAATTCACGTAATTTTTGACCTAAAAGCTTGTGTTGGATCATACCGTCGATGATTAAATCGCCAAGTTTGCAATTTGGTGGGTATTCTGCAAATCTATTATCGAGAATTGTTTTAACTCTTCTTGGTTTAACGACTGGATTTGATTCCATGTGAGCTGCTTGAGCATCTTCAGAATCACAGCGCCATATACCTCTCTGCTGTCTCTCCAAGAATGGATCTAATGGAGATCTTGCACCATGACGAGTGAGAACAGATACATATTTCAATGTGTAGTTCTTTCCTGGTACATCTAAAATGCTATACTCACGTGGAGCAACGCATTCATCAATAGTTGATGCTACAAAAGAAGAAAAAGCAAATAACATATTACAAATACAAAAAAGTGACAATTAAAAATCTGAAAATCTCAATTTATAATATTACATAGACAAAAAGAGTGTTTGTTGTTTTATATAAATTCAAGTTTTTATTTCATGCTAGCATACATTAGTCATTGTTTTTCTTACTGAGACTTCTTTTTCTTCTCTTCCTTCTTTTCTTCTTTCTTCTCTTCCTTCTTTTCTTCTTTCTTAGGCTTGTCCTTTGGTTCTGGAAGAGAGGAATGTGCTGGAACATTGCTTTCATTCCACTTCTTCAAGAAGTCTTCGAGTTCATCGTCATGGATGTTCTTCAAAGTTTGGTGCTTCTCAACTTTGCCATCCTTATCAGTAACTTCGTGAACAGTAACAGACTTGTTGCCGATACGTTTTGTATCTACAACTTTGCGAAGTCCACTCTTTGAATCAACTTCTTCACGGTGCATATGCTGGATACCATCGGAGCCACTGTACATTGATGATGTGATTGAGTAGTATTGTGGATTTTCTTCATCATCGACTTCGTCTTCGCTTTGGGCAGCTTCCTTTTCTTCATGCTTAGTTTCCTTCTTTGGCTTCTCATTGCCCTTCTTGCTAGCACCCTTCTTGTTCTCCTTCTTGTTGCCATCTTCGATCATATCATGAGGAACTTGGCGACGAGTAAATGCATCATAAAAGTCACCGAATGCTTCTTCCATCTCACGATCTACAGAGTCCATCCAACGTGACATGTAATCGAAGACACCGGAGCGCATTGGGGCAAAGCGTCTGTAGTATACAATTGGTTCATCAAACCAGTCAAACATTATCGAAAAATGATTTAGTGTTCAGATAAAATTTCTCTTCACAAAAAATTGATAAGATAAGTACCCGAACACTAATCAATTGAAAATCATTTGTATTTTGACATTAATAGCCCATTAATTAGTCGCTTTATGAGGGTTTAAATTCATACATTTTTAGGAAATTGTGAATAAAATTTGGTAAATTTTATAGGAAAAGTATTTTACATATTGCAAATGCTCGTAAAATTAATAGATTTACAATGTTTATGGATCAAAATCCAAAAACTTCAGTAAAATTTTGAAAACTTTATTAATAAAAAATAATTAGTAGTTAAAACTGCAAAATTTACATGTTTAGTATTATAAAATGAACAAAGACTGCATTAAAAATACCAAATGTTCTGATCATTTGGAATATAATCGTGAAATTCTTTGGTATCAAGAGAGTTGATGCAGGAATAGATTGTCTGGCGTAAGCACGGTTCGCAACTTGAGGATCTGTGTTTGGTAAAGGAAGCTCTCTTTGACTTTCCGAAATCGACTGAATTATGTTAATAATCTTGTGGATATTTTTTGTGTAGAATTCTACGTAATTTCTCTGTTTTGTTTGGTCGGTTTCATTGAAGGAATCGAAATTCTGGAAGATTTGTCACTTACAGAAGAATCATCGACATCAGGCCCCAGTTAATAGCGCATTTTGATGTGCCGCCGAATTTGGCTCCTTGGAGTGGTTCATGGCTGATTCTGCCATGGAATGGTTTCCATCTTCAATAAAGCCCAGCTGAATTAACTGGATCGATCTTGATGGAAACTACATTACCGTAGCGGCCGAAAGTAGATGTAAGAATCTCTTCATTGATAATATTTGGATCAAGTTGGGAAATGTAAAGAGTTGTGTTATTTTTTGGTTGACACCAAGAATTCTATTATTTTGCTTCGAAAATTCTGAGTGGGCGTCCCCAGGCGTTAACATTATTTAACTTTTCAATTGCGCTTAAGCATTCTTGGTAAGTTGAGAATTTAACAAAGCCAAAGCCTTTATGAACTCCATTGGCATAAACAATACGTGCATTGATCGCTGAGGGAATGTAATTTCTGAAAAAGTCAAGCAACGCGTTATCATCAATGGTATTTGGAATATTTCCGACGTATACGGAATATCCTTCGGCTTTAACAAGACTGTCTGCATCTGTGGATTCGTTTTTATCTGTTCCCCAATTTACATTCCAACGAACTCCTGGCCTTCTCCTCATCAATGAGCCTTTCAAGAGTCTCATGGCCTCTGTTGCTTCTGATGCATTCTTAAATTTAATAAAGCCATAGTTAAGTTGATTTCCGGATGCTGGATCTCTCATAAAACGTATGTTTATTGGCTTATATCCAATGGCATCATAAATTTCATCAATTGCTTGTTCTTCGGAATCGAATATTTCAACATTTCCTAAGTATAAAGATGTTGTTTTATTCGCCATTTTTTTGTCATATTTTTACCTCAGTCCTTTCATATCACTAATTGCCTTCTTAGAATAGAATTATGCCCACCTTGAATGAATTCATTCTTTTATTTTCAATCAAACATCTTACTTAGCAATTAAATTTTGAATAATTTAATTGTTCATGTAAAAGTCATTCAATAAACGCATGAAGGATCTAAAGAGCATAATGTTGATCAATATCATGATTATCAAAGAAGAACTTTCCTCTTATGTTACAAGATATCTGCGATAGTCAAAAAAAGTTGATGACAAATTATCTTAAAAGTATGCTGTATGCTACTTATGTTATATAAACATCAATGATGTTGAGGAAAATCATCAATATTTATATTCAGGTGATATCTTCTTCAAAAAACTTTTATATTTTTCCTATCGGATTCTCCCCCACTTTGGGCGACCAGTGGTTCATGTGCCCCCGCTGGCGCTAAAAAGGAGCTCCCATCGTACCTTGTATAGGTAATACAGAATATTGGACATATATCACACTATTATTATCTTCGGAATTTTTATCTGCACCTTTTGCTGAATTATGAAGGGGAGTTATTCCATTATGATTTATATCAGCACCAAACAAAATAAGATCTTTTGCATTTTTTGTACAATTATGCTATGAATCTTTGTTTTTCCCTATTATTATTTTTTACTGCAACATGAAGGGCTATTTAACCTTGTTTATCTTCTTCCTTTTAAAGAATTAATTCTATTATTTCTTTAATATTCTTTTGAATTGTATATCTGATTATTTTTCTTTTAATAGTATCAATTGAAAATACATTATTGTTATGTTTCGCAAGAAAAAGAATCATTGCCTTAAGGTTCGATGAATTAACAATATCACATAAATCAAAATCGTTGATCTTTGATGGAAACCTCTCCAAAATATATTCGAAGTATGTAATGTTATGGGAATAAATAATAAATTTCAGACAAATTTTATCTATTTGATGATATACCTGGCATTCATTGATAATAGCTATATTCCCACCGATAAATGAGTATCGAAGGCATTTCTTTGTAATTTTGGTATTCATATTTGTTTTTAGATAATAAAAAATATTCACAGATCCAAAATAGCAGCATGCTTCAATTGGCGATAAACTTTGAAAACATGGAATTGCTATTGAAATGTCTGTTATTGGTTTCATTAAAGCATAGACCTTGAATTTTTGGATATCATCATTCTTAATCATTTCTTGAACTTCCAAGGCTTCTGAGGATGTTTCAATCCATAAATTGATCATATTATTAGTATGATCTTTCTTCAAATAATTGGAAGCAAAATCTAAAACCTCGATACTTAATAATCTTTTTGAAAATATTTGATATTCATTTGATAAATGATTAAGTATTTGAATATAAAGCTTGGTGGATCCATAGTTGAATTTGATTGCGTTTAAAATACTCATTATCAGATCGTTAATGGGCATTTTATACTTGTTTACTAAAACAGAAATTATCATATTGGTAAGTTCTTCAAGGGACTCTTCTGTCTTTAGATGATAAAGCATTTCATTTGTTCTTATATAATCATCATAGCGTGCTAAGTACACACTTATCATAATGATTGTTTGCAACTTTTTTTCCACCTTTCAAAAATGAATGATAATGCAATAGTTCTAAACGTGGATATTTTTGATTCCAATACTTGACACAGATTGAATTTTTCAAATAAAAAATTATTTGTTTACCAGATTTGGTAAAAAAATTGAAAAGTTTTGATCAGCAATATTTTTAATTTATTACAAAGTGTGAGCTCATATTTCTGTTTTTATTTCAGCCAAATAAGTTCACACCAAATAAAAACCATAAAATTAACTAAATCTTTCCAAAAATGGGTTTAAATAAGGAAAAATGGCAAAGTAAGATTATGCCAAAATGTTAGCATGTGAATGAGCTCATAACACACAAGGAAACTCCACATTGTATAATTCAATTGTCACATGTTGAACTTTCATCTTCTTCAATTTTATTCAATACTTGTCAATGAGATACTAAACATAGAACAAATTTGTATAAGCTTTCATGTGGTATCGTTGCTCGGAAACATCATTAATGCAAAATTCTTTCTTTCTAACTAAGATTTTTAAGACAACAAGTGTCACGGCCTAAAGGCATACTTATCACTTTCAGACATTCTCTCAAGTTTGAGTTATTGAATTTTTAAATAAATTTTTTACAAAGCTTGATATGTCAAGTTTAGAGCAGCTAAAAAATGAAAATTGGTGCAATTACCGTGGCCTTAAGCCAAATAAAGTATTCGAATGCCCAGATCAAGCATCAAAAATGATTTGGGGCGTCAATTCCAATAATATTATACAATTATCTTCACAAATTATCAAATTAATAACAACTAACAAAATAACTATCCAAATGGCGCTTCGTTTGAATTCATATTTATCATTGTTTTATTACATTATCTTTCTTTTAATATGCAACATTGTTTTATGAAATATTAAGGCTGCACTTACGCCCATCTGACATTAATTCAAATTTCTGATAATTTAACCTTAAACATTTGAATTGAAGGCTGTGTCAGATGAGCATAAGTGCACCCTTAAAAAATTAAAAAATATTAAAAATATTTGTTTTATTTACCAGGCCGTATTAATTCCTAATCTCAACTGCTGAAATGGATATGGGTTTAAATCCGGAGTTTTTCATTCAAATCGTTGAAGTTAAAAACTATGAAGATATAATGGAGGACAAAGCTGACAAAACAGAGCTTCAAACATTAAAGACTGAAATACTTCAAACATTATATCCTATAGGCTCTATTTATACGTCAATGAACTCAACAAATCCAGCAAGTGTTTTAGGTTTTGGTACTTGGGAACAGATTATTGACAAATTCTTATACTGTGCTAACTCTTCAAAGCAAACAGGAGGCTCAAAGAAAATTAGTGAAGCAAATCTTCCACCACATAAGCACACAGGAACTACAAGCGATTCTGGAGACCATCAACATACTATTGATGGTAGTTTCTTAAATCAGTGGCAAAAAGATTACAACAGCGATAATGTTTATTCTCCAACAGAATATACATCAAAAGTGGTTCAGCATAAAACAACATGGAATGGAAACCATTCACATACTTTCACAACAAATTCAACAGGTTCTGGTGCAGACTATATGCCACCATTTATGACTGTATTCGCATGGTACCGCGTTCAATGAACGCGCTTGAGCCTGCTTTGCAGGCTTATCGTAGAGCTTAAAATCTTTAACTTTACTTAAATGAGTTTGAAAGAAGTATTCGAACAACATCCATGGAGGTCATTTAAGAAGTTCAATGAAGCTGCAAAGAGTTGGGGATTTACTAACAGAGCTGAAGTTAAAAGGTTCTTTGACAAAAATGTTGTACATCAAACAAAAATAAACCCTTACGACTACTTTTTACCAATTTACTCCAATACTCCTGACGCATACCAATTTGACACTCTCATTCAAAGCAGAAAAGGAGGACATAAACCATTCCTCATCTTCATAAATGTTAATACTCGCAAAGCATATGCATATCCAATGAGGAATAAAGGAACTCGTGAAGTGTTAAGAGTTTTACAAAAGTTTGTAGCAGTACATAACCCAAGTACTTTAACATCAGACCAAGACAGTGCATACCTCAGCAATGAAATCACAGATTTTCTCATTAAGCATAACATAACTCACTACACTACTGAAGACCATAACCATAACATACTCGGTATCATAAACCGCTTCATAAGGACACTAAGAGATTTAAACCAAGAGCGAGACTTAGTTAGTATACATATTTTCAGTACGGTGGCACTGCGCGTCATCTTACCGAAAATATGTCAATCTGGCACTTTACAAAACCACTAACGTATATTTTACATCACAGATGCAATATTTCTAATAACCTTAAACTATTTCTGCCACGTAAAGTATTTATCACATAAACCACCTCATCTCACCTCTCTGTACGTTATATATTGTGCGCAGGTCATTGCCCATGGCAACTCCCCACGACACAATGCATGTGCATGAAAACATAGCACAAAAATAAATTTAGGTGAAGTGGTGAGATCTCACCTCTTTTTTCACCTCTTTTTTCACCCTGTTGAATTCATTGCTTTATAACTCTCTTCCTTGGTTTCTTTTTAGTTGCTTTCTTCACGTCTGTCTCCAACTTGACTGTCTTTCTTCTTCGTCCGTAATGATACCAGTTACTTCCACCAGTCAATGGGTCAAATGGTCGTTCATAAGGGTTTCCATACATTCCATAAGGTCCGTATGGAAGAACTACTAGTGGAGAAGAAACATTTTCTTTAGTTCCATCGACTCTATTTAAATGCATTGTTTCACCTTTCATCTGGTCATTAAAGTCTTTTGCGTGTTTTGCAAACTCATCGTCCTTTCCTAAAGCATTTTCTGACTCAGTCGCAACCAAATTGGATGCTTTATTTATGAGCCCCATTTTATTTAATCTTAACTTCTTTGCAACCCAGCCTCCAATCTTTCCTTTATTTGCATCTAATGTCTTTGAAACCCTTCCTCCACTCATTTTATTTACTGCGTCATAAGCTCCAAGTGCTTTTGCTCCAAATGCTAATGCTTTTGTTCCCATTGCGCCTAAAGCTGCCCAAGCTACCATTTACCCCATATTAAAATCATCTCTCTTCAATATTATCTCATAAAAGTTCTCGTTACTGGAGAAAGTCAATGAAACATAAACGTTCTCATTCATAAACTTCTTTCTTATCTCATCTATTCTCAATAAAATATCTGAACAATTGCTAACATCTTCTACAACAGTTATTTCATCATGAATGACCTTCAAGAACAAGCTCATTTAATATGCAATTAAAATCATCTCAATAATGAGTCCATCCTTTCCATCTTTAGGTAGCACAACATCTTTCATTGAAGAAGGTTCGACAAGTCTTATGTTAAACTTACTGACAAAGTTTGTTATACTATAATGCTTCGGTGGCGAATACATGTAGTTTGAAAGACATAATATAGATTCTTCAGCAAATTCACTTATACTGGATTTTATAACAATGTTCTCACGAGACCAAATAGTTAGTATACATAAGTCGTGTATGGAGGCACTGCGTTTCACTTTACCCAATACTTGTGAATTTGACACTTTACAAAACCGTTAACGTATATTTTACAACACAAACGACAACACTAACTTAACCTTAAATATTTACAAACCGCCAACCACTAACGACTTCATTAATGTAAAAATAAACGTTCTCACTTACAAAAGTATTGCAACTCCTCCCATTGCTGTGCTTCACATAACAGCTCATAATCTTCTGACTCACTTTCTTCTTCATATAGGTCAAAGTCACTGTCAAAATAAATGTTAGTAAGTTTTGACAAAGCTAATGAAACACGTTTACCGTTTGTATCGTATGCTTGTATAAACTTTCCATTCTTCATTCCTTCATAAACGCTCAAACTAACTTTACCTTTCTCCTCGTATCTGATAGAATGTATTTTCACGAGGAACGAAGAACAAATTCTTGAACTCATGACCGTTGTAGTTTGTTATCTCAATAGTTTTCGTCATTTACATAAATAAAATAAAAAATAAACTTAAAAATTAATGATATCACCACCCCACACGTATGAAAACATAGCGCAAAAATAATTTAGGTGAAGTGGTGATCTACCTCTTTCTACCTCTTTTCAACCTTGAATTCATTGCTTTATAACTCTCTTCCTTTCTCCAACTCTTCTAACTTCTTCTAAGTTCAGCAATGTTGTCCTCATGAAGTTTAATCTTCCTTAAATTCCTTCTCTATCTAATGGTTGCTTTATCTTTCTAAACTGAACTCTACCATCCTTCATAGTATGAACGTAAAAACCTTCTGGAAGCTCCTGATTTAATGTATTCTACCAAAAATTTTTGTTTCATTGCTTCAGTGACTTTAGTCGTCATTTCAATCAAATAAAAATGTTCAAATAAAATAAAAATAACGTTATTTTTTCAGTAAGGAAACGCAGGAGTTTTACGATTTATTTGAGGAGTAGGTTCTGGTTTAAATGTTGGAGTCGGTTTAGGAGTTGACTTTTGAACAGGAGTTTGTACTTCCATAGGTTCAGGAGTCATTGAAGGTTTTGCTTGTGAAGGCGTTGGTTTTGACGAAGGTGTTGGAGTTTGTTTAACTTCAGCTACTTCAGTATTATTTATAACATTTGCTTTATTTCTTTTCAACATCATAACTGCTCCTGCTGTAGCTAGCAAACCTAGTGGGAGACCATATTTATATAAGGACTTGACCAAATGCTATTTTTGACAGGAGCTGGTGGAACACCTAACCTTGGTGAACTGCTCTTTGCCATTGTGCAGCTCGTAAGAAATATTCAATAGGTGCTCCATAATCGTTTGGTAAAGTTTGTTTCATAGATGGTGAAGGTTCACGAGAGCTTGATGAAGAACTCATTTATAAGCTTTAAAAATAAACGTTCATCCTTTATTCCTCACTGTCGTCAGTGCTAAGTTATAGTCGTCAAGTCTTATTATTGGTATGCCTGACTGTCTTACTTGTATTGCAAAGCAACAATCCCTCATAAATCCAATAAGTGGCTTTGGTACATTTTCAGTTGCTAGTTCAATAGGTCCTTTAACAGACAATTTGTATGTTATTGGAGCAGTAGATGTTTGACCTTGCTGGAAGCAAAAGTCCACTTCTGTTGGAAAACCACATAAGAAATGTGTGTTGTCATAGCTATCCCATTTATGTTCCACACTACCATCATCCACCAATGACCTCATAACATCTTCATTAAATCCTATCATATCATTGTTTGTATTGCAAGCGTTCGCAACCATTTCATAAAATACAGGTCCATATGATTTTTCAGGTTCTGCAGGCATATTTCCATAAGCTCCCATGGAAAGCTGAAGATATTTAAACTTAGGGTTCTCAAAATTAACATAATAGTTGTCTTTCTTTCTAAATAGTGCCCAAATACTTTTAACATTAATAGGCGTATAAGCTGCTGTAAATGTTGCACTTGAACTATCTGTATTCTTTGAGAATGAACCGTCCATAGGAATCCAATCCATAACTTTAACAGGAAAACATAAAGCCTCGTTTGTATAATGTTCTACAAGTTCTGTATAAATGTTAGGGTCTAAAGAGAATGACTTTGGATGAATGAAACATTCATTAAAATCCATCTTTGTTCGAAATAGTTGCTGGTTACAGTTGTAATAGTAACTGTTCCACTAGCTTCTACTGCCTTCGTTATCATAGTGAATGGTTCATTCCATGGAACAAATTTATTTGTCGGTGGATTTGAATCTGAAGCAAATGCAACTTTAAGAGTTGGATTGAAAGCAATGATATCATTTACAGATATAGATGTGCATTGTAAGGCGTCGCTACTGAACTTTACTTTAAGCTGAATGTTTCCTGCAAAAGCTGGAATAAATCGAATAGCTTCTAATGGAAGGAATCTTCTAACAGGAATTCTTAAACGAAGCTTAAAATCAAATGATTTTCCTGCTGTAATTGGACCACTAACAATTTGTCCTGTTCTGCATGTTCCCGAATGACTCCATACATCTTCATGTCGAGTCTTTGAGAAAAATCTACTTTCTTTATTTGTTCGGTAGTTTGTGAGTTTGAAGTTATATATGCTTCTTCTCTTGCGTTGTCTTGAGAATATACGATACGACCATTTGCAAGGATTTGATATCCAGCAACTGCATAGAAAGCGTCATCGAAACCAATCCAAAATCCTGGTGGGTTTGTTTTATTGGAACCTGAACCAATTTCTTTATCTGCAATAAATTGACCTTCCATTTTATACGTAATGAATGTATTGTAAAGGTCCAACATATTTTCACCAGGAGGTGAGAGATTGAATGTTACCCATGTGTTATCTTTAGCAGTTCCAGGTTGTGATGGAATCTTTGCGTCAGAATATTTTCTATTAGTGTCACCAATTTGAACTGCATTGTCTATGATATCGAAATATGAGCGAATCTGATGAATATGCTCTGCTGGAGTAAATTCGTTTAGCTGTTCGTTCTGCATGTATTTACTTCAGATAAAAATATCTATTTACTTCATTATTCTCACTCTTCTTCTTGGTATTCGTGGTGGAAGTTGTTTCTTGACATTTTCAATGAACTGTACATTCTCTTTTGTCTCAACTTCTTTCACTGGCGGGTCAGGGTTCTTTGACTCGGTTTGTTTTTCAATGAAATTCACGAACTTTGCAATAAGCTCTTGGTTCGTTATTGAAAGTACATCTGGCTTCTTTTCTTCTGTTCTATTGACTTTTCAGTTTGAACAGAAGGTTTTATATGGGCTTCGTGGACTTCACCCTTGCCATGCACCTTAATGTTGTCGCTCTCTGCATTCGCTAATGGACCTTTCTTTTTCTTACGTATATTTTACCATCTTTACTCTGACTTACGTAATAGAAAGGATGTTGTATTCCTCTTGCGTCATTTAATATAATAGACTCTCGCTCTGATTTTGACAAGCTCATTTTACATCGGTTAAAGTTTTAATTTTGTTTTTTATCTGCAGTCAAATGACTCAGACAAGCCCTACGGACAAGACCCAAGGGTCATAGATGTTGAAGCATTGAAGAAAGAAATTCGCGAGCAAATTTTATCCGAACTGAAGGAACAAAAACAAGAACAAAAGCCAGAGAGACCAAAGAGAAAACTTAGTGAAAAACAACTAGCTGCATTAGCTGCTGGAAGACAGAAGAACCCACGTTTGCTGGCGAAAAAAGCTAGAGAAGAAGCAAAAGCTAAAGAAGCTGAAGCAAAGAAAGAGTAAATGGTTTATTTTTATCCGAATAAATGTATAGACAAATACCTTTATCTGTTGCGTTCAGTAGTGAAAACCCTGACGTCAAAATAAAGGGGAACAGAGTAACGTTTAAGTTTCCAACAGACTGGATTGTGAACATAAATGAAGAGAAGTACATTGGCATAACATCTATGTATATAACACGTGCTTTCAGAAAGGTTGACTTTATACTTCAAGTCGAGATAGAAAATGACGAACAGTCTTTAAGCGCCCAAAACATTCACATATACAAATACTTTAAAGACGATACAACATTGCAATGTATGATTTCATTTAATGAGATGTTCGAGAAAAAGTTCAACATTGAAGTACAAACTTTACAGCCTTTACGTGAGTTTCTTGCACAACTGAAAGAAGAAGGTAGTCAGCCACAACTTATAGACTTTCATTATGAATTTAATGAAAATGAAGATGGAACTCATGACTGTCAATTCATTGTATTCTCACCATTCAATGAAGTCGCTAAAAAGAAAGAAAATCCATTACGTATAAGATTTCAAATCTCCGAACCAAGTGATGATTTTAAGAATGTTTTCAATTATGATGCAATGCTTCCGAGGAAAAATGAATTTTCAAAGATTGTAACACCTGGCATTTGGGATAGAAAGCAAGCAATACTTTACTCTAATATAGCCAAAGGCGTTGAAAATGAGTTCATTGGTCATACAAGAACTTCACCACTTCCTAACCCTAAATACTATAAATTAACTGGCTTCAATCGTGAGTTTTGGATAGACATGTCTCCCACTCATGACCATAAATGTCCAGTGTTCTTGCCTCCAGATGGGAAGGACTGTCTCTACATTGAAGCACAACTCTTAAACTCTACCATCGCAGTATTGTAAAATCTACGCTAGCTTTATTTTTATCACGAATGACCTCATTGCTGACAAAAATAAATGACCTCAGAACTTCAACTTACGAATAAAGCTTGTTTTAGTCGTTATTGAAAAGTTGAACTTTTCAGCAAAGCAAGGTTGACATGACTTACATAAGTCGAATGCAATCTCTTGACCATCATGAAGTGCTTTGTAAAGTTTCATTAAACTGAACTCAGAGTCTTTGTCATATGTTCCAACAGGTATGTGAATGTTCTTATCTTCATTGTAATAGCATTGTATAGCTTCAGGAAACATTTCATTAGCGGTTAAAGCAATAACATCTTGCTTCACGCCTTTCATTCTGCAGTGAAATGCAACTTCATTTAAATCGTTAGTGAGTAAGTCTATGTAGGTCTTCTTTCCACAGAAAATACTTTTATAAGCTAAACTTTGTTTTCCAGGTGTTATTTCTGCAAAGTCGCTATGAAATTGACCAAGGTTCTTTCCTATAAGTTCGCGACCATATCTCTTCTTAAACTCTGCTGCAAGCTTTGGGATGTCTTCATTATATAAGTGCATACTGTCGGTATCCTGGTAAAAGATTTGAAGTCCCATGTCCTCTGCAGTACAGAATACTTCATTCATAATACGTTTTGACATAGACAGAATATTAACACCAAGTGGACAGAAGTTAAAGTGTCTGCAAATGCTTTTCGTTAGCTTGAAAATAGTTTTATCTGAACCATCCAAACCTTCGAACTTCACTATATGGTTGTAATTTCTTATAGCATATCTTATAGCATCTTTGTCATCTACTATGGTTATTTTTGACTCAATAGGAGATAGAATAGTTTTGCCATAAATGCTGTTCAGAATGAGTTTTATAATTTCTTGTAAGGGGTTTTCTTCTTTCTTATACTTTAACCTTAACTCAAACAACTTCTTTACTTCATCTCTTATTCTCATATCTCTGTTTCCATCGTAATAGTATCCTTGCAACACTTCACATTTGACACCTTGATATTTTATGAGGTCTTGTAATGTTATATGGTCAACATACATGAGACAGCAAGTGTTTGAACTTCTTGGAACGTTAAGTTCTGGATTTAGTTCAGGGTCGCAAACTATTAAATGAAAGTGTCTGGGTATACCAATCTCTGTTATCTTAATGAGAACAAAGAAGCCAGACATAAACTTTTCACCAATGGGTTCCTTTTGGTCGTCATCGAATAAATGTCTCATGAGATACTCTGTGCTTAACATTTCTTCCTTCAATACTTTTGGAATACCTTCTAAAGTATAAAGTCTTGCTATAGCTGAAGGATATAATGAAACAGTGTCGAAGTCAGCAATGAGTTTCTTTTTGCTCTTTTGTTTCATGTTATCTGACAACATACATCTTCCACCTTGAATGCATCTCGAAATAAATTCTCTTGGTTTATTTGAGAGGTCATAAAGATTTCCATTCGGGAAGTATACTCTGTTCTCAAACAATTTGTTAGCAATAGAACAAATACTAACGTAGTCATAAACGTTTAAATCAAACTCTTTCAATAAGTCATTGCGGAACTTTACAAAACCTTCTCTTAAAATTCTTACATCTTGTTTGCAGTAAAACGTGCTATATTTTTCTAAGTCGAAGTGGTTTTCATCTATTCTGCAACCTTTGATGGAATCTATGTTCTTCATAAATGTATCTGCATCATGGATAAACTTACATGCTTCAGAAATGACACCAGTTCTGTTGTCATTTGCTAACAAAACACTGCTGTAGTAGTTATATGGAAATACTTCTTTCGGTCCTGTTTGTAAGTTAAACATAGCAGGAAATAGTTTAAGCTTCTTATTTATAACACTGTAAGAGTCTTTTATAATAATTGCCCTTCCTTTATATAAACCAGTTATTTGCATTGTTCGTGAACCTTTAATGATGGGAGTTCCTTTCACTTCTGTCATGTGTCTTAAGATGAAGTTTATGTCATAACTGAGGTTATGGAAATATATTAAACTCTTGTCAGGAAGTCTTTCCAAAAATTCTGTTGCACAGTTTTGACCCCAAATGCTTTCACTCACTGAACCATCTTCACTGTCATAACAGATGTTAAAAGCTTTATGAAAGCCATCCGTACTACACTCAAAGTCAGCAAAGAAAACGTGCTCAGGTATGAATTTACATTTAGCTTTATTTACTTCTTTTGACTCTGCTTTCTTCTTCAGTTGTACACAATACTTTGGAGCATATGTCAAATCTTTAAATGGTGCAAGGTTCTGTTTATATAAGTCAGTCGTATATGTGAAAAGTTCTCCATAAGAAATAGGTTCGAAAATATTTGCACTCCCACAATGTTTTCATAACATCCCATAACGGTGTTGTTCTATCATAACGAACTACATATTTATCTTCTCTCTTTGTATATAATTTCATCTGTTTTCAATGTTCATTCCACCACACTCCTTCAAGATTTCTATATAGTTTCGAATGAAATATGTTGTCATTGGAAGTCTTTCATTTAGCATGTAGTGGTCTTCAACAAGAAGTAAGTCAATAGTTCTAACAGTTTCACATTCTTTTGGTATGTATCTCTTTATTTCATTATGTCTTGAGTCATTGAAGTAACCAATGGTAACATTAAATGCTATACCTGTTGCGTCAGAAATTTCTTGTACTTTACTTTGAGGAAAGTCTCTAACACGAATGACTTCTCTCATGTGGTCAATAGTTTCTTCATTTACTCCAGCCTGAATGCAAGCATAAACGAAACAATTGTCCTCTGTCATAAGTGTTGCAGTTCTTTTGTTCAGTTCATTGAAGATTTGGTAGCGTTCAAGATTTATAGGTAATGTGCAAAGATACTTCCAGAACTGACCGCTTCTCTTCTTATAAAACTTCTTTTCACCATTATCTTTCCAAAAGCTTTCTATAAGTGCTGGGTTTCCTGTTTGCTTAAGAGCTTCCAAAATGGCTTTCTGGTCATTTGTCAGTGTGCTTTCATCTCTATATGGTCTCTTTTTTGGTTTGCCTTTCTTTACATCTGACATCGTTAAGCCTTCATATTCTGTTAAATCATACATCTTTATTTCAGTAAGATTCTTTATGTTTGTCAAGAAGAAGTCATAGTGCATTTCAACAATACCTGCAGCATTTGCTTCTATCTCTGATATAAAGTTCTCCTTCAAGAGCTGATGTAGTAATGTTCCAATATTATTGAGGTTTAACGTAGAACATTCATACTTTCCACCAAGTTTATAACATACCATCCATCTCTGTTGGGAGTTTATTTTAATTTTCTCTAAGAGTCTCATGAAAACCTTACCGAAATGTTTGTGTAAGTAGTCTCTGTTTGGTTCATCTAAAGCTTCGATGTTAAAGTCAATGAGTCTATTGCCCGACTTCACATTTTCTTCCTATTCTCTTCATCTTTCTTTAACCATCTCTCACCTTCTTTGGTTTGTCGTCAATGGAACGAATGACATTATTAGCTTTGCGAACTTGTCTATAGCACTTTTAAACATCTCTCTTCTGTTGTTTCAGTGTGTCGTCTCTTCTCTTGTTTCACCAACGTTTGCATTTGTTATGTCAAACATTTCTCTTCTTACTTCATGAGGTATTGAACGTCTATGATATAAGTCAATAGCAACGTCATTTAAAGGAAATGCTCTTGCGTGGACTTCGTCCTCGCCGCGTTGCGGCTTTATGAACTCATGAATTCTATCATAAGTTATTTCACCATTGTAGTCTTTAATGAAGTCAGCGAGTGCCTTTTTGTTTGTTGTGTAATGCTTTGCAACATCTATATTAGCTTCTGTAAGAAGTTGTTTTATTTCCGAGTGTTTAACTTAGACAACTTCCGATACATCTTTAGTAGGAAATAAAAAAAAATATTTTTTTGAAAAAATTAGATTAGATTTTTTTAAGTTATTTTTCAAAATAATTTAATATTTTTATTTTAATGAAACACATGCAAGATTGCAAGTTCTTTTCATACAATGCTCTCGCTACTGCCATCAAGAATGAGTTCAATAATGCTTCAAATGTTAATGTTATCTTTAACAAGAAGTTTGTGAAAGAATCTAAGTTTGGTCAGTATGTCAGACCATTAGCTATTGTCATTGACCGCAAACGTTATACTTCACAAGAGTTAGCAGTAGTTTTGAAACAAAAGGGTTTCTTCGTGAATGTCAAAGATACTCATTATACTATTATAAAGAACTCCAACATTGACTTCTTCAGTATTGCTATGAATCTTTCCGAACAGAAAGAATATAAGAAGGGTGAAACAAATGTGAAATATTATTCTTCATCTCTGAAAACAATAACGAACAAAGATGTTATACAAAAGTTCTTACCAAAGGTTGAAGAAGCTTCTATTGACATTGACGAAGGAAGTGAAATGGTTGAAGAAATTGACCCTGACGTCATTTAAGCAAAAATATATTTTTGGTGAAGAGGTGAGATTTCACCTGTTTTTTCACCTCATTCTCTCTTCGTTAATGTTGTCGTGACTTCTTCGTTAATGTTGTCGTGACTTCTTCGTTAATGTTGTCGTGACTTCATTCTTCCTCTTTGAAGTTATCGAAATATTCTGTTATTTTTTCCTTCAGTAATGTTAAGTCTTCTTTGAATGTAAGTATTGTGCAACCTTTGATGTCATAGTGTGTTTGAGGAAGAGTATTTTTGACAATTTCTTTTATTTGCTCATTCGGTGTCATTGAAATCGGTAAGTTTTCACGATAGAACCAGTTTCTGTCAGATTTATATATTTTAGCAAGGTCGTAAAAGCTTTTGTTGTTTCTTCTGACTAAATGCAACATAACCATATCTCTGTCTTCTTCATTCTCCAACTCTTCAGTATATATCATATACTTATAACTCTTTTCCTTTCCTTTTGGTACTGAACGCGGTATTCTTTTCTGTATGCTTTTGTCTTTGGATTCAATGACTTCATCTTTTGCATGAAGTTTCTTTTCCATATCTTCACGTTCTTGTCTGTGAAGTTCGTCAAGAAGTTTGTAAATATTCCAAGCATAACGTGGTGAAGCCCACATTGCAACTGCATTTACTAAAAGTCTATGAACATAATATCCTCTCAAACCGTTTGGCAATTTTTCACGGTTTTCATAGAGTTTTGGCGACTGGGATTTTTTACCTACTCGCTGTTCTTCACTGTTTTCAGAAAAAAGTACGTCTCGCTGTGCTTCACTTAATAGTTCTATGGTGCTTTGGTTCCTAAACCAGTCTTTAGGAAGCTTAGTATCTGGAGCAAAACAAGCCGTCAAAATACTTTGCATTTGGTACATGTCGTCTTTGACCGAACGAATGAGTCTCAATTGTTTGTTATACTGTATGTATTCGTATTCTTCATTTATAGCTTCATGGACTATAACTGTTGTTGTGTTCTCTGATGTTGTCATTACTGTCTTTACATACAAAATAAAAAAATAAATAAAAATAAAACTAACTTTATTTTTTCTATCTTAAGGAAATTCATGATTTTCGTACGGAATTCAGCAAAAATAATGTTTAGGGTAGAAGGTTAGATCTAACATGTTTTCTAACCTGTTTTCTACCCTCTTGAATTTTCATGATTTCTTCGTACATGTTTTGTCAAGACTTCTTCGTACATGTTTTGTCAAACATGAACGTATATGTTTTGTCAAGACTTCTTCATCGTAATGAACGTATATGTTTTGTCAAGACTTCTTCATCGTAATGAGCGTAAATCAGACAAAAATAATGTTTAGGGTAGAAGGTTAGATCTAACCTCTTTTCTAACCTCTTTTCTACCCCAGTTATTTTATAAGCGTTTCACATGGTAAACGTTATTTTTGGAATTTTGTGAAAACTCAACGGTTTGACACAAGCCCTAAAAATTATTTTACTCAGAATTTTGTTGCTGAATTCAGCAAAAATAATGTTTAGGGTAGAAGGTTAGATCTAACCTCTTTTCTAACCTCTTTTCTACCCCAGTTATTTTATAAGCGTTTCACATGGTAAACGTTATGAATTCGTGAGACTCTAAACAGTTTCGTAGCTTCTATTTCTTCTTTTAGTACATCGAATGTTTTAACAATGCCGAAAGTTTCTTTATACTTCTTCTTGACGTCAGATAGAAGGAAATCTTCTGCTGTTGGATAGTTTTTGTTCAGAAATTCTAACATGTCCATTTTATTTTCTGCTGGTTTTTCTGCTTCTTTCTTTAAGTCTGCATAGTCGTTTCTCATACGTTCTATCTCTTTGACGGAGTAGTTATATCTCCTCATTGCTGCTTTACATTTAGAACATTGCGGGTTCATTTTTGCGTTATATTCTGAAACCTTACCAGCTAAAACAACTAAGGCGTCAATGGTTTTCTTTAACTCAAACATAGCGGGTCTTATCTGTTCATTCCATACCTTGCCTCTTCTATCTTTATCTCTTATCTGCCATACACATTCAGCAACTAACGAAACAAAGTTGTCGTAGGTCTTAAATTCTTCAGATTTATATATGTCAGAAACATTCTTATATACCATGTCGCAATCTTTGTCCATAACTTTATGGTTGCAATGAAAACCAAGGAATTCATAATTTACCTTTCGTATGAACTTCTTTATTTCTACTGAGTCAGTTGGTTTCACTTCTATTTCGTCGAATTCAGGAATAGTGAGTTTTTGTTGTTGGATTTCAGGTAGTTTAGGCAAATGGTCAATAATGTCCTGCATTTCATAAAGATACTGTTCATTTGTTTCATCTTTCGCACTACAGTCTAAATTACTTGTTAAAAGTTCTTGCTTTATCTTCTGGATTTCTGTTTCAAAAGTATATGAAGAAGGAATGAAGCTTTTCATCTCTACTAACATAGATGTTGGATTCATGACTAAAGAGTTTGGTGCTGTTGTTTGAATTGTTGTTGTGCCGATTGTTGAAATCATATCTTTTATACAAAATAAAAAAAATAAAAAAATAAAACTAACTT